ATTACATAAATATTATCATTAAACTTGATTAGCACACTGATACAGTGAAACTTCATTATCAAAACCTGCCTCCAACTGCCGGACTTCATCGCCCATCTAGGAACTGGGGTCAACGTGCAAGAGGATTACCGGCAGTGCAAGGTCGTCAAAAAACCAAGACGGTCAACACCCTAACTTACTAAGTTACAGTAAAACCTGTCAAGGCGACCACTCGGATGAGGCGACCACCTGTCCTAGAAGACCACTGAAACCAGGGCCAAGTGATGCTATTTCCAGTCAATTGACCCTGTATAAGGAGACCACCTGGTAACAGAGAACACGCTTTGAAGGTCCCATGAGCGGTCGTCTTAGACAGGTTCCACTGTACTTGGTAGTTGGTACACGGTAGATCTACATTGCACATGTTTGTATTTAGTTCATGCTGGGCAACCTCGCTTTGCAGAATACAATCATTCAAAGTAACACTACTCATTACTCACTGTACCGTAGATCAGGGAGTCGTAAAATACAGGTATTTACGACTCCCTGCCGTAGATCTACATGTACACTGAAACCTGTCTAAGACGACCGCTCAAGGGACCTTCAAAAATGTGGTCTCTATTACCAGGTGGTCTCCTTATCAAGGGTCATTTGAGTGGAAATAGAATCCCCTGATCCTGGTTTCAGTGGTCTTCTAGGACAGGTGGTCGGCTTATCCGAGTGATCGCCTTAACGCTTGGACTTTGTTTTTTCTGGTAGACCCACCATTGCACCAAGAATCTTATGTTATTGGGTTCTATGCCCGTTTGAATTTGCGAATCAAAATAAATACAAACAAGAATCGACTGCTGTGGTTGGGGTCAAGAGTATTACGGTTTCATGTGTTGGGTTGTCTGCGGTGTTTTAGCCAAACGGAACATTTCACCACACCCGGTACCCGCCGAAATCGCATGTCCAAGCCAGTCCAAAAAAATCCCTGGCAAGTACATTGTAGTCCGAACTGCTTGACCTAATCCGATAAATCGGAGTCCAATGGCAATGGCGTAGGACTATGAGCGACCATGCCTTTGACAGATGCCACCAGGAGGCGTAGACCATGGGTACCAGCCAAGACAACTAGAAGAATACCGCGTTGTTTTGTACAAGCACGACAAAATGGACGTGTGGTACATAGTCGTGGGAGATCTACCTCAGTGGGCGGAAGACACACAGTGGCACTGAATGCACGAAACTAAACAGGCGGCGAACACGACGACAGGGAACAAAACGCGAGCATACCTCACCTCCTCTCCCCTGACTCACTTGTGAAGTCTGCATTCGCCACTAAGGTGTAAAGGCATAGTGGTGGCCTGCGGAAGCGAAAGCTATAGCTTGTGTGTTTCTGAACATTCAAGTGATGCTAACGTGGATCCCGCGAATATTATTACTTCAAGTATTATTATTATTATACCGCAAAGTAAATAGTTGGAATTGACTGACGTGTTGCTTATCTATCCGTGTATTTCTGTGCTGTCAAGTCAGCCTTGACCTTCATCATGTTCATTGGTAGACCTACGATCATGTAGATCTACGGTCATGTTTGTACAAACACTACAATCATGATTCATGTAGATCTACATCAGATTCTATTGACTGAGTATTGTGTGTCGGATTAGTGGCCCAGCAAAAACGCCTCCAAGGCTCCATTCAAAGGGCTGCGCGGGAGACTATGCTTCATCACCTGTCCTGTTTTGGTTGTGCGCGTCCGGGCCCCAACTAATATTACTTACACAAGGCCCGTCGGTCCTATGCCTATGGCCTAGCTATCTATCATGACCTATAGCTGGCGAGAAAGAAATCTGGAAAGGCTGACGAGGGTCCGGGGTGGACTCTCATTTTTCATGGTGAGCAAGAGTAACAGTTAGCTAGCGCTATCCCTGCGTAGCTACCCTTCAGGCTTCATCTATCTTCAGCCAGTTTATGTCACAGGAGCCACGACTGGCTTCAAGCCATCAAGGGGCGTTTCAGCGGCTATTTTCACTGTGATCGAGTTTGTTGCTCTGCGGATTTGTGACGAGAAGAGTGGCAGGTTTGGGAGTGCTACGAACAGCGCAAAACAGTAGCACTGGACAAGATATCTAACTAAGTTACTTGGAACGTTCAGTATTACAGGAGCCACACTCCCGTTGATCAACACGATAGTTGATTAGGTGCCGCAAGTTCAGTGCCATTGCCATTGGATCTCGAGTGTTGCGAGCCTCCGCCCGTACCCGTGGGGCCAAACAATGGCTTCCAACACATCCGACGAGCCTGTGGCAGTGGACCCAACCCGTGCTGCTGACGAGCGCGCAATTGAGAAGGAAATGGCCGAGGCTGGTGTAAACGACGTGCCTCTAGAGAGTGACCTCACGGAGATTCTCACTGGTGATCACAAAGATGTCATGCTTCTCGGTTACATGACGGCCATTATACGACTGTTTGACGGCGCGAACGGCGAGGGAAACCCGGGCATCTGCTCCACAGTTGAAGAAGTAGTTGACTGGATATCTTTCGCCGTGGTGGTCATCATCTTTACCGTCCGCCATTTCATCCTGATTCCCAAAGGCAAGGTATGGCACCGCGTCCTCCGCGGCCTCTTGTTCACCTCCTTTGCACTCTGCGTTCACAGTCAGCCAATCTCGTGCTCGTTGCCACGGACTACCACCACGGTCAACGGAACGAGCACGGTGAAGGTGATGGGGTTGTCGACGCTGCACTACGTCCAGGGTGCGGTGATGCTGACATTAGCCATCATTGCCACGGAGTTCTTCAGGCAAACCGTCACGCGGGATCACGCTGCGGCCAAGAAGGCAGCATCTGACAAACAAGAGACGATACCGCTGACGGAATTGCCCCATAGCGGTCCACCCGCCAACCTGGATGACTAGAGGTGCAGTGACGGAATTATCCAACAGCGGAGCACCAGGCCAGCATGACTACATAATATTATAGAGTTGCAGGGCCGTCAGCACCGTCCAGATCTGATCAATTTAGCCATAGCATGAGGTCCGTGAGTTGGTTTATGGCTTGCAGTGTAGTTTCGTAGCTCAGTATGGTGTTGTTAGGTCAGGTCAGGGGAGCTGCTGGACTGGCAAGTGCACCGTTGCAGGTTGGATTGAATGCTGCTCTCAGTCAGTCTCTCTCTCTCTCTCTCTCTCTCTCTCTCTCTCTCTCTCTCTCTCTCTCTCTCTCTCCGCCTCTATCTCTCAGCTCTCTTTCTTTCATCACTGATAATGAGACCACATCTTGATGGACAGAGGTCTGTTCCATTTTAGTCTCGATTCCTACTGGTTCCCGGTAGCAAGGCCTACACCGTACACTGCCTATCACTGTGTATGAGAAGTCTTGAATGGAGAGCTGCATGGCCCCAGACACTGTATACTATACTCGTAGAAGTATATTGCTCTGATCTGATTACTATTACAAGCGGTGTGATCTTTTTTTAAAGAAATGTTAACTTACTACACAGTACTTCGAAGTAGGATGTTCTAGTACTTTGCAGTGTGCTAATCCCTGATCAGTGTGCTGCGTATCACGCAATGGTGTTCGGCCTGATGATTGTACTGAGCATGAAACGAGTTGCAACGAACTACAAGTTGTAGCCTCATACTGTTCCACTATGTATAGGGCAATTTAACTGCCAATTTCACAACATAGAAAGCTTTTTGATATAACCTTGTGCTGTCGTTTGCATGCCATCATGAGAGCTGATGTACTTGTAAATCGATGATAATTGGGTGGATGTACATTGTACATGTACTGCTGAGTGAAGGATCTGCACACAGACATACCTCATGCCCGTCACCTGTGATGCCTCAGCTGGCTGGGTGATCACTGATCAGATGTTTACTGTGACACTGGAGTGGCAGACACCAGCGATGACGGGCATTCAGGAGTGTCTGGCTCCACGGACTGCCTTGTACATAACCGTGGCCACTACTAAGTCTTGTATTCGCTTTGTTCGCCCACCAGGCCGGAGTGGTCAAATGCCAGTCCCTGCCATCCCTGCACAGTGACTGCTATTGACTGCAGTATGCACTCTGTGTGTGTGTGTGTGTGTGTGTGTGTGTGTGTGTGTGTGTGTGTGTGTGTGTGTGTGTGTGGGTGTGTGTGTGTGTGTGTGTGTGTGTGTGGTGCAATCCCAGCACAAGTTGCTATGGCTTCTGCTGTAGCATCGCTATCATCGCCTCCGGCGATGGGCGTCCAATGGTCCAATGGTGTGTGTGTGTGTGTGTGTGTGTGTGTGTGTGTGTGTGTGTGTGTGTGTGTGTGTGTGTGTGTGTGAGTGTGTGTGTGAGTGTGTGTGTGTGTGTGTGTGTGTGTGAGGGGAGGGGGGGGGAGTGTTCCTGACGCTAACGCCACAGCAGCACCAGAACGATTCAGTCTTTCAGCAAATACAGCGGGTGTCCTTGGTAAATACAGCGGGTGTCCTGGGTAAACGGCTGTGTTTGCACTCCCAGCCGTTTCGAATGCCTTCGGTGGGCAGTGTGCTTAGCAGGGAGTCGTACACACGGATCCGCGCCACTCCCTGCATGTGACTGCTAGCTCCATCCAGCATAAGCAGGGTCTGTTGGGTGTGACGGTGGCCTTGGTGATGTATCCGTGATTGAAGATAGTTTGTTGCTGTGGCTGAGCAAGGTAGGGGTCCGAAGGTTTACCACGATCATGTACATGCTGCATACATGTACAGTGCATACTGGTAGGATTAGAAACTGCATTTGCAAAACGATTCCTTAGCAACCCCCTCATTCCAGTCGTCTGCTCGACCGCCAACGACTGGCAAACTGCAGCATTTCATCTCTGTCCTGTCTCTACTGGGTTCTGACTTCTTAGCACTGGTCCTGGTCTTGCTATGGCATCATGTGAACATGGCACTCCTTCCCATGAGGAGACCGACAGACACACCACCTACGCCACTACAGTAGTATGCATCGGTATAGAAGGATACAAATTTGCCATGTTGCAGACGACCACTGGCACACATATCAACCCATCGGCATCAATTGAGTGTGCTGGAATTGTCTTCTTAAAACAGAAATGTGCATGACATGCATGCTGTCCAATGCTACAGAACTACTACTGAAACGCTGTAAAATAAAATGGCTGGTGCAGACAACAGCGAGCTTCGGTCGGACCAGCCGACCATTTGGGGGAAACAACAGAGATTTGCTAGCTGGCGAGGGCAAACGGCTAAGCAGATGGGCCAGGAATGTATACTGCGGGTCAGCACCGTGAGGTTTGAAAAGAAAACTATTGAAACATATACTTAAAGTGGTACGGCAACATCGGACGGGCGCACGGATGTACATAAGATAAAGCAGAGATAGCGAACTTGATGTCACCACCAAGGAAGATATTTCATAAAATGTCCCTTCCACACGAAAGAGGAAAGGAGTTGAAAATAGACTAAAACAAAATAGGTAACGAATGGCTTCAATACTGAGCTTCTGGACTACTGCTGTCTAGACGCAATGAGGCCAAACGACCTGTGTCAAATGGCTCCAGGGCGGGGTTCGCTACGGGCTGTTGGACTGCAGGGGGTACGTGATGTGCTGCAGGCTGAGCCTGCTGCTGCCCACTGACTGGCACAAAGGCGTGTGGCAGAGCGGGCCGGACGATCGGCGATGCACCGTACGCCGAGAAGGGCTGCCCGGGGCCCTGCTGGTAGGACGAATGTGCGGGCTGGTGTGATGTAGCTGTGACTGTAGCTGGCAGTGGTGGCTGTGAGGTGAAAGCGGATACGGGTTGGGCATTAAGCGGCTGCTGTGCCTGTGGGATACTGTGTGCGGGGAACAGGTGAGTAGTTGGTGTGGCGGTGGTTTGACTCCATTGGAAAGGCTGGGGCTGAGGGGAAGAGAACGCACCGACTGTTGCAGCAGGCAAGGGTGCTTGCATCTGCTGCTGGGCGCTGTGTGGTCTTTGTTGCGGTGGCTGCTGCTGCTGCTGTGGATGCTGTGGTGGTTGTTGCAGCTGTCGACCTTCCCTGGCATCTTTGTCCTCGGTTGGGCCACCTGTACTGCCGCCGTCACTCTGCAATGGCAGAGCAGACTGACTGTTAGTGACAGCAACTAGTTCAGACACGTCTCCAGCACCGGTAGTGTCTTCCGCGGATGCCGGCTGCGGCTGTGGATCACCATCCACAGTAGCAGCCGCAGGTTGACGCGAGGGCTCAGCCTGCGAAGCACTCCTCGCACTGTCACCCTGGAAAAAGAAACGCAAGCACGTAGGTACTTTACACCAAAGTCCACTGCATGTCAAATGTCTCGAGCGTGCCATTTCAAGGATGAGAAAAGAGAAGCATCGGCACTCAACTGCATGTCAAATGTCTCGAGCGTGCCATTTCAAGGATGAGAAAAGAGAAGCATCGGCACTCAACTGCATGTCAAATGTCTCGAGCGTGCCATTTCAAGGATGAGAAAAGAGAAGCATCGGCACTCAACTGCATGTCAAATGTCTCGAGCGTGCCATTTCAAGGATGAGAAAAGAGAAGCATCGGCACTCAACTGCATAGGCTGCAGAGGTATAGTATAGAGGCAAGGCTCCAGTCAAACTAGAGATGAACCTACAGATAGCCTCAAGCGTATGTAGAGTTTAGACCATGCAACCTGATCAGATGAATAAAGCAGGATTGTGTTGAGCAGAAGCACAATTCAGTGAATGCAGAACGGTGTTGAACACGCCAACACCCAACATACTAGAGAGTCAATGTCTAGAGCTGTTTATGCCTACCTGTTGCTGCCGTTGCCGTTGTTGTTGTTGTTGTTGTTGCTGTTGATGATGATGCTGCCTGAGCTGATCCTCCAGCATGGCGATTCTCTCGTCGCGGCCAGCAACACGGTTTTGCCACTCAACACTGGCTTCCTGCATCATGGCCATGTTGTGTCGTAGCTCCTGCAGCTCCTGTGCCATCTCAGTAGAACTGTGCAGCAAGTGACCTGCTGTCTCGGCCGGCTGCAGGCATACATGCAGGAAAGTGAAAACAGCCATTGCAACGTTTGTGGGTGCTTTGAAAACTTTTTCCGACCCCGCAGGCATAACGCAGGGTCATGAAAAGCGTACAGTGTTGCTCAATGAAATCTGATTCCATTAGTGGAGTACGCACGAGGTGCTATGCAGCCCCAGACCTGCAAACACTTGGATGTGAGCCGGTGAAAGGCGCACACTTGACTCATACGGTCAGGTTTCATTAAGCAGCACTGCACCGAAAGTACGGTTTTACCCAGGGTACTTTATACAGAACGGTTTCCCTATCCATGTATTTACTTCAGGTACCATGAATCAATATTGAAATGTCAGTTCCAGGAATCAAAAAGATGTAGAGCAGAAGGAAACAAACCGAAAATAATTTCGGCCAGCAAGATTAACAATTTTTGAGCCCTGCTGACCAAAAGCATGTCAACTATTTTATAGACGTGGCATTATCATAAGCACACGTTAAAGGGGAAGTCCGGTGAAAAATTTAAATTTCACAGTCCGTAGAGTTCGGGTCGCTGAGTCGAATGGTCTTTGTCCGAGGAGGCTGCGGCTTATGGTTCGTCAGATACGCCCAATCGAACATGTGCGAATTTGAGCGCGCATCACCCAGATCCAGGTGATGACGTCACAGCGTGCAGCCAGGTAGCCACACCATCTAGTTGTGTACAAAAATGGCCATATTCGGAGTGCGTTCGATTGGGGAACCGTTTGTCGCAGCTTCTTCGGACCAAGACCATTCGATTCAGTGTTACAAACACTACGTACCCTGTGATTTTCAGCTCGGTAAACCTGGAGGTTATACCGTATTATAGCCGTTTCCGAGTTGGACTTTTCCGTCAGCCTCTACGCGCTCTGCGCTGCGTGCATGCAGTGCGTGCAGTGTGTTATCTAGCTGTAGTGCAGTCAACAAACTCATCACAGACGGAACTACTCCCGCACTGCCGTGCTGGGGTAGTACAAGACTCGAGTCACAACGTGCAACTGACACAAGACTCAGAAAACTAGTCAACACACGGACTTGTCATGTACTACACTCGTATCAGCTCAGTCGTATCGTTCAGTCATGTAGTCAGAGAACGTGCGTTTCTCCTTGCCGGTGCCGGTGGTTGTGCTTTGAGAAAGAAAATTTTAGTTTTCCGCACCCGCCTCATTATTTTATGTTACAGCGATGAGTGCACAACCGTGACAAGTGACAAAACAGCGAACAGCTTCCGGACCTAGAACTTTCAGATTCCATAGCGTTGCGAGCGAAGAGTCGTGCCCGTGGTTCAAAGAGCCTGCACTGTTCTCCAATTGAGTAGTCCGAAATATTCCAAGTTCGCACCAAAACATCACCATGTGGCAGGCTACTGGAGTCTAAGCGAATCTAATCGGTATGGAACAACATTTAGAGCACTCGCATCACTCTTCTCCATTTTGGCGACCCTGCTCTCCAGCGATCTGATCAGCCTCGTCTGCAATAGCTGCTGCTTCTTCATCAGTCGGAAACTCAGTAGCGCTCACTCTTGACCGGCCCGCGTGGCCATTTCTTCAGCTGAATACCGAGGTTCTCAGCCCCAGACCGAACTCATGAAGGTCAGCCATGGCTGCATCCTCACTCTCACAAGGAGTTACAGGTCTTCGGGGTCGCTTGCACCAAACTATCAGTCGCCAAATCATTTGAAATAGCACTGACACTATTGCTTTCACGCACTCCTTTTGACCTAGCTGCACGCTATGACGTTGCAGAGGGTGTGGCGCGGCCGCATGACGTCATGGCGCAGCCCCCGAAACTCAGTTTTTCAAACGGAAATATCTCGAGAACGCTTTGTCGGAGACACGTGGGACCAACACCATTCGACTCAGCGCCCGAAACTCTACCGACCCTGAAATTTAAATTTTTCACCGGACTTCCCCTTTAACAGACGAAAACAAGTCTGCCCTTGCTGAATGGAATCACTGGTGCTGCAATAAGCAGCAACAGTTGAGTGCACATATGTGTGTGTGTGTGTGTGTGTGTGTGCGTGCGCGTATGTGTGTGTGTGCGCATGTTTGTGTGGTGTGTGTGTGTGCGCGCGTGCACGCTTGTGCGTGTGTGCATGCATATGTGCATGTGTGTACTTATGCTTGTTCGCGGAAGCCATAATGCTTACCTGACGGAAGTCCTGCAGCTCCTTGGTCCGCTGCTCAAGCTGATTGGCTAATGCGTCACGTTCCTGGCGAATGCGATCACACTCCTGACTCAAACCCTGCAGTTGCTGCTTAAGGGTAGATATTTGTCCATCCTGCAGCAAAATTGTATTTGGTGAACAAGAACAGAAAACTCTGACTCAAACCTACTGATCTAGGTGTGCAGTAGGGCATGGTGGCACGTGGCAGATAGAAAAGAAGGCAGCCTGATTGCTGCAGTCGAGAGGTTGGCGCAGTCCGTGATTCCTTTCAAGATTACTTCAGAAGATATATACCTGGTCCCCGAGAGAGAGAGAGAGAGAGAGAGAGAGAGAGAGAGAGAGAGAGAGAGAGAGAGAGAGAGAGAGAGAGCGAGCGAGAGAGAGAGAGAGAGTTGCGGCAGCTCGAGAGAGTGCTTGATGCCCCTAGGTGCAGAGCCTTATACAGGTACTTGAAATACATGTACCCACATATGCATGGTCCCCAATAACTTTTATCCACACGTATCGAGTCAATGTCCAGCAATCAGCACACGGCCTTCTGTAGTCCTTGGCTATACCACATCAAAAGGATCTCTTCCAAATGTTCGCCCATGAGCTGCATCATCAGGGATGGGCAGGAGGATACGGATCATGCCTAGCAAATGGGTTCACGGCAGCACTACAACCAACACCGGTCGTGAACAGATTAGCTCACCTGCTGTCGTATGAGCTCCTTGTAGGAGAGGAGGACGGCTTCGTGTTCCTGTTGAGTGCTGACATCGGCGGCGGTGGCTGCTTGCGACGGGGACTTGGCCGGCGAAGGCGGCGGTGTACCTTCCGGACGTGACCTCTCCTTGCCCCTGACCTAGAAAGGAACAACATAAAATAAATCACGGTGTGCAAGTGCGTGAGAGTTGGCTGGAGGCCGGAACGCCCCCACCCTCTATGGATCAAGGCACAGATGCAGCTCCTAAAGTAGGTTCCTGACCAAGGGCACACCAGGTCCATGGCAGCAGTGGCAAGCATGAACACAACGGTACACAAGGGAGTCGGTGTGCTCGACACTCAACAATGCTACACTTTTATCGCCGTATGCAATCTTCGTCCTACCAGTAATCGTAATCGCAGTGATCCAGAAGTCAATGCAGTCCACACAACGGCGAAACCGGGTCAAATGATCACCAAGTATTAGCTAGCAGCTGCTTAGTCTCTACATGTTTTCTGTGGCGCAAAGTGCATAATGTACAAGAGTTACCCTGGCTCTAGAGAGACCACCGTGACCTGTGCTCAAAGGCCATGCCTGGCTGGTCCCACTGGTGTGGTCTCAGAAGAAGCCAGGCTTCAGGCTTCACCTGTACTGTACAGCCAACTCCAGCTACTGCATATACTCATGAATGTGATGGCTATACACCGCCATATGAGACAGAAAAGGTCTATCTTTCGGTTTCCCGACTCTGTCGTTCACGAAATCCACCAAACTGAGTGATGTACTACTACAGCTAGCTGTAATCATTTTCGCAAGATTTCACGACCCAAATCAGCCGCCATGCAAATAGTCTAGTACCCTACCTTTGCCGTAATGTCGTCCACGGTTTGACGGTACAAGGACACCAGCTGGTAGCTGTACAGGACGTCGCTCTCGCGGTCAAAGCGCGGCTGCGGGCCTCGGCCAGCTCTCAGGAAGACCTCCGACTGCGCCAGGTTGCTGATGGCCTCCACCACATAGTCGGCGCTGTGTCGCTGTAACAGGGCATGGCGGACACTCTCTTCAGCAACACCCTGCAGCCAGCATGCCCCACATCGCAGAAGAGAAAGCAAACACACAAACAGGGCAACAGAGTCAAAAAAGCATAGAAAACAAAAACAGCTGTGCTAAGTATTCAACTTTGTTTATTCTCTCCGTGCTCTATTCTTGGTATTGCAATCCCCCTCAACTCTCTCTCTCTCTCTCTCTCTCTCTCTCTCTCTCTCTCTCTCTCTCTCTCTCTCTCTCTCTCTCTCTCTCTCTCTCTCACACAAACACACATACACAAACGGACACACACACACGAACACATACGAATGCATACACAAGCACACACACACAGGCACAGACACATGCACACACACACACACACAAACACACACGAGCGCACGCGCGCACATACACACACACACACAAGCAAAACGACATACAGTAGATCCACACGCGGAGCCATGTTGTTCCCTTAACAAGCAAACGCATTCTTCAGGAGACCGTACCTGTGGCTCATACAGTATGCAAATACCCAGCAGAAAGGCCATCATGTTACGCAACACGCGATCACACTCTTGCTGCGCCTCGTCCTTGTCGCCGGCATCCGGCGGCATGTCAAGGCCGGACACGAGCACGCGCAACGCCGAGCCGGAGCGGATCAGAGCGGCAATGCCGCGCGGACACTCGTGCAGCCAGCAGCAGAGTAGCGAGAAGCAGGCGAGGCGGTGCGTGAGGCTGAGCTGTCGGCTGCACGCCAGCACTGCAGTCTGCGGGAGCAGGGCGACGGGAGCGCCGCCGGCAGCCATGCCAATGTGCACGTCGAGCAGCGCTTCCTTCTGCGCCGAGTGCACCACCACCGAGCAGAGAGCGGCGCCGGAGCACCAGGCCACCAGCGGGTCCGCGCTCATCAGGCCGCCGCAGAGCAATGCCCCCGCCGACACACCACTACCACCGCCGCTGTTATTACCGGGCAACATACTGGCCACTAGGTGCTTCTGGCTGGCCTGGTTGTCCAGCAAGAACGCTTGCAGGCAATAGAGCGTGGCCAGGCGCAGGCGCAGGCACTGCTTCTCCGACACCAGCGACATGATGACGCTGAGCACGGCAGAACACGGCGGGCTGCCACCGCGCACCTGCACCTGGACGTTGGCAAACGCTGACTGGCTGGCCGCGCAGCCGCGAATGCACTCGGCCACCGTGCCGATCGCCTCCGTCAGCACGTCCAGCTGCAGGCCCGGCGACAGCATCATGCCACACAGGGCCAGCAGCAGGCGACTCGAAGCCAGTGTCCGCTGCGCCAGTGGCAGCAGGCTGCCGCTCGGCGTCACCAGGCAGCGCAGCACCTTGAGCATTGCCACCAGGTTGCTTACTTTCTGCGCCGGCCACGCGCCGTCCTCCGGCTTCTCCAGACTGAAGAACGGCAACAGTTTCTGCAGCTGGTTGCCCTCCAGGAAGAGCGTTTGGTTCCGGGAGTGTGCCAAGAGAAGATTGGACAGCAAATCGATACAATCTTCAGTCACGATGCCACCGTCACTTGCACCTTCCTCGGCTATAATGTCCAGGATGCGATCAAAGCCACTCTCGAACGCCACGATGCCCTGTACCTGGTCGTTGCCGCGCGTCAGCTCTTTCAGCAGCAGTAGAGCGTCGTTGCGTATGATCTCGCGGCTGTCCGACAGCAGGTCCATAAGGCGCGACACTCCCATCGGACATGCCAGGATGCATTCCTGCATTCTCGCAGCCTTGGCCGCGATCAGTGCGGTCAGTAGCTTGACAGTTGCCCAGCGTACCTGGAACGAGTACTCCTCCACTATTTCCATGATCAACGAAATGTTGTCCTGCCGCTTGGCCAGGGCTTCGGTTGACCTTGTGGCGATCGCAGCGGCGTCGTCATCCTTTTCACCCTGCCCAGTGGGAATTTCCACCACCGAAGCCATTGTCTCCAGAATTGCACAGCAGAGCTCCGGGTCACTGCGATCCCGGCGCAACGCGGCGATCAGGGGTCCCAGGGCCTGCGTGCCCACTTCCAGGCGGTTCGTCTTTGCCAGGGCTTTCAAATCAGCAACGGCTTCACGTCTGTCAGACACCAGCGAGGAAGATGCAAGGCGATCGCACAAACGATCGACATCCTCGGTGACTTTCGCAGCTCCATTCGTCCCGAGGCCACTGGCCGCACCCAGAACAGAGCGACTAAGGCTGGCGAAGAAGCTCATATCCTTCTCTTCAACGACAACTACGCGTTCATTGTACCAACTTACTTCCAGAAGTAGACAGGATATGATAATGTTTCTGCAATTTTTAGGCAGGCATATCAAAGCCAAAGGCAAAGGCAAAGCTCGTCCAATTTTTTTTAAATCTGGAAAAGATCGACAAAATAATTTTTTAGCACTGATCTGGTGACGTCACCAGGAGTCTCGTATCTGGTGACCATGGTGACGCGTGATCGCGATCGCGAGCACGGGGGGAAAACAGCCGGCTTTCGTAACTCCCGGTACGGTGTCCCTGCTGCCCTGGTTGTAACTTGTAGCCAGGGAGTAGCACAATACCGGCATACTACAGAACCACTCCCTGGTGGCGCATGGCAATGGTGATGGCGTTGCTGCGCTGCGTTGTCGTCTTGGTTTTGGTCTCCTGCGTGCCAGTGTTGCCTGCCTTCGCGGTGCCCGGCGGATGCGCCGCGTCAATGATCAGTCTGCTGTCCTCGCAAACACGGAGGCTGCATTGATTATTTTAAAATTAACGTTCTTTGCAACTACTGCAGTTTAATGCCTCGCTTGTCAATGGCACTGTCCCCACAGCCTTCAAACTCGCACACGTTATCCCGCTGTTCAAAGCTCGGGACCCGTCTATTTCCACTAACTTCCGTCCAGTGTCCCTACTTCCTATAATTATTGTTTCTTGGAGAAAGTCGTACAGAAGAAGCTAGCCCAGTTTCTGGACATATCTGGTACCCTCCCCACGACTCAATTTGCATTCCGCGCAGGCCACTCAACAGAGGATGCCCTGGCACTTATGCTAAATCGTATTCTTATTGCACGGGACAAGCGTTTGTGTACTGGCATATGGCTTCTAGATATTATGTCAAAGGCATTCGACAAGGTTCGTCATGAACGGCTACTCCGGGACCTATTCGATATCGGCATAACAGGGACAGCCCTAAAGTGGTTTTCCGCCTATCTGTCGGGCTGTACTCAGCGTATCTGTATTGGACGGGATCAGAGTGCCATTTCTGAACCATCCGGTGGCGTGCCACAAGGTTCTGTTCCAGGACCGATCCTTTTCAGTATCTACACCCGCGAAGTTCCAACCATAGCTAACCAGTCTTCATTGGTTCAATTTGCCGATGACATCGCGCTGATCAGCATCAGCACATACCTCGACACGGTATCTGCTACGCTATCGGCCTCTGTTTCTGCACTTGCTGACTGGTTGCAGACCCGTGGTCTCATTTTGAATGCAGCCAAGAGCCAAGTAATCCCTGTATACCTGGTATACCCCAGCAGCCCCAGCACACGATCAATGTAAACTGTCATGAAACGTAGGGTCCAGCGGATAATGCTCCGAAAATGTTCGTATAATGCTAACCATAATGCTCCAAAAACTGCCTTATAATGCTGATTATAATGCTTCAGCAAGGGATATAATGCTCTTGGTTTGGGACAAAAATGGAAGAAAGTCTGCACATTGTCAAACTTCCAGGAAATTATGCATATCGTCGATCTGCATCTGAAGTTGCCACCTTATCTCTCAGGAGCTCCACCACTTCCTGGCACTATAAGACATGATCGCTTCTCCATTGATTGCTCTCCATTCCACTTTGATGCAGGGTTGTGGCAGAATAGTCGGTGTATCAAATCTTTCCCCTAGTTATCCATGTAGTGAGAGATGAAACCATTATTGCAGGTAGTCATTCATTGTTGGGATGAAGTTTATCTTGGCAAATAGTATTCCTGCCTGCAGACAAGCTGTCACTGCGTCCACTCTGTGAATAATGTCTTCATCTGAAACACCAGATGTGAGGCCAGCTTCTGAGATCCGGTCTCAGATGGAGAGCCCTCCCATTTGCGGAAATCCTGAAAACACGTGGTCAGAAGTTATTTTGCCACTCTACATCCTTTGCTTGTGCTCTCATCTTCTCCTTGAGATGGTGTGTAGACGTATGACTTTCCACAATACTCTTCCTTTCTGATAGCATTTGACTGTAGGCCTGGCATCACAACCGTCCACGACTAACTGTACGTGCTTCATCAAGAAAGTAAGACAGGCGCTGCTGAGCAATCGACTTGGTACTGAATCCATGAGAAATTCTAGTTCTTTTCGAGCCTCCTGAGCTGGACTCGGCAAAGGCAGTTCTTTTGGAACGAGCTCTTTCTGTTATAGCCGCTCCTTCATCCTGGTCCAAATTTAGCAATGCATCAGTGTCTACTTCAGTATCGCTAGAGATACTATCGCCAGAGCCTCTGGCACAACTAGAAAACTCATCTTCGTCTGTTTGATATTCACTTCGGGTATGTCTCCTCCATCCATAGCTCTCCATTATTCTAAAAGTAAAAGAAACCTCGTAAATATTTTCTCCGGATTTGTGTCACTTGAACTGTCTCGGCCTCGGTTGGGCATGCTTTGTAAGTTGTATACATTTACCTGACCACATCGCTACAATCATAACGTTTTTATGTAGCGATAGTTATGTAGCGTTAGTGCTAAAGGTGTTACGTGTCTACAAAGTCAAGCGCCGGTACAATGCATAGTGCTCAAACGCCCGGAATTGGCAGAGCGTAGTACGCAAGAGGTACACAAAGGGAGTAAAATAGGGCTGTTTCGTTGTTACTCAGAGTTTCATGGCAAAGCCAATCATCAGACAACATCTCATGATCATAATTGTAGCCGATTGTTGCCAAAAACCTGGGATTTCCCGATATTATCCACTATGAAACTCGTTATGCCGCTCAAACCTCACATAATGCTCGTTTAGTTCCTTTCTAATGCTCCATAATGCTCTGATGCTCGGATAGTCGTATAATGCCGAATATAATGCCGGCATTATCCGCTGGACCCTAATGAAACGCCGATTCATGTCGTTACTGCGGCCAGGTACTGTATCTGGGAGTGCTCCTCGACTCGGATCTGTCATGGACGCCCCATGTTGATCGCTGCACCGCTCGACTGGCCTAGAGGATCGGAGCACTATGGAGGTTGCGTCGCTGCTTGACTCATCAGAGCCGAGTTCTCTACTTTAAAGCAATCATCATGTCTGGCCTGATGTACGGATCCAATGCGTCCTCCCCACTTCTTACTGCCAACCAATTGGATCGGCTACACGTCATGTAGTATCGGGTGGCAAGGGCGGTTTTCGGACTCTCGCATCACACCTCCGCGCGCACCCTCCTGCTGAAATTGGACACATACAGAGTATCCGAGATATTCAGGCAGAAGTTAATCGTTCTTGTCTGGAGGTCTCGGAATGGGCACGCAAGTTCTGATCTGCAAGCCCTCCTAGTTCCTCCGTCAGTTGGCCCAACTAGGTTGCACTCCACCATGGGTCTGCGCCAACTGCCAGCTTGCACCAGGTTCGGCAAGGGTTGCCTCGCGTTCCGGGGCGCCCAGCTGTGGAACACCTTACCCAGCAATATACGTGCCATCTCCACGCTCCGCCAGTTCCGCGCCAGCACGATCCCGCACAGCCTTAGTACCTAGAGTACCAAACGTCCTGTTTGATTATCAGCTGGCTTAGTTTCTCTCCACCTCTATCCTTATTACATCCCTCCCCAATTTCAGTAATTCCTGCTTTCTATCTGCATTCGCCACCTTTTCTTTGGCCAGATCTGCCCGTTTGGTTTGCGAATTAAAATAAACACAACAACAACAACAACAACAACAACAACAACAACAACAACAACAACAACAACAACAACAACAACAACAACAACAACAACAACAACAACAACAACAACAACAACAACAACAACAACAACAACAACAACAACAACAACAACAACAACAACAACAACTCTTTGAATGATGACAATGACAGTAACCTGATGTGACGCATTTGTCTTCTTCTCACCTTTGCATGCATGTTAGGCATTGGCGGATAATGCTCGAAAAGGTGGCAGATTCTGCTTGAAAAGCAGCAAAATTGGCAGAACCATACAAACCTTATGGCGGGCAATTCCTCGAATTCTGCTCCATTTCTTTATCCACGTACCAAACATGCATGAAACTTACCAGAAAAAGTACCGCCGAATTCTGCCAATTTTTCTGCCGGCATTATCCGCAAAGGCCTAATGCACGTACATACAGTACACGTACATGTACATGTACATCTTGATGTAACCTGACCACTGTGACGTGAAACCTATTAATTATGTTACCTTCTCGCCTCGGTATGCATGTCCTTCATCTTGGCTGTATAGTGGCACCGTGGTCTTGGGGGGTCCTGTGCTGTGGTATGGGCTCCCTTTGACACTGTCTTCTTCCCTCTTTTCTTCGGAGCGAGAGGACTTACAACCTTTTGGCGGAATGTCCTGTATATAAACTGCTCCTTTGTAGCTGGCACAGTATCATCTGGATGATGGCCAGGTGCCGAAACGTTGTTAGTAATGGAATTGGTTCAGATTTGCAGTGCGACTGGAATGGGTGTGTCCACCCAAACATCTTTTCTATTATGAAGCTGCAGGAAGCCTGAAGCCTTCTTTTGTTGTTTTTAGCACCTTTTTAAAAAGCCTCCCAGCACTGACATAATGAGTGACATTTCATCTGATGCCATGATCGTTTATTACATGACTTGTACATGTACATGTACATGTACATGTATATCACCTAGGCATGGGCGGGTAATGCTAGTTATTTGCTGCGATAATGCTAAAGGCAATGCTCATCATATGAGGATATAATGCCACTTACAATGCTCACACTACTCCATAATGCCAGTTTGAAAGTTTGTAAAGTCGGCCGTATTGGATCAAGGCCAAAGCGTAGAAAAAAAACTTACTAGTAAACAGCAGTGAGCATGTTGTCTGAAACAATCTACTGAGAAGGTTGATTTGCAACGTCAAGTCTCCGGACGATGCCGGACGGGTTCAGATGCACGATGTTCGGAACTGGACCTAGCCAGGTTCATGCATGACACCGTTGTCGACCGGTGATTATTCTTGTAATGCCAATTTTGCATGCGAAATGGTGTTATAATGCCAGCATTATGCCACCTGGAAAAAAGGGACTATAATGCCAGCCATAATGCTAGCATTACCCGCCCATGCCTAATATCACCTTTGCGGCTACTGCTGCATGACTCCACTGTCTTGTCGACTTGTCGTCTGCACCCGAACTGGCGCATGGCCGAAGCTTGCACTATTACTAATGGTTTTGTTTTCCCCCTCCTCGATTCGCTCCCCTGATCTTATGTCCATGCTACACTGTACCTGTTTCTGGACCACCAGTTTCATACCGGCAACCGTTATCCGTAGCTTCTTGCTTTCTCTGTACTGACTGTCTGTGTGGACACAGTCATAGTCATGTGGGCATGTACATGTACACCAGCCCCGTCTATAGAGCACCTTCTCGCGACAATGTCATGGTGGTGGCAGTAACTGTTGACATCTGACGAGCTGAGAGAAGGACGCCATGGGCAGAAGTTGGAAGAAAAGAAGTTGAGGTTTAGGTAGCTACATGACTACCAGGACGACATCCAGGAGCGATCATCCTTGGACCAACGTTATTCCTCCTGTACGTAAATGACTGCGAGGACACCTTGCCTGCTGGTGCTGAGCTTGCCACGTATGCAGATGACACGGCACTGTATCAGTGCATCTCTGCCACCGCCAGCATATCCGACTCTGCAGCACAACTCCAGGAAGCAGTGGACGCCGTCTCCCACTGGGGTTCCAAGTGGAAGGTCACCTTCGAGCCATCCAAATCTCAGGCCCTCATCATCGACCACCGCAAGCCTCCCCCAGCGTTCCCACCAGTGCTCTTCAATGGAGTGACTGTTCCTGAAGAGAAGGAAATTAAACTTCTGGGCATAGCATTCGACTCGCAACTGTCCTACGCAGCACACCTCCGGGCCGTGGCCTCAAAGGCTGCCCAACGCCTACACTTCCTGAGAAAGGTTGCGCCCCTGTTGGACTCCAGCGGCCGCACGGCAGTCTACAAAGGCTTCGTGCGGCCAACAATGGAATACTGCTGCCTGGTGTGGATGGGGTCAGGTACATCCAGACTGGACAAAATCCAGCACAAGGCACTGAAGGTGATTGGCCCAGGCGCCTGGCTCCCCAGCCTGAAACACCGCCGACTGGTTGCTGCGCTTTCGTTCACGTTCAAGCTGTCTTACCTTCCAACAACAAGCCCCCTGAAGCCCATCCTCCCACCTCCAGCCAATCCCCGCCCAGTGGGTGGTCGATCCACTAGGTTAGCCACGGAGACTGCCCACTGCCACCCGCTCCAGCTCAAGTCGACGCTGCCCGTGCACATTCGTAGCAGCCTCCAGGGTTCCTACCCAGACTGCATTATTCCCTTGTGGAACAGCCTACCAGCGACCATTCTACCAGCACGGCCGCAACCCAGCCAGCTCCAATCATTCAAAGAAAAATGCAACAAGTATCTGCTGCACCTGAACTGGCAAGCAGCCACCGACGCCCTATGAAACGGTTTAGACCAGTGCCTCACTAGCATCCCCCCCCCCTTACCACAATGTGACGTTATCTTTCACTCTGCTTCTCTCACGACCATCTACCCGTTGTCCTTGTTTCTCACTATTATTCATTTCCCCTCTTCCTCCTCTCTACATGGTTTTACTGCATTATGGCGCGCTTTGTCTGCGTAGACGCCGAGACCTTTGAGGTCGGCAGAGCAGCCTGGCCCCGCCACCACTTCTCGCACATATTCGGGAATATAGTGGACTTTCGTATAAAAAAAATAAAAAAAATCGAAGAATACACGACGGACGAAAGGAGTAGTCTCCAACCCCCTAGCATAATGAGGGTCAGAATTAAGGTGGCGCTACACCTTTCCGGCACCTTTCAGAGGGTCAAAAATCGAATTTTGGATTTTGACCCCATTTTCGTTTCCAGACCCTCTGGGTAGGTCCCAACCGCACTTCCCGAAAATTTGAAGTGAATAGCTTCAGTAGTTTTTGAGATATGGACTTTCAAAGGCCGCTATTGTCAAAAATAGTAATTGTAAATTCAAAAATTCTAATTTTAACGCATTAGAATTTACATTACACATGTTTTGCGTGTAACTATGATTTCGCTGGCATTTTAGCGATGAAACTTCGCGGAAAGGCTGAAAATCTCCCTGGTTTTACCTTGCTGCGCCCCACGCAGAGCTGACATCACCATCGGCATCAGCAGTGCCAGTGCGCATGTCACCACACACAGTGCGCATGTCGTACTTCAAATTTTTGGTAAATATTTTTATACCAGCAATCTCCAATCTCCAAATTGTAGCTCTTTATCAGTTTAGCTGCTTTGTTGGCTTTCATCTGTTTTGTGGAACCTTCCTTGATCACTATGGGCAAGAGGCAGTACGTAGGCCGTCCTGGTCGTCCAAAGAAGCGCAAATTCCATGGAAATCAATGTGCTAAATAATTTTAAATTGTCCAGTGAAATCACGAAAATTGTCGTGGCAGAAGACTCTTCTGTGTTGCCAGAAGATAGGGATGATGCCGAAGTCCAACAGTCTAATTCTGGTGAGAGTGAGACATCTAGTGACAGTGACAGCAACAGCTCTGGAGATGAGCGCGACGGTGATGATTACCTGACGACCGGGAGCCGAATTATTTATTTAGAATGTTTACAAAATTTACTTGCTGATAGTGCCTGTTGCTCAGCGTGCCATGGCACCCTTACACTATGTGAAGTACGTCGTGAAGGTTTGGCTTCAACTCTATCGCTGGCCTGTGACAGCTGCGAGGCTGAAAGCCGTGAAGCTATGTCCAAGAAGACTGGGCACTGCTGGGATGTGAACAGAAAACCGGCTACTGCAATGACATGGATAGGACGTGGGCATCCCTTGTGAAATTCTGCACTGTCATGAATATGCCTGCATGCCAGAAGCACACCAAGGTACTAGCAAAGGCCAGTAGAGTTGTTGCCACCAGCAGCATGAACGTGCAGCTGCGAATGCCAAGGAGTTGGCGTCTTCCCCTGATATTGCCGTCACTTACGACGGAACGTGGATGCGACGCGGCTTTACCTCGCTACATGGAGCGTTTCTTGCCATCTCGTGGGATACTGGCAAAGTCATCGACTACGAAGTCCTCTCCCGGCACTGCCAGCAGTGCACAATATTCCAGAGGAAGCTGAGCAAACATGAGATCAGCGAGGAGCAGTATACTGCCAACGTACGTGGACATGGCAATGACCTGCAAGGCATGGCATGTGCGATATGGGCATCGGTCGTGCATTGTGTTTCAACAGATGACAAGCCGCAGCATCAGTTCTGCCCCCCTGGACCAGATAGTTGGTGCAAGTGGCAGAGTCATCAAGCTGGTGGCCCTGAATACCAACATAAGAAGAGCCTGCCGGATGCAGTCTTCAAAGTCATCAAGCCTGTGTACTTGCGGCTGACTGAGAGGCAACTTCTCGAGAAATGCTTGCGTGGCGCTACTCAGAATCGGAACGAGTGCATCAATGGCCTCATTTGGCAGATTTGTCCAAAGACTGTCTTTTGCTCGTCAAGGACTGTCCAGACAGCTGTTGCCATAGTCACTGCTTGCTTCAACGAGAAGAACAAGGCCTCCGAGTAGATTCTTGAAGCGATGGGCCTGACAGCTGGTCACTACACGCGGACAGCGCTTGAGAAGTTGGACCGTGAGCAAGCCAAGAATGCAGCCAGGAAATCCTCAGATGAAGTGAAGAGTGCAAGGAAGAGGCGAAGGAGAGTGAGGTAGGGTGTGGAGGAGCAGACTGTTGATGACGAAGGTCTCACTAATGAGACTGGGGCCTTCTAAAAAGTAGCTGGCGTGGTGGACACAGATTGTAAATACATGTATTATACTGCAATTTTTCCCCTTTTTTTGGCTATTCCCGCAACTCTTAACCAAGCTACTGAGATAACCGTGGCCTGCAGACCCAAAAAAGTATACATTTTTGAAATCTGTGAAGCATTAGCTAGACATTGAACCGAAGTTTCAGAGGGCTGCTCTTCATATGCTCATGATAGCACAGGTCAAACCTTTTGTTATTTTTTGCGCTTATCGTTCTTTTCTTTTCAATCTCCTGCACTTGCTGGCTTGTTTTGCTGGTGTCCCCTTTCTTTGGTTCAATGTCTTGCCATGTGTGTGTGAGACACTGCAGTGGCACTCATTTTATTGCATAGGACGCATGGTCTTCTATATTGTGGTTACAGGCGAACCTTTCATCGGATTTTGCGAACAGATCCGTCACATGTATGCCAACAGTAGATAGATGGCATCTTTGGCTTTATGTTTGCTGTTTCTGAAACGGGTATATCCAAGGAGTAAATGCTGAAAATTTTATAAGAATCTGTTGACCCATTGCTGAGATATGGGTGCTTACGTGGGACGGTGCCGGAAAGGTGTAGCGCCACCTTAACCGGGTTCAACACCCATATGGTTCAAATGGTCCGCAGGGACCGGGGCTCTGCCAACCGCGGAAGGTTGTAGTAAGGTCACTGTTTCCGAACACAGTGTCCTCCACCTTGTTTCATGCTGTCAATCTAACAATATGTACAATCATGTATGTACAGTCAGTACCGGTAGTAGATGTACAATGTCAATGACTTCTGACAAGTGACACACGTTATGTACAGTACATTCATGATTGTTATGTCAAGTAACTGGTGATGTCCGTGGACAATATAATTATAGCGTTACTTGTAGTTCCTTGGTCCTTTTTCTGTACATCAATCATTCATGGTCATCTGGCGACTGTTTTTTTTATTCTTTATTTCCACGATGGCCCATGGCCAATAAGGAAGATAATAATGATTCAAATCAGTCCAGAATCATAATATAAAATCAGGCTAGCAAGTAAGGAAACCAACACATTGCAGGGGGATGGGGCTACGATGGGGTACAGTGTGAGCTACTACAGGAGCATATGGATGGTAGACTGTTTGTCGAGTACGTGATACGTAGATCTACGAGCCCCAGGGCACGACGTCGACGGGCGACAGGCCTTCAAAAGAATCATGGCAGCATGGGTTTGGCTACAAGTACAAGGACTTAGGACTGTAGTAGGTCTAGCCATAGTAGACCCGGATCAAGACAGGTAGTTTCCGCAGCGCTAGCGGCAGCTGGCCATATCCCGCATGTGTTGCAAAAATTCCTTTCCCTTTAGCTTTACGGTTTTAGACAAGAAGCAAAACTAAGTTGGTGAAGGTCGCTGCTCAGTTCTTTTACTTGTGCTGTTGCGATGAGAGGTGATTCACAGGTGTGGGGTGAGCGGAAAGTCGGATAGATCATGGAGACAAATCGCTCTGCTCCCGGTCAACGGGCTCTGGAGGTGTTTCTGCGCACCCTGTCCACCAGTGTGCCACACAGCAGCTACAAATCAATGAGGCTGATCTGCCAGACGTCGGGGCTCATCGACAAGTCGACGCTGAGCGAAATCAGCGACTGCTTTGAGCTCTTCGCCGAGCTGTACCGCCGCAAAGTGTTCACGCCTATGAACTTCTCGTGCTTGAAGATGCTGCTTCTCTCGGAGAGGCTATACTCGCTAGCTAAACAGCTCGTGGAGTATGAGCAGTACACGAAAGCTTCGTTGCTGGCTTCTCTCGACCCCGAACAGCCACGCAACCCCACTCGAAGTCAAGGCGAGTCGTCCGGTAAGTCTATACCACTGGTGCGTGCTACATCGTTAGGAAATCTAAGGGATATTTCAGGACTGGTTATTCGTATACCATTATCAGTCTGCCATCTAGAGATAATTGCACTGTAGAATACTAGTATGGTCGAGACCATACAGACCGCTTCGTGCGTTCTTCTTTGCGGCTACATGTGCCGTAATCATGATGATGAGGTGCTATACTCCGGTGCCTGCGGGTTTTCAAGTCTTTGGCGTTGGTGCTGCTGGTGGATGGACACTTCGTGACCCCCCCTTGAACCATATTCTGATTCTCAGGTTTTGCTCATTACATGTTTGTGTGCACTTCTTGTAGATGGCCTGCGCCAGCCGGGCTCTGAAGGACGCCAGGCACACCATTCTGCCACACATTACCAGAGTGGGCGCCAGCAATCAGTGAGTTCTACCACACTCATACATGTACACGATCAGTATAATAATATTATAGTCCTCTTCTGATCTTCAAATGGGACAGTGCATAGATGTGTAGTAGTGTTTACCTGTATCTGAAGTCTTGCTACTGTTGTGTGGTTTGGCCTGTACGGACTGCAAAGACGGGGTCAGTGTCCATTTCTTCAGCAAGCGGGATCTTACTTGGCTTGCCTGTCTATGCCCTGTACTTCCATCTTCAACTTGCTCTTTGCGGGGTTTGGGTACTAATGATGCCCCCTGGAACTTTAGCTACCCAGCAAACTTCGGGGGGGGGGGGGTGGTAGCTCGAGAGAGTTCTCAACACACCTGGGTTCAGAGTCTCATGCATGTGCTGTCTGCATGATGATTGCTTTGTGCGTGAAACTCGTAGTCATGGCCCGGCGGTTCTATTTGCCTATGTCTGCATACATGGTGCACGCACACACATATACACACACACACATACACACACACACACATACACACACACGCACACACACACAAGTCATAGTATTACGCCGAGTCCCTTTGCCTCGGCTTGGTTGAGCACTCTTTCTGGTTAGTGTCAAAGTTATCTGCCCTGTTGCAAAGCTCAGGCTGTGTCTATTGCAGTTAGAGGACTCTGGCTTTGATGCGTTGAGGCGGTTTCGAAATGCTTTGTCGTTCTTTAGACGTCATTGCGATTGGTTCGGCCAGTAACTCTGTGCTGTGCTGATGATATCTACCAAGATCGAAACAGGTAGCTATCCGGAGATCAAGTCACAGTATCTATATGTAGCAGAAGCTTTGCTACTTTCAGTTATTCTGCAAAGTTGCTAGCCGAATGTTTTGCGGACTGCTCGGGACCACTACTCACTGAGTCATATTCTCCTTGATTTTTGTTTTTCCTCGCATCGGCCTAGGCTCGAGCTCCGACGTCCAGCAGTACAGGTGTCATTGCACAAGAGACTGGCAGGCAGCCCATACAGGCGTCGCACAACTTTGCAGCGGATAGTCCTCACGGCAACCAGGACGCCGCGCTACGAACGCCGCTAGACCTGCAATACCAGCTAGGTATGTGGCAGTGCACGCATATACACTTGCTGAGAGTGGGACTGTTCACTACTTGGCAAGCTCGTAGTCCGCATGGGGCACAGGGGGGGGGGGGGTACGTGCACCCCATAAAAATGTCGGCCTAGGTTCAGCATGCACATAATGGACCATGAATGACATGCACTAGCCATCCAACACACATGCGGTTGTGCACCCCCCCCCCTCTCCCCTGAAGAAGGGGGACCAGCTACGCCCCTGCTTGGACGTGACGTAAACTTGTCTCAGTGTCTGGGGGTCAATGCACCATGCCTGTGTTTTTGCACTTGTATAGACCAGTTATTGCATGAGTAATGCAGGTAGGGTGGCTAACTTTTTAAATAGTTCCAGACCCGTATTGCAGTGTGTTACTGGCATCAATAAATTAGGCCAATGGAATAGTACCGAAATCTTTCGTTGTGATGTGTCACAAATAGTTTCTTGCTGCCTTTGTGTGTTCAAATCGGCTTCACCAGGTTTTTCTGATCTGCCCGACTATGGCACTGGAGCTGCGCGGAAAGACACGCCGCGTGTGTCCGTCCTGGATGAGTTCTGCAAGCTGTGCCATTCCCCAAACATGAGCAGATCCACCGTGCAGCAGCATGGCTACAGCTTGCGGCACGGCAAGGGCCTCGTTCTCATCATCAACATTGAGAGGTTTGACCCGTCCACCGCATCCGTTCACTTGACCGACCGCCGCGGCTCCGCTGAGGATGTGCGGAGACTGCAGCAGTGCTTTGGAGAATTCCTCAACTGCCCAGTCGAGGTACTAGTGCGGAGCTGATACAAGTATACCTGCGTGAATCATGTGTCAGCGGAGCATACCATACTCTGGTCATGCATTCATACAGTACAAGTGCAGGACATTATTCATTATGATGATCTGTTGTACTCGGATGGTGAGCCAATTTGATTATGGTAAAAAAAAGGAGGTCAAAGAGGTCAAAAGAGGTCGGCCAGAGAGCGCAGTGGTGTGGTGTGGTGGTTGATAAGAATCTGGACAAGGCCGACTGCTACTTACCCCTCTTGATCGTAAAAAAAAGGAGAAGGACAAAATGTTACTTCGAGTTATGACTATCTGTCCACCAACGTAACCATATCTTATACAGTCAGTTTTGTCAGTTTTGTGCCATTTTGTCCTTCTCCTTTTTTACCATGATCTGTTGTATTTGACTCTCTTCACCTGCTCCCAGCCCCGCGCCATCTCCACACTCAGACAATGGTCGACAAGATAGCTACATTTGAAAGACTATATTTGTGACAAGACGACGGAAACACAAAATAGACATGACGAACTCCAGACGAGGACTGCGTTTCACACCACAGCAACAAACGCATGCACCAACACCACGTACACACGACGTACACAAAATAACGTACTACAACAGATCTGTCTTCGCTTACATGTTGCACAGGGCTTAATGTATGGGGCATATGAGTAGGTATTTACTGCCACATGCAGCAGGTGGAGTGAATTGGAGCCTCACAGGAAGCCCAAAGCAATGAAATGTCAGATAACCAACTACCTGAAGTTCGGGGACCCGCGCCGGCTGAGACGTCCAGTTTCGGACGTGACCTGGCACACTCTGTATGTGCATGTGGTGTCATGTGCAGGACCGGAAGAACATAGTGGTGTTTCTAGTTTCCGTGGTGATCTGCGAACGTGATAATTTATGGTTGGTGACCAATGCTACACTGTACTGAAATACTCCAGCTTTGAACCATATTTCATGCAAACCACAGGTCTCATTTTCTTGTGTCGGATCGCCCACTGTTACAGGTTCAGCGCAACTTTCCCAAGGAGCAGCTTCTTGAGTACCTGCGACGAGTGGCGGAAAGGGATCACACAGACACCGACTGCTTGTTCTGTTTCCTGATGAGCCACGGCTGTGAGGAGTCACTGTTCATGCACGACGGGGAACTGGTGGAGCTGAAGACCATTGTGCAAATATTCAAGGATGGTGGCAAGCTGGACCACATCCCCAAGCTGTTCTTCACGCAGGCGTGTCGAAACAGCGTCAGCGACAATCCAGAATTGCTAGCGCTGATGGAGCGGGCAACCAAAGAACTCTCGGGATCGCAAGCAGTAAGTTTTGTCTCTTGGAGAGCGATTAGGGTGGGTAAACGCAGGCAGACATGGTTCATGTGAAAGGTGAAGTAGAAATGCACGGTGCTAGCATCAGTGAAGTAAGCCTTCTAGTACACTCGTATCTCCCTTATCCGGCCGGTCTGGGACCGCGCATTGCCCATAACTTGGAAATGTGCGTAACTCTGAGGCACGAACGTTTTGATGGGGAAGGGCCAGATATCTGGCAGTTGACGTCACTGTTTCCACAAAAATTGGCCATAGAGTCGAAAAAAAGTTCCACTGAGACATTAAAGGTCACCTGCAAGGCACGCGGTAGGCCAAGGTGCCCGCAACTTCAAGATCCGGATAAGAGAGAGACATGAGTGTACTTCTATTCCTTTTGCGCAGGCCAACTCCACGCCCATCGATGGCGACATCCTCATCGGCTTCCCGACGCTGGCAAATGGCACGGCACTGCGCGAGGAGCACAGCGGTTCTCTCTACATCGAATCACTGTGCCAGTGTATCACACAGCTGGTGCCACGGCACGAGAGCTTGCTGAACATCCTGCTGGAGGTGAATCGCAAAGTGGCCGACAAGGCCAACGACTACCAACACAATCAAGACCCCATGCAGAGTCACAGCCTGAAGCGACTGCTCCAACTGCCATGTCCGCGGTGCAGAGAATGTTGCCATCAATAGCTGCCGCCATGCCCAACCCCGCGGCTAGACCCGCCACCGAGGCTGTTCCAGTGGCAACAATGCTCTCACTGCATAGATGTTGTTGCCTGGCTTGCCGCCGTGGCCGGAGCTGGTCGATGGCCACAGCATGCACACACACACACACACACACACACACACACACACACACACACACACACACACACACACACACACACACACACACACACACACACACACACACACACACACACACACACACACACACACACACACACACACACACACACACACACACACACACACACACACACACACACACACACACACACACACACACACACACACACACACACACACACACACACACACACACACACACACACACACACACACACACACACACACACACACACACACACACACACACATGCACACACACACACACACCAATATTACTATACACTGGCTGTCTATCTACTTTGTAGCTTGAGGTTGAAGAAGATCCACACTTCCCATTGCCACTCATTCTGTTACTAAGATAGTAATTCTTATTCAGATCCATGATTTCCCTTGTTGAATACTGAGGAGGATGCAAACATTGAAATGCGCATACGGATTAGATTGGAAAACTATTTGCATATTGGCTAGCCCAAGTCACGCTAGTACAGTTTGGTGTAGTAATCATCGCAGCTCCCACCGTGCTGATAAAGATTTGACGAGATATTGATATACGATGTCGGACTTGTCCACTGTATATTCTAACTGTTTTTAATGTTAGTTCTGAGAAGTATGATTCGTCAATTGCTTGTCATTTGTTAGAACATCCTGAATGTAGCGCAGTGTACACAGATAATTGTTCTTCTATGTTGTCACGTGCACACAGTGCGAAGTAATTAGTTGTTGAATGTGTTAGGAGCTGTTCATATTCACACCAAGAAACCTAACTTATGTAAACAGACGCAGATTAAATTCACGCTTCGAGGCGTTTAGGTAGGTCGACAACTCGTTAGCTTTTGTCCATTTGTTGTGACGCACTTAACGCTTTTTGGGGTTTACTCTTTTGCACCTTTTCCCCATTACTTTCTATGTACTATGTATATGGGGCACGCATTTGACGCTGTTGTTTGGGCTCTTCTTCCTTGCGCTGTTTCTATCACCTCTCTGCTGTATTTAATCCATTATCCATGTTCGTTTGATTTTTCCTGTATTTCACCTGATGACCTGATGATAAGGCATGAGAGTGTACATGTACTAGTGAAAGCTTTCAAAAATGTTCAAGAGCCTGAAGTTAGTTTGTCCTACTTCTAAGGGGCCGTCCGTTAATACATGACTGTATTTACTTAGACTAGTTAGAGACGTCTAACAGGCGTTTCTTTCTTGACCCACCCACCCCTAGCCTAGGAAACGCCCCCCCCCCCAAATGCAGATATACCACTCCGATATACTATAATTACAGTCAACTTCGCTTATAACGACATTCGGCGGGCATCCAAAAAGTGTCCTTATTCGCGAAGTGTCGTTATACCCGAAGTCTTATTATGTATTACAGACGGATGGAACTTTGCTCTGGGCATGGACATTCTGTCGTTATTCGCGAATTGTCGTTACAGTCAACTTCGCGTATAACGACACTCGGCGGGGCATCAAAAAAGTGTCGTTATTCGCGAATTGTCGTTACAGTCAACTTCGCGTATAACGACACTCGGCGGGGCATCAAAAAAGTGTCCTTATTCGCGAAGTGTCGTTATACCCGAAGTCTCAATAATATTATACATGTATGTATGACAGTTGGAAGGGACTTTGCTCTGGGCATGCACGGAAAATTCGTCGGAAATGCTGTCGTTATTCGCGAATTGTCGTTATATCCGCAGTCGTTATTGGCGAAGTTGACTGTACCAGTATTATAATTATGTATATCATTATACACAATCCAGTATAGTCCTCACCAAGTACACATTCTTTCTGATGCTACTCAGACGGTTTCTTGAACAATCAATCATCAGGCAACAAAAGTTTGTTGCCTGATGATTGATTGTTCAAGAAACTCTGAGTAGCAACAGAAAGAATGTGTACTTGGTGAGGACTATACTGGATTGTGAATCAGCTCCAGTGCTTTTGCAGCACTGTCGAGCACTCTTCGCGTGTAACTTGACAGGGCCTAGGGATCTCCTCTTACACAGTACAGTCGACTCCACTTGTAACGAACTCGCATAATACGGAGGATTAGCAAGACGAAATCCGCGTTCGCGTTAGCATTTTCAGTTCGCGAACTGGATTGCGAACTTTCGCATTTTTCGTTCGGAAAAGTAGTCGGAACACGAATCCGCGATTCGTGTCAGGGCAGTCATAAATTTACCACGCTGTACTGTCTGTACACAGTGTACGTCGTGTCAACGTCATCAATGGTCATGCTGTTTGCTAATCCTTCTCATAACGCGAATTCCGTCACTGAGTTCGACTTTCCTTGGAGAGCGAACGCGAACGCGAATTTCGTCTTGCTAATCCTCCGTACTAGCGAATTTCGTGATAATATAGGTAGGTACAACGTGTAGGTACATTTTTATTTGAATTCGCAGAACCAAACGGGCGGTGTCGACATGGAACCGAATGGAAACAGTAAAATATTGTAGGAAATAGCCTAACATGATAGCAGGGTGTAGTACAAAGCAAAGAACGCTCAGTCAATGAATAACGTTAACGTTAGAATACAACAACGGGGAGGCGGTAAACAGCACATGACTGGTACTGTGGAGTACCGCAAACGTTCAAAGATTCCTGTAGTGTTCAGTAGTGGGTGCTACTGCTAGCATGCTAGCAAGACAGAACGGGAGGCAGGCTTGTTTGAACTGGTGGTACTGGGTAATACCACGCACGTCGGATGGCAGGGTGTTCCATAAAATGGACCCGCGAGCGGTTGGACGGTCGTGGCCGGCTTTGGAGGCAGATTTGGGCACTCGAAGGCCCAAGCTGCGTTGCGCGCGCGTTGTTCGAGTACTGGGATGCTCCAGAAGGGCTTGCAGTGCATTGCTTGCCCGACCATTCGAGCAACGCCAGATCATAATAAGGGTCTTTTGCTTGTGGAGCTCTTCGACGCCATACAGCTGCAGACGAGCAAGCAGAGGTTGGGCGCTTGTGCGAGGTGGCAGGCCGAATACGGCGCGTGCCGCACGGTTTTGCTGGACCTGAAGGCGGGACCGCTGGTCTTGTCGAAGGCACCCAGAGAACGCCACATACCCGTAGAGCAAATCTGGCATCACAACGGATTTCACGTATTGCTCTCTGGACTTTCTTGTAAGGCAACGGCGGGCTCTCCAGAGTGCTCCCACCTTCTGCGAGGCCTTCTTTACAGCATTGTTAACGTGTTCGTCAAATCGAACGTGCTCGTCTATCGTGATGCCCAGGTACTTCGCATGGGGAACTGCTGGTAGCGGGTTTCCACGGCATTTGACAGTAATGTCTTGGCCGGAAATTCGCAGGACATGGCTTTTGCTAGTGTTCAGGATTAGATTCCGTTCCTGGAGGTGGTTAGCAATCTCGGTTGTAGACGTTGTTAGAACTCGCGATACTTCCTGGCAATCAGGGTGGCTGAACGTGAGAGCAATATCGTCAGCAAACTGCACTGAGATGGACGGACTGGCAATGGTGGGCACATGCCTGGTGTAGGTGTTGAAAAGCACGGGTCCGAGAACGGAACCCTGCGGGACGCCACATGAGCATGTGCCACTGACACCAATGGATCTAGCGATTTGCACTTGTTGGGTGCGTCCTTCGAGGTAGTCTGCAAACCATTGGAGTGCAGTGCCGTGAAGGCCAACTTCGAAAAGATCGCGTACAAGAATGTCATGCTTGACTTTGTCGAAAGCCTTCGACATGTCCAGCAAACACACACCACTGGCTAGTCGCGCGTCCTTTGCATGGAGAATGTTCTCCGTCAGGAGTACCAAAGCGTCTTCAGTGCAGTGGTTTGTGCGGTATGCAAATTGCGTGGTCGGCAGCACGTCGTTTGCCGCGAGGAACCTTGTAAGCTGGCGATGTACTACCTTTTCAAGCAGCTTCGCAACAATTGGTAATAATGACACAGGTCTGTAGTTAGTGGCGACTGTTGGGTCCCCTGCTTTGTAAAGCGGCTTTACCAGGGCGTGTTTGAACGGCTTCGGTAGGTATATACCAAGCCATTGTGATTGAAAAGGGCTTGTCCCACTTGAGGCGACCAGCAAGTCGCTTCTGATAGCTGACTACTATTCACGATGCAGCACTGCATCCATGGAACACACCAGTGGTGTGAAAGACCGACGGAGGTCCTCGGAGCGTGACAGTACTTATTTTTCTTCGCGTTGGCAGCGCGGTTGGAAGTAGCTTCCCAGGATGAATGGGAGTAACTGGGTGCGTTGGCATCAATGATGCGGTTGTCAAAAAAACGCCACCCTGTTATCCTCCCACACACCCCGGGAAAGAGCAGGCTGCCCCGTCCGATCACCCTCCAGCACCATGATCGGCTCGACGACAACACCACCGAATAGGCATTGGCGGATAATGCTCGAAAAGGTGGCAGATTCTGCTCGAAAAGCAGTGAAATAATAATTGACAGAACCATACAAACCTCAAGTTATGGCGGGCAATTCCTCGAATTCTGCTCCATTTCTTTATCCCCATACCAAACATGCATGAAACTTACCAGAAAAAGTACCGAATTCTGCCATTTTTTCTGCCGGCATTATCCGCATATGCCTACCACCGAATGCAATATCAGCTACATTGTAGCTTTGCATCGCAATCACGCAGATCATTGTGGCCTCGCTTGATAAGTCCACCTTTAGGGCAGTCAAGGCCATGCTGAAGAGAGAAGGGCTTCCCGCAACCATTACATTGCGCAGGCAGGGCAAGCGGTGCCGACCATAGCGATTGGCAACTCGGTTGATCCCGGAATTCGACAGATCATGCCCCTCGCTTTTCAGGGGCAACACCGTAAGCCATCCGGAGGCATTTCCTTGTATCGGACAAGGGAGAGGGTGCGCTTTTCAGGCTGCGGCAAGTCACTAAGAATGCAGTGGCTGAGAAAGAGAGAGAGAGAGAGAGAGAGAGAGAGAGAGAGAGAGAGAGAGAGAGAGAGAGAGAGAGAGAGAGAGAGAGAGAGAGAGAGAGAGAGAGAGAGAGAGAGAGAGAGAGAGAGAGAGAGGAGAGGGAGGGAGGGAGGGAGGGAGGGAGGGAGGGAGGGAGGGAGGGAGGGAGGGAGGGAGGGAGGGAGGGAGGGAGGGAGGGAGGGAGGGAGGAGAGAGAGAGAGAGAGAGAGAGAGAGAGAGAGAGAGAGAGAGAGAGAGAGAGAGAGAGGGAGGGAGGGAGAGAGAGAGAGAGAGAGAGACCTTTGTTGAAAATCCCTGATTGAATGGATACTAACGTCAGTACATATTCAATCATAATAGTATTAGATAAACCTTGTTTCAACTTTGTTCAAACATGTTGTTGGTTGACAGCATAAACAAAGGTGGAGGACACCGTGTTCGGAAACAGTGAGTGACCTTTCTACACCCATCCACGGGGCTCTACCAACCGCGGATGGTTGTGTGTGACAGAACACGCACTCGCCACCATTCTTGCCGAGTGATTTCATGAACCCATTGTCATTGAACACTGGCGCGGTATGGCTACAAGTACAAGTCATTACTGTAGTAAATGACATTACTTATTACAATTATTTGAATTATTAGTCAGTGACGCTATGACATCAAGACTGAGTCCATGCCATGGCATGGGACTCTTGGGAGTCTTGCCTTGGCACTGTTGGCAGTGTTGGCAGTCTTGCTGATCTATGGACTATGCTGTATGCATGACGGTGTGGGCACCGCATCAAAACACGGGGCCGGGAGATAATTATTTTTTTCATCGACACCGCTTCGGAGAGCACTTTGTAACGCATGTTTCTGTGTTCCCTTTCTGCTCAGTGCTCGGAGAAGCCGAAACACGGTCACATGTGTTCTCATGTCCTGCGGGAGGACAGACCCACGCTCATAATAGCAGCTCTCCGCTACTGCACGTTCCGCGAGGTTGGAATTTGTCAGTTCTGCTACTGGTTGCCCCTGGCTCCGTCGCATCGCCCTTTCACATCGCTTTCTTTCAGTGCCTGCCGAGTGCATGTGTGTGCGATGCGAGAATAGGGAAGGGAAATCGTCAGGAAAACGAGCGGACGAGTGAGTTGAGTTCATTGACTCCTTGACCAGCGCGATGGCGGCCAATGCTGTACCCGAGGCGGCTGGAACTACGCCACTTACGATCTACCTTCAGCCACGACCCAACTCGCATCCATTCAACGAGCGAGAATGCCTCCTTGACGAGAAGCTGCTGAAAGTTGGTCGCTCAGTGGCTAAGGCCAGACCCAGCACCAGCAACCTGATTTTTGATTGCAAAGTTCTGTCTCGCAATCATGCCGTCATGTGGGCTGCTGATGGTCAGGTAAGATCATGCACAGAGAGTAGATGCTGTCCTTTTTGCTTATTGCTTTGCGCGTGTCAAGGCTTCTCTAGCACATGTTCACCATTCCCAGAAATTAGAAATTCTAGATTATTGTTTTCGCTCGTCGGTTGGGGCGGCTTGGTGCGCGTCCAAACGCGGAAATCATTTTGTGATATCCGCATATACGTGTACGAGCGCGTATCCCGGCCTAGAATACCTGCAGGATGTGCGAGACTGCGCTTTGGAACGCACATCGGTGCTGGTGCGGGGGATTAAAAAAATGTCCCGCAAGATTCCTGTCGGGGCGATTGCTTGGAAGTTGGGCGAGGAAACAGGCGTCCCCTGCGACAGCCACTGTGCCAAACCCTAACCCATTACGCGGCATTAGGTTACACGTGCAATAGGAACAAATTAAAGCTTGCAGTAAATCTGTTGCTGCAGTTGTTATTTGAGGTCGTGCATACGGTCTGCAGAAACACTCCATCACCCATTACCGCCTTGAATCGTCACAACCAATGATTTGAGCTCCGAAACAGCACTTATCATGTGTTCCAGAATGATTTGGCCGTATGGAAGTCGGTAATATTGTGAGGACTAGTGGATAGAGTATGTGTGACCAAAGACATGAGATCATGTGCACAACTATCACGTGCGAGCACACACACACACACACACACACACACACACACACACACACACACACACACACACACACGCCACACATATACACACACACACACCACACACACACACACACACACACACACACACACACACACACACACACACACACACACACACACACACACACACACACACACACACACACACACACACACACACACACACATACACCACACACACACACACACACACACACACACACACACACACACACACACACACACACACACACACACACGCACACACACACACACACAGACACACACACACATACACACACACACACAAGCTGTGCTCCTGCGGCAGCTGTACACAGGGACGACATCGTTCGTATTTCATGGAAACCAATGGTGGTGGTGAGAGGGAGAGGGAGAGCTCGGTGACAGAGTGTAACTTTGCAGCTTAGAGAGCTTCTGCGGGCAGGCATGTGTTTACCGCTATTTCTCCAGGTGTGTGTTTACCGCCATGTTTTTCAACCATACATACAACTGCAGTGAAATCTTCCAATTCACGCTACTTGTTCAGCTGGCATTTGATGTGCTAGTATTTGTTCAATAGAGCGATGACGGACCCCGCCAGAACTGGTCCGGTTGGTCAGGTTATCACCGGACCAACCCGGTTTTGGCCAACAACACATGTGTACTGCTGTCACGAGAGGGCATGTGTACCCAGCATATCATACACAAACTATATGAGAGGCCATGGTACCACCGGACAAAATAAAAACTGCTTCAGGAGGTGCTGAATGAAAATGTAATAATTGGCTTATAAAGTAACAATCTCTAGTCAGCAGATTGTGCTGTGTGGTATTTGCCCTTCCCTATAGGTGTTTCTTAGGGACACCAAGAGCAGCAATGGCACGTTTGTCAACAACTTGCGTCTGAGTGGCACGGGCGAGGAGAGCCAGGAGAAAGCGCTCAAGGACGGCGACGTCATACAGTTTGGCGTCGACGTGATGGAGAATCAGAGACAGCGTGTGACGCATGGCTGTATCATTGCGCTCTTCACCGACCCCAGTGCACGGTATGTTTTGCTGCGAGCTACTACTACTACTAGTACATGCAGCTTAGGCTTTAGGTATCACAGATGCCTGATAATGATGATGACGGTGGTGGTGGTCTATGCTTGGGCATTATGTAGAGCAACTGCGCGCGCGCGCACACACACACACACACGCGCACGCATGCACGGTGTTGCTACGTGCATCCCATCTCTCAGGTGTGGGGCAGGGAAATCCCCTCTAGGACTTGTATCTTCAAGTCGAGTACCAGCTGAGCACCAGAAGGTGAATCGTGCACAGCGTTTGCATCCATGCCGGGTTGTAGCATTACGACAGGTGCAAATGCCTTAGTGAAACTGTGATCCCATACATGTACGAGATTTCTACAGCTCTAATGAGTTTTGTTCGCACATACTGCAGTTCATTGTATATAGCTTGCTCCGTAGCCGGTAGATCTAATTTGGCCCAGATCTGTCATGCTTCTCCGCGACGTTCGTAACCAAAATTGACTCTGTCGGGCTATGGCCAGGATAGCAATGAACAAGCTGCAATGAACTGAAGAATGCCATGTGAACTTTGGCCAGTTTCATTTGACTTTATTCTCTATCTATGCCAGTTGGGGCTGAGTCACCGCAGTAGCGATTGAGTCCTACCTCAAAGCAGTCAATGGCCTGAGTTGACCAGCTACTATGTATCATACACTAGTAGTATCAGTACACATCCAAGCACTTAAATATAGTGTAGCAAGCATTACCCCAGTGCAGCAGCTGGGTGTGCTGAAGCTGGTGCACTGGACCCTTTTAAAGCATACCATGTTCTCCAGAGCGGCTGCCTTGGGGTTCGAGAACTACTGCCAGGTGCATATGTAACATGGCATAGCTTGCCCCGGGGCTGAGCACACTCCTCCGTGTACACGTGTGGCTCTTTAATAAAACGCAGATACACTTGCTGTGCGTTGGTGGTTTGATACACAGAGCATACAGGTCAATGTACATTTAGACAACACACAACCTATGTAGTACAGGCAGCCCTCGCTTAGCCTGGCCTCTTTTATCCGGATCCCTCGCCATCGGGAAGAAAACCGTTCGTTACCAATTTACAGAATAGGTCTTGCATACATACAATATGTGTGTTCGATTATCCGGTTCCCTCGCCTATCCGGATAATTTCGTGGAAAACCGATGTGTGCGGTTAAGCGATGTCTGACTGTATATACACAGTCCTGCGATGAATATGTATCGAATGTATCAATGCCGCTGCTAGCCTTGCAGTGACCTGGCTGACTGATCATCCTGTGTCCTGCTGTGTTATGTTGTCCATGCTCCAATATGCGATGGTGCTATCGTTCCTCAGAGCTCCGACCCCACCGGTGAGTGAACTGCCTGCTTGGAGAGTGTGTAGCCTTGGGCAGTTCGGGCCATCTGTAGACCTAGAGGATATTATTATGTTGTATACTGAATCCTTCGTAAGCATGCAAGCTGGACACGATGCACTGTATGAAGCTTGGGAGAGCACACACACACACACGCACGCACGCACGCACGCACACACACAACAAGAGTGCCGTGTTGATACTGCACTTCCACATGATAATTATTGCCTTTTTTCAGCCGCTATTGTTGTTCCGCAAATTGCCTGCATTCTTCGTATGGCATTTCGAACTCTGTTTTTAAGCCATTACACTTGCTGCTGCTGCTGCTGCTGCTGCTGCTGCTGCTGCTGCTGCTGCTGCTGCTGCTGCTGTTTTGGTGTGATGATTTCTGCAGCCAGAGATGGTGCCCGGCATCAAGCTGAGCGATGTCATAGAGCTTCAACAGATTCTAACGGTAAGCCGGTTTACTGCCCGCAGACAAGCCCAGCCAGGCGATAGTGCTGTGCTGGGGGGGGGGGGCTTGTTAAAACCTGCATCCTAAAAATGCCACCCGAAACAGCAGGGGCAGGTACTGGAAGCATCTATGTATGGGTGCAGTTTAGCTACGGCTATGTTGGCTCTAAATGGAAAAATCCGAAAAGACCCAGAGTAGGTGTAATATCCTCCAGTACAATAAACCATGTACATGTATGATGTATTCCCTGGAAGTGCATGTTCATGTACGTGAACAGCGGATTCTTCAGAGACAGGTCTGAATATATTGTTATGTAGAGTGTGCAATCTTGGAGAATTCTGAGCACCAAAGAAGATATGTGTGTGTGTATGTGTGTGTGTGTGTATGTGTGTGCGTGTGTGCGTGTGTGTGCGTGTGTGTGCGTGTGTGTGCGTGTGTGTGTGTGTGTGTGTGTGTGTATGTGTATGTCACGGTTGTATTTGCCTCCGAAATCAGGATGCTCGGCATACGCAAGTTGCCGTGGAAAACAGACTTGGCAGTGTACAGTTTGACCTGGAACAGACAGCGTTGGCCTTGCAAACGGAAGGCAAGGTAGGTGTACTACAGAGATGACAGTGCTATGTTCAGTAGCCTCTCTCCGAGTATAGTTTCAGTGCATTCCCCAGTCCCCACTACTACCCGGCTGAGTGTGCCTTGACAGGATGCACTACACTGTTCTTGCCGCACTGTATGTCTGCTTTGGTCCTTTTACGGTGCAGGAGACACCGCAGTTTAAGACACGTTCCTTTTTGGTGTTGATTACATCTGTTATCTGGTTTGAGCATGGTCTTTGACTCTTTGTCCATGAGCCGCTCTGCACCCTGTATTTACTATTTACACGAGTGCCATGATTAGTGGGGGGGGGGGGGGGTACTATAATGATTCGGACTGTTCCTGTTGTTGTGAACTGTTGAGTTAGAAGACAGTTCATGAGCCACTGCTGCATGAAGATGAGCTTTGGTCCTCTGAGCCGCACTGGTAGATTCCCACGTAGGTCGAAACAGGTGCTGTCTGCAGATAGAAGTATGCCACACTATAGTATGTCCCGGCATTGTGTCTTTCCGTGACAAACATACCTCATCACCGTTGTGGCTTTCTACCTGCAGGCTTTCATCAAGGAGGAGCACCTGCTATCGCGCCTCGATACCCTGGAGAATCAGCTCAAGTTCTACACGCAGGTAAGGTCAGGCCTTGGCGAGATCCCTGTACAGTGAACGCTTTTAAACTGATCTCCGAGCTCTGCTTTCTTCCTGTATCTGTCCGGCTTCAGCCTTGCCTTTCTCCTAGCCATTGCTCACTGCAGTGGATATGCCGCGTTGAATGGTACTTCGTCCGATTCATTAAATTGTTTGTGTTGCTGTTCTATTTGAGGGCTTGTTGTTAATATAGCTACCATAAAACCTGCCCTAACCCGGACAGTCGGACACCCTTGGTGCAGCAGAAACTGTCCCGATATGACAGGATTGTGTGTGTGTGTGTGTGTGTGTGTGTGTACGCACGTGCGTGTGTGTGTGTACGCGCACACGTGCGTGTTGATTGTTTGCGTCTGCGTGGCTGGGCAGGATCAAGGTACTACTGAAATGCAGGCCACTCTGAAGCAGCTCGAAGATGACAAGCATCGGTGTGCCGTGAAAGCTAAGGTCAGTCAGGCACAGTGCAGCAATCAATGCTCTCATGATGCGTGGTCCCTCTCACATGTAGGCACTGCATGCTACCAGTAGGCAGGGTTGGTGCAAGCCTTGAGCGATTATATCACTCTATGAATACTCCCTTAAATTGAGCAAATGCGAATGGTGTGTGTATTGAATGCGCAACTTTCACTATTTATTGCGTTGATTTCATGTCTGTCTCCACGAAATTTATTGAATACTCCCTTCTTCATTGTTTCTTCTGCACTCCAACGATAAAAACACTCTTCAGTCCACACCTGTCCAGCTGGATCGTTTCGAACAAGAATACAGCATTCTACTGGGAAAAATAAAAAAGAGTTGCTAAGTGATGGACTGTCAAGATCTGGAACGAAATTGTAACAGGTGTGCACGTGTGCCTATGTCCCTCGCCAGCTATGCTCTTGAAATGGATCATGATTGCCCTAGTACGGACCGCAGCCTTCCCTCCGTATCTCCGTTGTTTAAAAGCAAAACCGGCAATGCTGCATGGTATTCTGTTCTCTGGGCTACAGGAGTCTCTTCAGAGTATGCTTCAGGAGAAGATGGAAGTGATCAAGAAGTATTCCAACTTACAAGTGAGTATTGGAAGTTGAAATTGCAGCACCCGGGCTTCTTATTGCTAGCGTGCTGGTGGTGGCTGGATGTGATTCCTTCCGGACTTCTGCGATGGAACCAAGAGCTTTCTAATGTCTGCTGCACGCCCCTGTGGACTGTCTTCCATATAGGTTACTTGTGTCTCTTCTGTATGTACAGTTGGATTACGATCAATCCGAGCAGGAATGCGATCGCTGGAGAACGCTCTACGAAGAGGCACAGGAGGAGCGTAAGAAGTTGGCCGAGACGTGGGACGAGGTGAGTCTGTGACAAACATCTGTGAAAACAAACTAAGACCGTTTGTGATTGTCCAAGGTTGCAATGTCTAGCAAAGGACGGCACCACATGTGTTGCCTGCCCTGATGTTATCAACCACTAGCACTGGACTGACCTTTCCCTAAGAGCACTAAGACTCAAGCCCGGCGGAACTGGTCCGGTTGGTCAGGCCATGGGAGGACCAACTTTTTGGCCACCAACGTGTGTTTACTGCTAATAGGGTCATGTGTATACCCTCCATATCATACACAAAGTATGAAAGGCTGGGGTATGGCCGGACGAATCAAAAATTGCTTCCACCGGTCCTGACTGACTAGTTGAGGAGGTCACTGGCTTTAATCTCACTACAAAACATAGTACCTTGCTCTGGCAGCTGTGCACACGTGTGAGGCCACCGGATTGTCCTGTCCTACCCTGACAGAGCATAATGAATGACAGTGTGTTCATAAGCTGCACTGTCACAGTACATGTATGTGGATGCTGGAATGTATGCGTGCATGTGTGTGTGTGTGTGTGTGTGTGTGTGTGTGTGTGTGTGTGTGTGTGTGTGTGTGAGAGAGAGAGAGAGAGAAAGATTCTCCTAGCTCTTTTTTCATTCTCCTGGGTGGTTACCAACAGCCAGTGTATGCCGGAGTATGTGGTGTGGCGTGTGTAAAAAAATGAAAAAAATGAAAAAGTGAAAAATAGGGATTCACTGGCCAGAAAAAGCCACTTCAATCAGCTGTGTGGTGGATATCAGGCTAAAATTAGTGGCGGTCAATTCATCAGCTTTGCAAGCTGTTGAATGGTGTAATCCCAGCACAAGTTGCTATGTTTAACATAGCTGTTCGCTATCATCGCTTCCGCGATTGGCAGGTCTGAGGTGTGTGTGTGTGTGTACAGACATGACTTGTTTTTGTTTATCCATGTGTGTCTTTGTGTGTGTCTGTCTGTCTGTCTGTCTGTCTGTCTGTCTGTCTGTCTGTCTGTCTGTCTGTCTGTCTGTCTGCCTGCCTTTGCCCGTGTCTGCATATGTCGTTCACAGCGTAGTCAAGAGATGTACCAGCTGCAGTTCGAGTTAAAGGTATTGCGTCAGCAGCATGCCAATCTGGAAGAGGAGCACATGCCGATCAAACTGCAGGTAAACAGATCATTCACCAGTGGGATCTGTACGATCAGCACCACCGCACTTCCCCGATTACAAGTTGCTTCCGATTATGCGTCGCGTCTCCACTTTCAGGTCACCGTTGTCAGTAGAGTGTCTGCGTGTTCACTTGGTTTCCGTAATAAGTCACGCTCGATTGTAATTTGTAGGTTACACTCTCTTCTTCGACCCCGAAATGTGCAACATATACATGTGTGTGGGGAAAACGCAGTAGAAGGTGGTGGCGTTCCTACGGATACGGAAAATTCAATCCGAGTCTCATGTGCCATATTCAGTTAGGAGAGGATGTTTCGTTTTGTAAGCATGACTGGTAAGCGTGGATTGGTGTTGTATGACTACGAAAGATGCAGAATGCGAAGGAAACGATACGGTACGGTACAGGAACATGCTGCCGGTATTCTTCATATCATTGCAGTTCCTCGACATGACTGTACTCATGTAGGTGCTGTCCTGGTCTATGTGTTGCAGCATGATGACGCCGTGAAAAAACTGGACCAAGCAAGCGTCGAGCTGGTCACGGCATTGCAGGAGGTGAGAGAGACGATTCTCCGACTTGCTTTTATGATGTGCCTGAATGGAACATGGGACTTGTGTGTACATTTTACTTGACCTGGCTCTTCTGTCTCACTTGCACTGTCGTGGACATGGAAATCCGGACGAATGACGCGGGGGCGCCCTCAGTGCATACAGAACGTTGCACACTCAGCCAGTGCACATGCTGATCGTTTGCGTACTCACGGCTGCATGGCCAGCGTCCTGGGCCACTTGACCTCCAACCGGAGTTCCATGTCCACGTCAGTACACCAGCACAGAGACCAATTTGTTCGATGGGTTGGCAGTAGCCTCACCACCGACGTATGCCGCTACTGTGCACCTGTAGCAACCTTGTTTCAATATCCTCAGTCTGTCTGTTACCGTTTCATTGGTTACTTGCAGGGATGAATTTATTGTCATATTTTTGCATAGCAGTTTCTGCTATACAAAATCACAATTGTGTGGCAGTCTTTGATTTTGATTAGCATTTTTTCTTTGAAGGTTGGGTGTTTACCACATTGTCCTTCTTGAGAGTGATGCCTGAAAACCCATTTGCAAAAAAACCGACTGAATCATACATGTACACGCAGATTAAGAGGGCCTGCACAACATATACTGCACTGTATGCATGCTACTTGACAGCACAGGCTAGGCATGGATAGTCTGTATGTATCTCAGTTTTCTGCGAGTCACGGCGACTTTTGAGTAGCAGTTGATCGATTTTGCATCGCAAACTGCGATGCGATACAGGATAAATTCATCCCTGACTTGCATGCATATGTTGCTACACACACATCTGGTCTTAGTCTGAACCGTTTGGCGATTTGCAGTTTCATGGTATGTGTCATGGTGGTAGCGTGCCTGTCTGTTTGAATTACATGCACTTCCTTTAAAGCATGATTGTGCAAGTAAAGTCTGGTCTTTTTTCTTGTTCTTTTTCCGTTGCAGAGCAAATTTGCAAATGACAGGCTGTGCAGTTTGCAAGAGCAGATGGAGTTATTGCATGGTAAGGTTGTGCCTGTGCTGGTGACTGTGCTGGTGGCTGTGCAGGTGGCTGTGCTGGTGGCTGTACAGGTGGCTGTGCTGGTGGCTGTGCTGGTGGCTGTACAGGTGGCTGTGCTGGTGGCTGTGCAGGTTGCTGTGCTGTTTGCCAGCAGGGTTGCTGCCAGAACAAAAGTTAACCGAGGACCTCTCGTGCCAGGTGGAAGCTGATCAGCCAGGTCGGCGCTGACTTCCTTTGTGTGTGTGTGTGTGTGTGTGTGTGTGTGTGTGTGTGTGTGTGTGTGTGTGTGGGTGTGTGTGTGCGTGCGTGCGTGTGATCTCACTTGAACTTGTCATTGCATACGCAATGGGCAAGATCAAGGTCAATGTGTGTGTGTGTGGGTGTGTGTGTGTGTGTGTGTGTGTGTGTGTGTGTGCGTGCGCGTGTGTCGTTGCACAGAACGAAACGAGAGTCTTCAGGAACTGAACGATGCTGCGTCAGAGCAGGTGCGGCTGCGCAATATCGAGATTCAGGAACTGCATGCGCAGGTGAATGAGATGGAAGAGCGTCACAAAGCACTGGAGAAAGACTTGGCTGATCGGACAGGTATGGCACATGGCCGCTCTGGTGCTCTGAGTAGTACCTCCAGAGTTCATACTTTGCAGGCCTATGTGTGTGTCTGCGTGCGCGCACGCGTGCGTGTGTGTCGATCCACGTACGCAGCCGTGTCTGAACTGTAGCATGGGCATGCGGCGTGAAATCTGCCTGTAATCACACAGAAGTCAAACCTGCAACCGTTTGCTTCAATCAACCTCTCCACAACACCTTTTGTGTGTGCAGGTGCCGTTGAGAGCTGTCTTCGCTCTCTGTGCCCCCTCTACTCACATGTACACATGCACACGCATGCGCGCACACTCACACAGACTTTCCTTCTGTATTGCCAAGTTACGATATGAACTCTCTCTCCCCCCCCTATTCTGTCCTGAAGTTGCTACCATCTTCCTCTATGGGTTTGCTATTGTGCTATTCTCTGTCTTGTGTGACTTCCATGCGCTGGGAACTGGATTGTGTGAACTCATTCACTGGATGCTGCAGAAGCCTTTTCCGGCCCGCATGCCAGATATACGACCTTCGTTCGGTGAGTTGCTGCCAGACTACCTCTGCAGTGTACTGTACTACAGTGCATGCCTCTGCAGTACACAGCACTGCAGTACACGTAATAGATGCCTCTTGTACGGGCAGAACTTGTACACATGAACTTCGAAACTAAAACATGTATAAAGAGCAATCCGCTCCATCGTGGAGGGACAAACCAATGAGTCGTCGGCGAGATCCACGCAGCCGAAGGTCGACGGCACGAAAGATTGCGAACTGGGTGCGGATACGAACCCATGCCATCACAGACGCGTATGACCTCCCCCACTTGTGTGCAAGCTGACTGGCCGAGCGCCAGTACATGCCTCTGCAGTACACAGTATAGCACAGTACAGTTGACCTTGCGAATAACGACCCTTGATCGGGCACCAGGAAAGTGTTGTCGTTCGCGAGTTTGAAAGCATTCCGTCAACGGTCTTTATGTTTACTTGATCTGACGATATCTACAAGTACTAGTTGAGGGAATGGACTCAAAAGAGAAAAGCCTGAAGAAGAAAAAACTCACTGTCACCACCAGGACTCGAAGATAGTGTCGTTATCAGGAGTTGAGATTTCACCCGAGCTTGTTATTCTCCAGGTTGACTGGCATGTATGGCTCTATTGATAGACTAAAACGACAGTGACAGAAGCATTCAATCACTGTGAGCTGATTGTAGGAAACACATTGACTGGCTGACGGGCTGAACACACCTACTAGAATTCATACAAGTGACACTTGATCGTATGTGGTGAGCCAAGGAAAAAATTGGAAATACTGAAAACAGTGGGGCACAAGTAACTAGTTATGCGTTAGAGTCCACTTATCAGCCTGGTGCTACATTGTGCGTGGCTGACTGTTCAAAATCTGGTTTAGTTGGTGGACTCTAACGCATAACTTGTGCCCCCCCCCCCCCCCCCGTTTTCCATGTGACCATAATAATTATGTCATCCATTTTTGATTCGGGTCTTTTTATCCTTTTTATTTGGGCTCTCTTTGGCTGCAGGGACGACACGCTCACTAACGCTCTGCCTCAGTCCAAGAATGTTTCCGTTACAAGGACGACACAGGTGGATCCCATGGAAACCCTAACACAGACGTCGCTCAATAGAGAAGTGGTGAGCTGCATGTCGGCTGGTGTGTGCTCTGCCGATGATGCATGGCGTGGTATTGCGCAATCCATCATGCACTATACAATATTGTCGGTCGCCGAAGAACTGGGGGGGGGGGTCAGCCTCCTAGCCTAGACCATTCCTATTTTCATGTATTTACAATTTACTGTCTATGAGCGGTTGAGTCACTGTGTATACTAGTACATTGGCATGCTGTGCCTGATGAAATTCTAGCCTGGCCGTTCTTCGGCGCCCGGCAGCACTGTAGTGCAGGACCGCCGGAAACAGTTTTAGATGGATCCGGTCATACCGTCACCTTTCATACAGTTTGCGATTGATTGATTGTGGCCCGTACACATAACCCACTCAGCGGTAAACATGCGTTGGTGGACAACACGTTAGGTCGGTGATGACCTGACCAACCGGACCTGTTCCGGCGCCGCGCCTGCTGTAGTGATGTCCACATCACTGTATCTGCTGCCCTAAGTACAGTGCGTACCCGCCTAACGTTATGTTGAATGTACTGTCAAATAAACCTTTTTTTAACAACTACAGCAGCAGCAGCAGCAGCAGCAGCAGTGCTTATAATGAGTTGTTGGTTAATCATGCATCTGGTAGCTGGTGCTCTATACTTTGTTGCTCGGTAACCGGTCACAGTTGTCTTATGAAGCTGCTGCTGTGTGGCATATTCTTGTATGCAGCATGCTGTAGAGGAGGGACGTAATGCTACCAATGCAGCCTCGCAGCACTCCGCCGTCGCCGGGCAGCGTGTACCCACATCTGCAAATTCAGAGGTCAGTAATTTTGTTGATGCATCTTCAGTAGGTCCGTCAGTAGTGGCAGATTTTTTCTTGTGACCAGACGACGTTTGCAGACATCAGCACGAACACTGCACCATCACACTAAACAGCAGCTAGAAGTTGCTCCTGACAAGCCTTGTTCTGTTCCATTATGATGTTGGGAGCTCATCAGAGGAGAGGTAGATGTTGAATGAATGGGTTGAACTAAATCAGAGGTCAGTGTTGGCACGGCAGCAGGATCTGTGAAAAAAAGATACTGCCCTCCGCCTATTCAACTCAGCACAGCACGTGCACGTATGCGTTTGGCATGTGAGCTGAACGCACCATTGTACACAGTACACGTACCAAGCCTAGGTCTCTGCCTTGCATGTTGGTAATGTCCTGGATTAAAATTTGTTCCGGGGAGGGGCGCTACAATGTAGAACAGGAATTCGAAACACTGGCTTTACACCCTCAGTCTGTGCAATTATTCCGTGTGTCGTAGACTCCAAGCCAGTCGAGCAAGGACGTCCATCGCAGTGTACAGCCACTAGCGGCGGAGGATATGAAGGTGAGTCTGATTAACTCCCGGCTCCTCTTTGGTGCCACTCTTGTTTAGACATGTGCAGCCCCCCTTCCCGCATGCGTGCATGCACAGTTAGCTTGGAGGACATGAGTAGCAGGACAGTGTGGCTGAGTCGTTATGCATCTAAATGCGGGGCGGGGTAGCTGGAGTGGCCAGTGGAACTTTGTTGAGGACATACATGACATGTACTGAAATTGAGTTCTGAAGGAGCTCGCTCGCAAGTCAAATTGGCTGTGGACGGTAGTGCGGGAAGAGTGTACACGTACTGCTGGGATGTTGGTAGTGATTGTAGCAAATGCATCTGACTGTTTGCACTTTGCAGTGACTGATGCCTGCTTGCCTTTTCCGTATCCTGTGTATGCAGGCCAGCCTGAGGAGCATACTGGTGGCGGCCTTTCTCTCCCTGCTCATCACCATCTACTACTCGCTGCCCACCGGAACTGCGTGAATGTTTTCAGAATCGAAAGTGTTCCACATGACTGACTACTGCGGCAGTCTTGCTTGGCACGCACGGCTTTGCCACGCTCCATGCTTGGCGGTGGCAGATCAGCCATCGCATAGCCTCCTAGACTTTGCCACGCGACTGGTGGCAAGCACAGTGCAGGGCAGCATAGGCATGGTGCAGCAATCCCCGGAGGTGACCTTCCAGCAGCCCTGGACCGGCGTAGTGGGTGCATGGGGATGGTCCCTGCCACTGGCGACGTGCAGCGAGCCCAGGCAGCTAGCCAGGGCCTTGCCCAGCTCTCGCACGGCTGACTGTAATGGCATGCGGCAGGTGCGCATAAGAATAAGCACACATAGAAGTGCTGATACTGGACTTGATCCGACTAAGGACTCAACTAACCGGGTTTGATTTGAATGCTTTGACTCTTCTTTCATTTAATTGTGCGAAAACTGGTGCTATTTATAGTAAATTATATGTTTCAGACGACGACTTTCTCCTTTTTCTTTGTATTACTCCCTGACGTTTCCCAACTGTGATTGGGTAAGGCCCTGCTGAACCATGATAACAGGCCATGATTATGAGAACAGACAATGTGAACCATTGCTCTACCAAACGGATATTCAAACTGTGATGGATGAGCTGCTCACGTGTGTGGGTATGTATGTGTGTGTGTGTGTGGGGGGGGGGGGGGGGGGGGTAACTAACAGCGTGTTCTGAGTTACGAGTGGCAACTACAGCCCTGGCCAGAGACATCTGACCTCATGGATACAATAGGCCCATTGCGCATTCCCAAATATGGGTTGCATGAGTAATGCATGTGAGTACGCTGCACTGGGATCAGGGTCCTTCAGGGATGCACGATTCAACACCCCAGACGACCATGCCCAGGTCGCTGTGTCGGGTGTTCGCGGTACAAATTACGTCATTGCGCAGTGAGCTTATAGCACCGAGGGCTACGCGACTCTAGCATCACAAACACCACTCTCCTTACTGGAGTGCGGCCCTGCTTTATTCACGAGGTGAGATTTCTCTGCCCTGAAGTGCCTGGTCGCAATGTGCCCAGATAAGGGAAGCACTATTCACTGGTATCTGTTCAGCTGCCATCAACATTCAAGTCGTATGCTGTCAACGCAAGCACTATCGTACTTTTTGATCCAGGTTCCATCAATTCTGATTGTAAATATTGTTCTCGTAGTATCAGCATTCATCCACTGAACAGCAATAATAAAATCTAAGGGGGGTTGGTGTGGAACTGGCTGCAAACAAGCCATCCGGAGAAGAGAAGCAACATTGACCTACGTACAAACTAAGCACAATAATTTATAATGACTAAATCCACTGCTGCAACTTTCTCAGAGCCAGCCAAGAGAGCAGCTAGCAGGTGCAAATACTTATTCAGTTCACCGCACAAGCTGTCAACTGGCATGCGGCCACTCACCCGGTGGTGGCAGCGGGAAGCAACTAGAAATAGTAGAATTGTTCAGGTAACCGCGTTTAGAAAAGAACAGAGAACACAGGAGCGACGGGACGGGCGGTGCCAACAAGGATCAACCGAGTCTCGAGACGTGTTTTACCAGTCAGATGGCCATCGCAAATGAATACTCAGAGCTAGTTCCATTCTGAAGCTTACAGCTTGGATTTGGGTGCCTTGGGCTGCAGTTCCTTTAGCTTCATTGCCAATGCCATGTTTCCACTGATCTTCAGCTTTCCACCAAAGAAGGCCTGATAGCAAGAAAGGAATGGAAAGCAAAGGTGCTCAGTTTACTCACAATTCTCACAAAGGAACACAGCCACACACTGCGTTGACGGTGCATGTACTTCTAATCTTATCACAAAGTTTCAGGTAAAGAAGGGCGGGCAGGGGAGGGGGGGGGAGAGAGAGAGAGAGAGAGAGAGAGAGAGAGAGAGAGAGAGAGAGACGAGACGAGAGAGAGAGAGAGAGAGAGAGAGAGAGAGGTGAAATAACTGTTCTACATACAGCCCTCTGGGTGTTCTACCACTTGGCCTCAGGTATCCAAACAGCAAGTTGGTAGAGTGCTCTACACAACAGTACAGCTAGGCAAATAATTTTGTAACAAAAATATTGTTTGCATGCCCCCCCCCCCCCCCCACACACACACGCACACACATCCCCCCCCCCCACCCGTCTGTCTCTGCCGGACACACACACCGTGGCCAAGACTGACGCATGGCGCATCAGCACTCACCTTCTGAGCGTCCAGTTTACCGGTCATCAGCTTGACAAAGTCACCGTCCTGCATTTTGATTGTGCAGTCAGCTTTGCCTGCATTCCGAACAGCAATAACAGTAGAACCAAAAAACATGGGTTATTACTAAAGTACTAGTACGAGTGCTTACAAGTGCAGCATGAAGAAGAGGTTGTTGCGACTCTGGCGATACTTATAAATTGGGTAATTGCGTAGGGAGTGACACACAATTCCCGAAGTGCAACATGAGTTGGTAGAAAATTCACAAAGAGGAAGTGTTTCCCCATCCCGTGAGCTGCCTGATGAGGACCGGTACATGAACAGTGCTGTTCAATGAAATTCGATCGAGTCACTCGAGTATGTGCCAGGCGTTGCGCAGCCCTAGACCTGCAAAGTTGGTGCAAGGCGTTACTTACTTGACTCACGCGATCGGATAAGCAGCACTGTACTATGCACGGTGGATGCACACAAGCCACATTCGATCAGCATATTCAATCTTTGCACTGCATAATCATTCCCTGAATCCGGGCGGATGAGACTTCGGGCATACTATTGCCGACCATGCTGATCCCCCCCCCCCCCCCCCTCTGGTAAGTCCACGGGGCAAACATACCGTCCTTCTGGGCGATGCTAGGGGTGGCCGACTTCAAATCCACAACCCAGCTGGCTGACTTGCCACCTGGACCGCCATGCAGTTGGAAGCAGTAAATACCCTTGATCTTCTTGGCCACTGCAGGATCCTGGGGACAACACGAGTACAGACAGACAACAAGGGTGAGCAATACGACAATGTCAGAGCCAAAGAAACACACACACACACACCATTGTACTGTATATGTACTTCCAAGTTCGAAGTGGACATAACACACAGCAGAGTGAGTCACTCACGACGTCACTCATGACTCACAAATCAACATGCAGAGAAACTAGATGTATACAGGTAACCGCCATTATGCCGTGAAGACGGCGCAGGGTGCAAGTACATTGGAACAAGCACGAGAAGTACTTGTAAATACCGGTACGTAGTTCAGCAGCCGAAGTGACTACATTGCAGCCTGAGTGATTCTAACACCCCCAGTTCTAGGATGAACACTGAGAGGTGCTGTGATCTCAGCACTGGCGTACCTGTCAGCCCACCACCTCCAGCTGCTATAACAGCCACAACTGCCCATCATGATCAGTGCAATCGAGAAGCTACCTGCACAGAGACTGGTTTTCTGTGCACCATTCTTGCCGTGTATTACAGTGCTGGCAACTGAAATCCAACCCCCTTGCCGACGCGGCGCGCCGGCAAGGGGGTCGGATTTCAGTTGCCAGCACTGTAGTATACGATCGTGTACTGAGTGTACACAGGGTGTATAACACGCAATCTGTCGTTACCGCTTTACATCACCCTAAGCTTTGATGTCGTATACATCTGATGTTGCAGGTCGAACACTGCATTGTGGTGATGCGAAGACTGAAGACTGAAATCGGAGACCGCAGCTTCCAAGACCCACGCGTAGTTCAACAGTCTGATTTACGGACCCCGGACACTCTTGGTGCCATCAAGAGAATATACAAACTCTACAAACTCTGCAACCGGCAATGGCTAGCTGCCCCGACAGTTTTCAAACATATGTTAACATGATGTCATAAGCTCTACCGGTATGTAAGCATTTCAAGATTCGAGGCGGACCGCATGCAAGGTGGTTTGATAATTTAAATTGATATACAGCCAAGCGGATTGTAGCTTGACGAATGGTGTGATTCGGGAAACAAGTCGTTGTGGAGGTTCAGAAAGTAACACGCGGTGTGCGTTAGTTGTCAGCTTGGGGCACTGGTGTAGAGCAACAGCAAATCTTCCTTAGGTCCGAGAAAGCCAGCCTGTATCTGACTAGTGGTATATTTCCAGTACACGCACTGGCAATACTAGTGACACACAAGCTCAGGGACATGTGAACTTTACTGGATCACAGATAACACGTCCCAAGTACTGCTGCTAATTTACTGTCTTTATCAGTTCACAGAGCATTCCTGTGATACCGCTACCCTGGCTACAATGCACACCGAACACTAGCTCTCTCAGTGCGTAATCCGGTATCCATTGTCACCATATAGCATGCATCAATGCTGTGCCCTCCCACGCTGTGCATACATCCGGCCATCAAAACAATTTTGTCAACAAAAAGTAATGATAATGGTCACAAACCTCTCGCAGCCGCTTCTCAAGCTCCACGAATACTTGATGAGATTGAAAGTCAGCCATCGTAGTCGCGTAAATGATATTGCAACAGAGGACGATGTTTAGGTGAATACAGACAAGAAAATAAACCGATGAGTACAAAGTAAAATCCAAGCTCAAGTCAAGGCCAATGGGAAGGTTTGAGCTTGACTGGATACCGGTATCGCCATCGGTACGAGCCTTGCTCACAAAAACTGAAAAAGCCCAAGCCTCGACTCCGCGAGCGACGGTCCTTCCACGAAGTGTCAGGATGCCTCGATCCCGCGTCCGCGCTCTTTCGCGGTCGATCGAGCACGCTGTGTGTGGTAGCTAGCTAGCTAGCTGCACTAGCTGTAGCCTAGGCGCTAGGCCGCAGACTAGACTATTAGTATTACTGTATTAGTACTGCGCACGGCTAGCGTCGTAGCGCGCCGTGCTAGAGCGGAAGCGATGGCATGACGCATAGTGCACTGCATGCAGTGACAACCGGACCCACGCTATGGAAGGCTGGATGTATCATGTAGTACAGTAATACTACCGGGGTAGTAGTTATAGTACAGTATCACTGACCATGCTGACTGTCAGTAGTTGTCATCAAGAGTACATGGTTTTCATGTACTCTTGTTGTCATTGATACTTTGGCAGTCTTTGCTTCTTTTCAGTGTTTTCACCAGAGTGAACACTGTACTTAGTTATGTTTTACATGTTAGCTTGAGCAGATTTTTTTACTCAGTGTTGTACGAGTTGTTGTTGCACCAACGACGTTTCGTTGGAAGTGACGGATGCAAGGCACTTCCACAGTGCAGAGTCGTCAACGCAGCCTGGCCAGCTAGCTTGGCTCTCCCGTGTGTGTACAACTCAACTATAGTTGATCTAATGCAGTACGGTATTATGTAGACCCAAAAGTTTGATTCTTCGGACAAGGACTCTTTCGTAGTGATTTTCAGGAGGAATTGGCCACTTGGCACCGATACTTTTGACTAAGCCCCAATTCCATCGTCTCGCGGAAGTGGCGCATATCATGCTCGTGCCTTTGTTGTTGGAAGAGAAGTGTGCTCTGACAAACTGAAGATCTATAGGTGTCGTAATCATTGGGACTCTGCCCTATAGGGCCTCATGTGGTCAAACACAAATTGAAGAATGTCTGCAGTGGCTGACGGCGAACTCGGACAGCAAGAAGACAGGGCCGAAGCAGAGAAAGAGGCTGAGAGAAGAGCGTGCTGCCGTGATTTGGCGCGCTTGGGTGAGACAAAGTGCAAGACCGGAGATGTGGTCGGAGGAATTGGTGATCTGGAGGAGGCCTTGGCTGTTGGCACCAGTGACCTGAAATTGAAGAGTATCATATGTAGCCAGCTGGGCAATGCGTATATTGATTTGAAGGACTATAAGAAAGCCGTGGAGAAGCACCAGGAGGATCGTGCATTGTCATCGATCGTAGGTGATGCGGCCGGTGAGGCTAAAGCCTGCTGCAACCTGGCGTGCGCCTTCCGCCTGCAGTCGCGTTACAAGGAGGCCATAAACTGCTCGGAGCAGTGCGTGCAGCTATGCCGGCGCATACGGGATAAGGTATGACTTGGAAAGGAAGCTCCATTAGTGATAATCCTCTTGTATCTGTACATGTGGCAGTAGACTGATGACGGTGTCCGTACTATTTCCCTCCCCCATTACACTCGGACGTCTCTTATCCGGGCACCTTGGGACCGGGCACTGCCCGCATCTCAGATTTGCCCGTGTCTCAGAACAACTCATCTACCATGTGTCATATCACTTTTTGAAGAAGTTTATTTGGAACGTATTGCACATGTTCAGGATACAAAAGGAACCCATTGATAAGAATGTGTGGATTACATAGGTTGGCAGTCAAAAATAAGCACTTCCCAACGCGGAAAAAGTTCAAAACCCCCAAATTCGAAGGATTTGTGCTATAGGAACTCAATCTAAAGGTGCCCGGTAAAGAGACGTGCCCGTATCTGAGGCGTCCGGATAAGAGGCGTTTGAGTGTATCTCCTCACACAGGACAGGCGGAAGCAACTTTTGAATGGTCCGGTCACACGGATTATTTGTGTATGGTGTGGTGGGTAAAATGACCTCCTCAGCAGTACTAAGTAAACGTACGCTGGTAGCCAAGATGTTGTCTGGTGATGACCTGACGAACCAGACCGGTTCCAGCACGCCTGTATAATAATAATAATAATAATAATAATAATAGAACAGTTCGCGTACCAGGCAGCAAATGCTAACCTTTCCGCTTCTGTCTCTTTTGAGCTCTGCTACATGTGATGGTTGTGAAAAACACATACACTAAATCTACGTTCTTTTACGAGAAGGGCACGCTGGACTGTTACTCTTTTGGGAAGCAGTTGCTGGTACCGATGGGTGTTCCGGAACGACTTGCGCCCGTACCGCGTGTGCACACTTTGTAATTTTATCGGTGTGACATTTCTACACTGAAACAGTTCAGCATCAAGTGCCCTGGATTTATTCATGCTATGGGCAACTATGGGTACTAATTTGACGCCCCTACATTGTGTTGTACCCATGTTATCCTCGTGCCAGGCCACGAGTTCCCAATTAACTGTGGGTCGCAGCATGGCTGGAAAAATTCCTTCCGCTTCCAAGCAGGACTTGTACCTGGTACCCTCTGTTTCTCAATCATAGTCTTAGACCATCCCACTATGCCTGCCTGCATAGATGCAGCTAATGGGATTCGGTCTTTGACCACTTGGTGGTGGGTCTGATCTACTCACCTCCCACCGTTTAGGCGCTGCATTTACGCCTTGATCCTAGAGGGTGGTGGCGTTCCCACGGCGGATGCGGAAAACTCGGCTTCTAGCCGAGTCTCACGCGAACCGTGAAATTTATTTTATTTTTTGTGTTGTACCGGTCATGTGACCTTGGGTGTACATGATTTTACAGTACCCAGGCTATATACTAATTTTACGACCCTGGGAGGTACCGGTACGTTATAATGGTCTGTTGCACTGTAAAGGTTTTTCCAGTATGGGATGCCCAGTTTATCCACAGGCACCATTTTGGCTCGATGTTGGCACCTAAAGAGTGGAGAGATTCAGAAAGCGGCTCCTCTGTTCCAGAATATAGGAACTCATTCCAGCTTTCAATAGTTCCGTAAATGGAATGCATGCTCGGGGTATACTGGTATAGTAAAACCTGAACCGTTGAAACAGCTCGGATGTGACGGCCACTCACTCAGCGCGACCGACGACTACCCGTCCGCACTGCACCCTGCGTGTGCTGTATGCAATGCACAGTACTGTGCGCCCACGCACACACGCACACACATCCACATCCAGACACGCACACACATCCACATCCAGACACGCACAGACATCCACACACGCACACACATCCACATCCACACACGCGTCTCGTGTCCAGATTGTGTCGGCCTTCGAATGCCGACGCAGTACACATACTTGCCTGGTGTAAAATTTCCATTTGCGGCTATATTGCTTCAAAGCTGTGTTGTTGATCCTGGCTTACAATTTTGAACTTTTGTTGTGCTCTATGTGTGCAGGAGAAGGAATCTTTAGCCATGTATTCACTAGCTACGTGTTATCATTCGATGGCCAAGAGGAGCCACTTGTCCGACGAGTCGGAGGGTGACAAAAACCGAAATAGTGCGGCGACGAATATCGTGAAGGCCGTGCAGCATTATTTGTAAGTAGTATTTAGTAGTTTTTTTTTGGCTTTTGTGGTGTTGATATTATGCTTCTCTGCATGCGGGGCTCTGCCAGTCCCCAGCTGTGTGCAGCTGTTGCCTTATGTCAAAATAGTTCAACGTGTTCTGCACACGGCACTTCGCCTGGTGCAAGAGAAGTCTATTGCATTGTATAGTCATGCAACTGGGCAAAGAGTAGGATAGCTAAGGCTCCTGGCATAATTTATTTATGTATTACTGCTCCTATTCAAACCAGGTATTTCTATGTATGTCAGCACTAAAACCAGAGGCTTACTTCAAGTATGTGCCGACAGTGTGTCTTGAAAATCAGGCTTGTATTCAAAACAGGCTATTCGAGGCAGGCTTTAATACAAGACACTACAGTATATCAATTGTGTTTATTGTGTTGCCTGGTGATTGCATAAGCATGCAACTCAGAGTAGCAGCCAACTAGCCTTGCTTGCCCGTTGGTGTCCTGTCTTTTGTCGTGTAGATATTTTCTAAAATTACTAGACGACATATCCAAGCCACCCAGCTACAACACGTTACGCGGCCGTACCTATGGCAACCTGGGTAACCTTTACTACCTGCTGAATAACATGGATGAGTCGGTGGCGTATCACCAGAAGGTGAGTTGATTTCACTTTACTCCAGGTAGACTGCCTCTAATTCGAATAAGGTACTATAATTCGAACATTCGGTGTAAATTCGAAATTTTTCGTCGTACCGGTCTTCGGCAGGTCACTTCAAGTCTAATTCGAATGCGTAATTCGAAGTTGGGGCCTGGCAATTTGAGGTTTGAATTAAAGGGAGTCTACCTTATTGATTTACCCTTTAAGACCACACTGACCTGTTCACAAGTTGACGCTGACAGGAAACCGAATGGCCTTGCGTTTCTTGTCCGAAGTGTTCGAATTTGACAATGTTGGACTTTCTCGAAAGCTGTTGTCCTCAGTTGTGTAATGCACCCCTGATCAGTAGCAGGGCCAAACAGCAAGCAAGTCCCAGAGAGCCATGACTCCCTCATAATACAATTTACAGCGCGTCTCTTGAAATTCCTGTTCACTGCGCTATTTCACCAACTTGGCTCGAAAACACTCCAGCACTGTTTTGTAGTAAGCCACTCGACCTCTCACACTAGCAGCAACTATGCATGCTGTGCGTGGATGAGTAGAGAAATTGACACTATGTCTCAAGCATGGGAAATTTGTTTGGATGTGGCAAACGTTACGAGCGTTATATCTTCGGAATGCGACCTTGTAGAGAGGTTGGAGTTGTTTTTGCGCCGACAGCTGAATCTTTCCACTTTCATGTTCACGTGTGTGTGTGTGTGTGTGTGTGTGTGTGTGTGTACGTATGTGCATGTGCGTGTGTGTACGTATGTGTGTGTACGTATGTGTGTGTACGTATGTGTGTGTTTATTTCGGATGTGCAGCGTTTGGAAATAGCCGTAATGGATGGCGATGTAGAGGCTATTGTGCGGGCACATAGCAACATTGGCAATGCACATCTAGTCGGTGGAAATCCCAGCGAAGCGGAAAAGCACTACAAGTAAGGCTTCAGTTCTTGTCATCTTACTTCTGACTCTTTTGTTTCTGAGGCTTACAAGGTTTGTGGATGAGCATGTATTTGTGTTCCGCAGCTTCTTCTAGCGTAGGTAGACTAACTGCACTCTCGTATCTCTCTCGCCTCTGTCTCTCTCTGTCTCTCCCTCCTCCCTACCCATTACCCCTTTCCCCATGTAACACCGTTCACCCGTATTTTTTTAATGATAGAGAATAACGTTGACTGGTCCATGGCGGCGCAAATACCGGGTGAATTTCTGGCCGTCTGTATGTTTGGTGAACTTCGCCCTCTCTGTGTATCGATGATGGTGTATTATGTGAGGTCTTCCTGCCCACGGAATCAGTCCCGTCTTCATGCTCTGATCTATCCTCCAGTTTGGTTAGTGTTTGTTTGTTTTGTTTGTTTAGCTTTATCTTACTTCACCGCAAGCACAGGCAAAGTCTGCCTTCTCACTGGGCGTATTGCCACAGTTCTCGCAAAATGATGAGGTGTTCTGTGTTGCTGCTCATGTGGTTGATATAGGGAGATGCAAGGCTCAGCCGAGAAAATCTCCGACGGTGTATCAGTTGCCAAGGTGAGTGCTAGTCACTGGAGACCACTGTGTGTAATTGTACATTGTAGCTGCTTTGTGTACTGTATCTACTAAGACCGTGTAGGTTGCTAGTCGTGTAGTGTACTTCATTCGTCCTTGTTCATCTGTGTATAAGATGCGCTCATTCCGATGGTTAAGCTGCCTGTTTTGTGCTTTTCTAAACCAGCTCTGTGTGTGTGCGTATGTATGTCTGTGTGCGTGCGTGTGTGCGTGATTGTGTGTGCGTGCTTGTGTGTGTGTGTGTGTGTGTGTGTGTGTGTGTGTGTGTGTGTGTGTGTGTGTGTGTGTGTGTGTGTGTGTGTGTGTGTGTGTGTGTGTGTGTGTGTTGGTGTGTGTATGTGTGCATGTGTGCATGTGTGTCTTCAGGCACTCTTTGGACTGGCGACGTCACACTCAATTCGTAAAAACTACCCGAAAGCACTCTCATTCTACTCCAAGATGCAGAAACTTGTAAAAGAACAGCAGGATGAGTAAGACTGCCTTGCCCTGCCTTGGTTTCTTTGCATTGATTGTTTGGCTGTGACAATCCAATCGTATTGCTAGGATAACATTGAATACCAAGGTGTCCTATCCATTCGGCCATAGTATGACTATTGTACTGCAGTACTGCTCAATGAAATCCAGTCGCGTCGCTGAAGTGAGTGCCGGGTGTCGCGCAGCCCTAGGCCTGCGAACTCTGGGCTGCGGAATGGTGCAAGGCGCAAACTTGAGTGACACGACTGGATTTCATTGAGGAGCACTGTACATGCACATGTTACTCATAATCGGGTACCAAGTACATTGCTCTCCTCTCCAGTCCCGTTGTTCTTTTTCCATGATTTTTCCATGCACGTCGTATCTGTGTGCACCCTGCTGCACGTGCGCTCACAACCGTTACCCAATGTCACTGCAGCCCTGACAGTGTCACTGTGTAGTTTGTGTGCTTGTGCTGGGAGTTGCTGGGTTTTGTCCATGGTGCTGATGGCAGCGTGTGTGTTTAATGTGTGACATAATGACTGGCCTTGGTGTGCGTGTGCGTTTGTGTGTGTGTGTTTTAATCCACTGCAGGGATGGCCAGCTCAAGGTGCTCTTTGGCATGACCTACGCCAACCGAGCCCTCGGCCGGTTTGAAGAGGCGCGCACGTTTGCGATGCAGCACTATCAGCTTGCAAGCCAGGTACGAGGCTTTCACTCGGGCATTGCTTCTGTTGTGGACATGGAAATTGAATGACCGGCGCCCTCAGTGCGTTTCAACTTTGGAGTTGAAATAAAACAAGTTTGAGGGGTGGACATGAAATCATGTCTCTTTGTGTGGACCCAGTAAAGCTGACCATTTACATACCAGTCGCATTAAACTCACGGCATACTGTGTGCGTTTGTGTGTTTGTCTACCTCTCGCTCTCCCACTCCCTCTCTCGCTGGTAGATGGGTGACGAGGCATCCATGGAGCTAGCGCAGGGTAACATTGATGCTCTGTCCGAACTGCTGCAACAGCAAAGTGGCACTGTGAGTCCCATCCTCTTTGTTAGTACTCTTGCTGTTGTCGACTTTGTTCTTGTCATCGCCATAGCGTGTTGTTACTGTTATTCTTTTCTTTGTTTTCTGTCAGCCTTTACTCTTGGCCATAAGCTATAGCGCCAAGTGAACAGCTCATTGTTTGGCAGTGAAGTGCTCAGCTTCCTTCTAGATTTCTTTAGCACTCCGCTTCTACGTATGAGCTAGGAAACCTTGCTGGCTTGCCATTGCTTGTTGCAACGTGGTTGTGTTCACCAGAGTCGTTTGTGAATTAGTTGTCCTGCCCATGGGTAGAGTGCTGCACATGCTGTTTTTGCTGTGATGCTCCAGCTGCGTCTTTGGCAGGGCCGTAGCACCCTTATTTCTAATATAGTTGACCGCACAATTCGTTCAAAACGGGGTTATTCATCAATGGCGTTCTCTCGTGGTCAAGCATCCCATTTGGACGGCCCACCTGAAATCTCTGTGCTACGGGCCTGTTTGGGCATGTGTGTGTGCTCAGCTGTGGAGCTCGACTGCGGTTTGTGGCCATATCGGTGTGTTTTGTGCGCGTGTCTGTGTTCTGCCTGTTTGACACACACAGCGCCGTCACTCCTCCGATGTGAAGCGATCGCCGAGCTCACGAGGGATGCAGCGTGTTAACACGTCTGGGTAAGCCATGCATCTGTACTTCTACATCCAAGTAGTCTAATTTCAGAAATTTTAGGTGCTCAATATTTTCGGTATGAGGGCAAAAGGCCAGGTTAGGTGAACAGAAAATTTAGGTACAGCGAAGCAGTTCCGTATGGGACTATACGTGTTAGTGCTTGTTCGGTGTATTGAAATTTTAGGCAGAAACAGACGCACCGAAAATACTGAAAATAAAAGTACACTCGGACGTCTGTTATCCGGGCACCTTGGGACCGGGCACTGCCCGTATCTCAGATTTGCCCGTATCTCAGATTTGCCCGTATCTCAGGATAACTCATCTACCATGTATCATATCATTTTTGAAGAAGTTTATTTGGAACGTATTGCACATGTTCAGGATGCAAAACGAAACCCATTGATAAAAATGTGTGGATTACATATGTTGACAATGAAAAATAAGCACTTCCACGTACGGAAAAATTTCAAAATCCCAAGTTCGAAGCATTAAATTTTGTGCTATATAGGAACTCAAGCTGAAGGTGCCCGGTAGAGAGACGTGCCCGTATCTGAGGCGTCCGGATAAGAGGCGTTTGAGTGTACGCCAAAAATTTGTGAAATTACATTAGTCGAATACGGCAGAAACATCTGTGTGCTGAATTCATCAGTGACTACTCCAGAGAGGAGGGTTGCAGAGAATGAAGCAGCTTGCAACGTAAGATAACATTGCAAGGCGTGAAGGCAGTTCTGAAGTGACGTCCAGTGACGAGGCATGAAGGACTTGTTTACTGTTGATTTGTTTCTTTCACAAATCACCTACATGTACTTGTATTACTTTTAAAGAAAGAGAAAGAGGCCTGATTTGAATTCGTCGTAACTCAAAGTTTCATGCCGAATTCCAATACGACCTCTCTCTCTCTTTCTTATGTGGAAATGCTCTGCGCAATTACCCGGCAGTTTTGCCAACCTTTCTTTGCACTAGTACTGGATTAAATTGTGCAGCAAACCCGAATTTGTGAAGGAATGCCTTTGCCATCTGTCCTTGCAAACTACGAATGCCAAATCCAGACCCGCATGCCCTTTCACTTTCCCTGGCTCAGACTCTCTCAGTATCCTGTCTTCTCTGGAAGTGGTTTTGGATGCTGTCAGTGTGGTTGTCTTGCTTGCTGCTCACGGGGTGCAGTGTTCTAAATGTTTATTATGCGTGTATTCTTCTACTGGTGTTCCGGTGCGTGCAGTGAGAAGGAGAGCTATATCAAGACCTTGCAGAAAATACCGTCTTCGGTGAGTGCTGTGTGTTGGTCATAGTTTTGCCGAGTACTGGATATGTGCGTGTGCGTGCGTGTGTGTGTGTGTGTGTGTCTGTGTGTGTATGTGTGTCACTTCAAATAGCTGTATGGTGTAGACCAGGCTGAATAGTGACGGTCAATTCTTCAGCCTTGCAAGCTGTTGAATGGTGCAATCCCAGCACAAGTTGCTATGGCTTCTGCCGTAGCATTGCTATCATCGCCTCCGGCGATGGGCGTCAAAGGTCAAAAAAGGTGTGTGTGTGTGTGTGTGTGTGTGTGTGTGTGCGTGCTTGCGTGTGAGAGTGGATACTTCGTGTTTTGGGTGTCGATGAGCATGTCTGCTTTCTAGATTGACGTTTTTTTGCATTGCAGTATTGATGTGCTTTGCAGTGGTGGTGCTGTTTTTCTCACCTTAGTGTGTTGTGAGCCTCGCTCGCTTTCACTCTATTTGACTCTCTCTCTCTCTCTCTCTCTCTCTCTCTCTCTCTCTCTCTCTCTCTCTCTCTCTTTCTTCTCTTTCTCTCTCTTTTGCTGTACTGCGCTGTATTGTGCTGTGTGTGAGTGTGCATGTGTGTGAGTGTGCGTGTGTGTGTTTATTGTTATGCATGGTTGTATGACTGCTTGCATCCACTGGTCTGTTGCTGACTATTTATGCGGTCTTCTTCACATGCTGCGTGCCGTGGTCGCCTCCTGTCCATTCGTCTCAACTCGCCTTCGCCTCGCCATGACTACGTTTTGGAGCAGAAGACAAGCAAAGTTGCAGTAAGCCTCCAGCGGATGTTAGATGTTGATCGCCGTGCCTTGTCTTGCTCCGTGTTGGCTCTAATGTACTTGGTGGAGTGGTTGTTGATCAATTGCTATTGTTTGCCACCCTTCACAGGCACCGCCTCCCATTCTGCGGACGCCTCCCTCCTCGGTTAGAAGTAGAGTGCGCGTTGCGCGCAGCGTACCCGAAGGCCTTAGTCTCTCCGTGGTGCCTCAGATGCTATTCGTACAGGTAAAGGTAACTCCGCTATCGCTGTCTGGGTCGTGCCATGTACCGAGTGCCTAGGCCTGGTCGAATTGCTGCTGTTCTGTGTCCTTCTGATGGTGTCTGATGGTTAAGTAATCCGTGATGCGTGTCCTGCTGATAATGGGTGATAGGGATGACGGCTGACTTCAGTATTCCGTGACCCGTGTCCTGCTGACGATGGGTGATGGTTAAGTAATCCGTGTCCTGCTGATGGTGTCTGATTTAAGTAATCCGTTTTCCGTGTTCTGCTGATGATGGGTGACGGGATGACAACTGACTTGGGTAATCCGTGATCCGTGTCCTCCTGAGGGTGGGTGATGGTTAAGTAGTACGTGATCCATGTCCTCCTGAGGGTGGGTGGTGGTTCAGTAATACGTGATCCATGTCCTCCTGAGGGTGGGTAGTGGAGATGACAGCTGACTTACTAGTAGGTAGTACGTGATCCGTGTCCTGCTGACGTGTCCTGCTGACCATGTCCTGCTGACCGTGTCCTGCTGACCATGTCCTGCTGACCGTGTCCTGCTGACCATGTCCTGCTGACCGTGAATGATAGCTGACTTAGGTATTCTGTGTCCTGATGGTTTAGGATGATGGGGATGACAACTGACTTCGGTACATGTAATCTGTGTCCTGATGATGGTGGATGATGGGGATGACAACTGACTTAGATAACCCGTGTCCTGATGGTGTTGGGTGACGGGGATAACTGCTGGCTGACTTAAATAACCCATGTCTTGCTGATGGTAGGTGAGGAGAATGACTGCTGACGTATGATTGTAATCTTGACCATAATCCTGCTCCGGTTAGTGCCCCTCCGTGTATTGCTTCAGTACACTCCCACACATTCCCGATCTGTCAGGAGCTTTTGTAGTGCATCCTGTCAAGGCACACTCAGCCGGGTAGTAGTGGGGACTGGGGAATGCACTGAGACTATACTCGGAGAGGGGGTAATGAACATAGCACAGTCATCTGTGTAGTACACCTACCTTGCCTTCCGTTTGCAAGGCCAACGCTGTCTGTTCCAGGTCAAACTGTACACTGCCAAGTCTGTTTTCCACGGCAACTTGCGTATGCCGAGCATCCTGGTTTCAGAGGCAAATACAACCGTGACATACACATACACACACACACGCACACACACACGCACACACACGCACACACACACACGCACACACACACACACACACACACACACACACACACACACACACACACACACACATATCTTCTTTGGTGCTCAGAATTCTCCAAGATTGCACACTCTACATAACATTAGATTCAGACCTGTCTCTGAAGAATCTGCTGTTCATGTACATGAACATGCACTTCCAGGGAATACATCATACATGGTTTATTGTACTGGAGGATATTCGACCTACTCTGGGTCTTTTCCGATACATTTTTGTGTAACATGCCAGACTTGTTGATCCTGATTTATCTGATCGCTACAAGCCTAGGTATTGCTGATCATCTTGTTTGTACCATTGCTGCTAAGCCAACGATACCCCCTGACTCTAGCTACATCCTATAACTAGCTGATGTAACGTTAGAATACCGTCTCTACCAGACTACGCTAGGAAAGGATGTCTCTGTTCACAACACGACGACATACCTTCGCTGCTAGTTGTAGGAATGACCTTCGCTGCTAGTTGTAGGAATGACCTTCGCCGCTAACTTAGTTGTGAGAATGACCACCGCTGCGTGTACAGTAGCAGGATTGTAGCTAAAGTGATGTAGCGTGGCTACTGTGCTGCTAGATCTGGGTGCATCTCCTTGTTGGCAAGCCTCACAGCTTTGTGTCATGGCCACATTCTGATTGTAGTCCTTGCCACAAACTTCTGAGTGCCAACCGCCCCAGATGACAGCCATGCTTTCCTGACAACCACTTCAGACAATGATATCGTCTATGTTCCTGTCTTCCTCGTCACTTTGTTCTCCATCCTGGTCGTGCTGTGGACCATGGTCACATTTCATTGCCAGTGGATGTGTACAGCAAAAAGGAGGAGCCACTCGTGCCAATTTTCCTCCTTGCCATGGCCGACTTGTGTGTGTGTGTGTGTGTGTGTGTGTCCCATTGCCTCGCACCTCTTACCTCGCCAGCGCAATCCTTTCCGCATGTCACTATCCGCGTGCAATACTATATATAGTGTGTTCCGCGACATGTTATGTGTGTAACGTGTTGTACATGTGTTTTGCCTGCAGCCAACTGAGTCTTCAATGAACATCTGCAACTCGTCAACAGAGTAAGTGATGCTGCTGCCTGTCAAAGATAGCTTCTGAAAGGCGGCGTAGGCTGATGATTGTTTTAAAATGTGTTTTGCCCCTCCGCTTAGGCAGTCGCCCTGTGCTCTGCCACCTCAATTTTTGCCTAGCTCACCCAGAAACAAACTATCTGGAGCGTCTAGGCCATTGGCTGTTGTCACTGAATTGTCTGAATTGAATTGAATTGTCCACAGTACGATGGGCTGTGACTGAAACTTTGGGGCGTCAAACGATTTACATCTGCAATGTGAGACTACATGAATTGCTTCTCGGATACGAAAATGCCAGTACACTTAGCAGAACTGAAGGACACAGTTCAGGTCCAACAATATCTTGAAAGTTGTTGAAGTGTCAAGATGTTGATGTGTCAAGATGTTGTTGATGTGTCAAGATGTTGTTGATGTGTCAAGATGTTGTTGAAGAACCTGAAGTGTGTACTTCCACTTGTACGTGTTACGGGCAATGCATCTACTGGTATTCTTTTTTTAACTGTGTATCCTGTTTGCTGACGAAGAGCTGCCCAGCCAAGAACGTTCCTTTCTGTTGTTTGTAGCTCGTCTCGTGAGCTGTTCAAGGCCGTGGAACAGGGGTCGCGCGGCCGTATGAACGAGCAGCGTGCGGAGGCACCCGAAGTTCTGGTCGGTTCCCGCACACAGCGGCACAACACGATCGGTGCAGCCGATGACCTGCGATCGCTGGTGAGTATCTATACTACTGCCACTTCTTTTAGAGTGTGTGGTTGTGTGTATGTGCATGAGTGACGTGTGACATTGATCAGGGATAGCAGAAAATGACATGTGGCGTTTATCGATTTTGCTTTTTTTCGCCAACCTGTGGAATATTGCTTTTGGGCTTCATTCCATACTGCTGTGTCTCTTATGCTGGTACTCTGTTCTCTCTCTTTCCCTCTCTCTCCCTCTCTCTCTCTCTCTCCCTCTCTCTCTCTCTCTCTCTCTCTCTCTCTCTCTCTCTCTCTCTCTCTCTCTCTCTGTGTCTCTCTGTGTCTCTCTGTGTCTCTTTCTCTCTCGCTCTCTCTCTTTCTCTCTCTCTCTCTCTCTTCTCTCTCTCTCTCTCTCTCTCTCTCTCTCTCTCTCTCTCTCTCTCTTTCTCTCTGTTTCATTCCTCAGAAACGTAATGAAAAGCCCAAGGGCTTGTCGTTATCATTTCGCCGTGACCGGATCGATAAGGACATGGATGTGGCGAGCCAGGCTAGTTTATCACATCCCAACAGTCGTGCGCACACTCCTCCCGAATCAAGTGCCGAGCACCTGCGGGCGTCCTCCTCTCTTTCTACTTCGACAGGACTCAAGCGTTCTGTGTTGATGGGCCTGGGCGATCAGGTGGCTACTGGCGATTCCAGCGAACAAATTGGATTGTCTGACTTTCTCACCTTCCTCGATGGCCAGGGTAAGCGACATTCCACTGTTTGCTGCTGCTGCTGTTGCTGCTGCTGACCGGGGTACATTCCATTCATTGATTCCTGACATTCTCCTTATTTTATTTGATCGTTCGTTTGGCACAGCGTTGTTAGTATTAGGCACTGACACTACATGATCATGTACTCTCAGGCTGTGAGTTTACAATCAGCCTCCTTGGTTCTACATTACGCCTAGTCCTTTGCTTGATGATTGCCTAGTGTGATATACTCTTTGTGTTTTGTCGTCTGTAACCGTTTCTGTGCCTGGGTCCGTATCGACGTTGCTAGATGTCCTCCAAGTCGGCTCGCCACTTCCCAAGGACCATTGCCGGAAGCCATCTCGTTTTAAATATGATGACAGTCCTTTGGTCAGTGTGGGCGTGTAGCCTCTTTCAACTGTTCCTATTCTTGTTTTGCCTGCTGCTGTCCTGCCCCACGTCACTTCCCTGGTCTTCTTGGACAGCACCACTCCTTGCCTTTCCTCTTGCATCTCTGAGAACGGGTGAACCTGTTTGTGCCTCTCTCTCTCTCTATGTCCACCAACCAGCCTTGTCACTGCTGCCTTTCTGCCAAGCCTGTGTCGTAACGGTCGCATGACTTTCTCGACGTCCTTGTCTTGCCCCCAACATGGTCAAATTCCTGCCATGTGGACTGTTTGTCACTGCCATCGTCTCTCATGTCAAAGTACTATGCACTGCCAGACTGGTGCGGTGTGAATTATTTCCCTGCACTGCTTGCGGCATTCATTGCCATGTAGCATGCATTCTTTCGTGTTCACCCATCGTCCTCGCATTGTGCCATGTCTTTTTGTCAGTATTTCCACTGGTCCTGGTCTGTTATCGATCTGTTAGCAGCATCTTTCCACGGCCATTGCAACCATCATCGGAGTCTTCAGTCGAGTGACATGGCTGCCAGTGTTAAACGTTCACTCATGTTGCGATTATTATTACCTCACACGCGTGCGCGCGCGGGGGCACACACACACACTGTCACACCTTCTTCTATCCTCCTATGTCACTGTCTCTCTTACTTTTTGTCTCACTCACTCCTCCTCCTCCTCTCTCTCTCTCTCTCTCTCTCTCTCTCTCTCTCTCTCTCTCTCTCTCTCTGTCTGTCTGTCTGTCTCTCCCTCTCTCTCTCTCACTCTCACTCTCCCTCTCCCTCTCTCTCTCTCTCTCTCTCTCTCTCTCTCTCTCTCTCTCTCTCTCTCTCTCTCTCTCTCTCTCTCTCTCTCTCTCTCTCGCTCTCGCTCTCTCTCAGTGGGTTTCATTGTGCAACTTCAGATGGTGTAATTGTTCAACTTGAGTTCAAGATTTTTAAACTCATCCTCCTTGCCCTGTCCACTGTGGCAAAGATACATGTATGTCCTCATGCTGACAATTTGACAAACTTGTGACTTTCTCTCCATCTCATGCCCTGCTCCAATGTTTGTGTATGGTTTTCGTTACAGAGTGATGGTGATGGTGAAAAATCGCCGCTGCTGTAGATAAAATGTAAGCTCTCCTCTGTGTGTTTGTGTGTGTGGGGGGGGGGGGGGTGTATCTGTGGGTGTGCATCTGTGGGTGTGCATCTATGGGTGTGTATCTGTGGGTGTGGGTGTTGGGGGGGGGGGGGGGGGGGGGGGGGAGTTCAATTCCCGACGATTATGGTCATACACATATTACTTCTCTTTCTCATTCTCCTAGATCTTCTTTCATTCTCCTGGGTGGTTACCAACAGCCAGTGCATGCCGCCGGAGTATGTGGTGTGGTGTGTGTGTAAAAAAAAGAGAAGAAAGAATGGAAAAATGGAAAAAAATGGAAAATGAAAAATCGGGATTCACTGGCCAGAAAAAGCCACTTCCATCAGCCGTGTGGTGTAGACCAGGCTAAAATTAGTGGCGGTCAACTCATCAGCCTTGCAAACTGTAGTAGAGCCCCGGTCTTCACGACCATCTGAACCGTATGGGTGTTTGACCCGGTTCTGACCCTCTTTATTCGGTGGTCTCCACCTTGTTACATGCTGTCAACGAACAACATGATTATTGCTTCAACAAAACAAGGTTTACTGTGAAAGCCATTATATATAACAAAGTGCTAACTCTAACGAGTTAACGAGGAGAAATCTGTCGTTAAAATTGAAATTGTTATACCGAAATCGATACATACACTGTCCTATTGAGCTTTGAGAATGAGTGAGAATCGTTACCTTTGGTACACGTAAACTAGCCAATATTGGGAAATCATTATATATGCGCCTCGTTAGAATAATGGCTTTTACAGTATCCAATGCCAAGCACTTGTGCTATATGGGAAGTTCCCTAGCTACGAGAAGGAACGTGTATTGATGTGTGGTCTGATGAGAAGGGTTTTAGCGACCCACCTACTTCCACTGATTGAATTCTACTGATGGTGTCCACTAGGGGAATGTGCAAAGACAAAGATGGACTCTCACGCCAATCTGAATCAAACATTGTTTTTCAATGTTCGTTATTTTTGTCATTCTGCACACATTTGCTTCCACCTGTAGGTACATGCTGATACTAGATTGACCATCGACTGTCCCACCCAGTCATCAACTCTGTGTTGGAGTGGGTACCCACCGCTGATGTGGCCCTTCCCCATCCAGCATTTTCCTCCCTTTGCCCGTAGTCCATGTGCGACTTAACACAATTGCCCGGCATTCTCGGTCGCCGCCCTCGCTTCATGCTCCCGATATCACCGATCTCACTTGCTGCCATGTGTCATGTTGTGCTATTACCGATTACAACTCTCAAGGACCCTACTACTACTACTACTAACTGCATCCTATCGTTCAGACGTCATCATTGTGAAGTATACCACTTGAATCACCCATGTGTGTGCGGTGTCCGCGATGCCCACTTGAAAATTTAGCATTTATTCTGTGAAATCCTCACAACAGATATTTCCCTTGCAACCGAAACACGCAACCATGCCCGCATGCATAGATCACGCTCACCGAAAAATCTATCATAAGTTTTATTCCGACACTATTCAGCCATGTACTTTCTCTCTTTAATTTTCCGCTTGGCTTGGCCGCAGTCTAGTAGTAGTAGCATACCTCCTTGTTTCAATTTTATTCTTTCCTGGGGTGGTTATGCGGACGAGGGACTTGCAGTCCGGTCTCAATGCGTGTATGTGTCATGGATCTCTAGACTCCTGGATGAACTATAGGGGGAGTTTCTTATTCCTATTCACTTCTCTGTGCGCTCTGTCCGTTGGCGCTGTCTTTCTTTGGCTCTTTCTTTGGTGTTAGTCTCTCTGCCGCATCTCTTGTTTTCTCTTCTTCTTTTTTCTTCGCTACATTGATTTTTTTATCATGGCATACCGTCTCCCAGCCTCTGGTCTTTCTTGCTTCATCTCTGTCTCTCTTGCTTCATCTCCGTCTCTCTTGTTTTAACTTGTGGTGAGGTACACCCCGCTGTGCGGTGTGGTGTCTTGTTGAATACTATTACTATTTGCCCGCCCGCTGCTCTCGCTCCATCAAGTGGCATTGGCGGCCGGCCTCCGAAGTCCGTGTGTACCCACGGTGTACATATTTATTTCTTCCTGCGTTTGCTTTTGGATTTCAGTACCGGCGTTCTGGCCTTGCTTTCTGTTGCAGCCTTTTTTTCTCTCCTTTCGTTTTAGGCTCCTGTTTGCGAAAGAACTGGTGTGTTCTACAAGTAGTGCGTGAAGCGCATGTTCATACTCTGTTGATGTTTCCATTCTCTTTCCTTTTGTGGCCAGTGGATGCATGCTATCCAGCCGCTGGACTTTCTTAACTAACCCACCAACTCATGCTTGGGTCTTTGTGGACTGGAGATTTCCGCATTCCGGCGTGTATCGCCGGATGGTGCATGCCTGAATGGGAATGTGTTCAAACCTGGCGGATGTAGCCTTTAGACTCCGGCATGTCAGTGACTGTTGACATCACCAAGAGACTCTTGATATCACCATGCGCGGTTATGCACTCTTGATGCTGGAAGTATTGCCAATACCAACTTGGCAAGAGTAAAATAGCAGGGAGTCGGTATTTTACGACTCCCTGAAAAATAGTAACGCTTGGCGGTTATGCAGGTAGACTGCATGCATACAGTCATGTATTCTTTACTTTGCAGTACCATACACTGACCATACAGAGTTGATCTACTATTACTAACCTCTTGCCCTGTCTGTTGTTTACAGACCCTACAAGGTTTACCCTGCGCCTGTGCCGTGTGTGGGGAGTCTGTCGACTCGTGATCGTGAAAGCCCTTTTTCTACAACCACATCAAGAGTATTACAATGTCACTTACTTGAACCCCCAATATACTCTTGACTACATCAAGAGAGTTACTCTTAAAACTCGTTTCCATAAATGTCCTTTTTCTTTTCTACATTAATTTTTATTTATTGGCTCAATACCGTACCCGAGCTTCGATTTACATCATGAGTACATAAACATTTGTGTAGATCTACTCTTGACTACACTGTATACTGTAAAAGCAGAAATTTTCGGTGGGGTTTTATTTTCGGTAACTTCGGTGCCGAAATTTTTACCGAAAATAAAACGCACCGAAATTGTCCGTATAGTACTAGCACACTTACCTGGAACGCGGGTTTACCGAAAATTTCCCTCCGCCGAACCACCGATTTTGGAGAATACCGAAAATATTACACCACCGAAAATTTCTGCTTTTTATACAGTACATGTACATCATGTATTTCATGTACATGATGATGTGTACTCGATCGTATACGCGTACTATAGTACATAGTATACTCTTGATTATCTTTCTTGTATAAAAAAAAGTGTAGTATGTCGCTGTTGTCATGGATTCAGGGAAATGGTGATCTTGAAAAAATATTCTCGCAAAAGCGGATGACGCGTCGGCGACGTCGCAACAACGTGAGTTATGACGCACGTTTCTCGACCTTGGAAGTACAATTGGAGATTTGAAATGAAAATTTCTGACTTCTTGCATTGTCGTAAAAATAGATCATCAAGAAATTTCAATGTCCTCTTTGTCATTGCCCAAAAGTACTCTCAGGTGTACGTGTACTCGTTGGTTGTAGAAGTGTGTGGGAGCGGGTATTCCTTCCACTGTGAACCAACAGGTGATCAGCAAGTTGTCGTCCCGCTAGATCAGGCCTTTCATTTTTTTCTCTTTGAAGGAGTAGGCAGATGCTGACGATAATATGAATATAGGAAAGAAAAAGAAGGCGTTCATTGGGGCCTCGGCTCCGCTAGGATATGTTCCCGGTCTTGGAAGAGGGTAAGTCACTCTTTGCCTACTGATCACTGCGGAAAATCGAAACGAATATCGGCGACTGCAAGCGAAACTAATGGACCACTTGCCATTTGTACAGATCCACGAAATCCCGTAGACCCGGAAGGGTGTTGAATGTGCAGGACCCTGTTGTGTTTTCTGCTATTTCCACTAAGAAATGGGGTCTGAAGACATTTCATACGAAAACCTTTTTCTGACAAAGATCTAGCTAGTCATTAGTTCTAACCCAAGTGAAGAAGCTGGAAAAGCGATTGCTGGTCATTGAATTGTGACGCGAAAATTGGTCAAATGCGCATGCATAGCACACATTCAACACCCTTCCGGGTCTACGGGATTCTACGGGATTTCGTGGATCTGTACAAATGGCAAGTGGTCCATTCACCCACACGGTTTACATGCTACTGGTTCACTGGCGTGGGCACATTTCGTACCAGCTCTGCAAATGACTGCAGAGTACATGTACAATGATAGCTGTATGTCACTTGCATGGGGACAGGGGTGTTTATTGTCTAGCTAGCTGCTCAATGGCACATAATAATATTATCACTCAGGCTGAGTGATGGTGTGAGTTGCGCCGAAGAGTACAAGAACTATAACAGGGAGGTGGGAAGCCAAAATAGCACTAGCTTCCTAACAAACTCCTGTCTACAAAGCTCAGGCTGTAGCTTGGCAATGTACACTCCCTGTTATAGTTCTTGTACTGTTTGGCGCAACCCACACCATCATTCAGCCTATTATCACTCACCGCCTATTCATGGCGGCATCAGAGCAACATCATCCCAAGCGTTTTGCTCAGGGTATTTGAACAAAAGTTGAAAAGAGAGATGCAACATTAAGAGAGGGGGGGGGATGATGATGAACAAGATATCAGTATAGAGTGTTTGGTCATAGTCAGTGAAGTAGCATCAACGTTAATCAATCGAAGCAACCATATGTGGACGATGAAAGGGTCGGGTGCTTAGTCAATGCCTGGCTAGTGGTAGCGACATAGCTGTCTGGTGCATCAGCTCGCGCCTAGCACATAGATAGGGACACAGCGACAACTTGGTTTGGGTTGTGATGTAACTGTTACGTTTCGTCCCGCCTAGACTCGTCGGGTAATCTTCTTGGACATGTTTGGTGCAGACATATGATGGTGGTGAGAGAAGGCATGCTCTTTATTCATTCATTTAGTTATATTTAAGGATTCCCCAAAGGCTAATGCCTACTGTACAGGCAGAAAATTTCGTCGGTCAATAATTTCGTCCAACTCCAAAGAAAGGGAGTTCGTCCGGTTGTAAATTTCGTCCATGGATCATGAGAGTATATTGTAAAGCTGGACAAATCGACATTAGTCCGGCATTTAATTTAGTCCAAAAGCTCCTTGGACGAAAAAGACGAAATTAAATTCCAGACGAATATTTCTGCTTATACAGTATCTAGGGGTCTCCAGGATCAAGAAGGTAAAGGGACATTTACTGCAATGGTGGAAAAAACATGGAAAAGAAAAGAAACTCGGATGTTGAGCCATAAATAAATGTAAAAGAGAAAAGGACATATGGATACGAGTTAAGAGTAACTCTCCATCACTGTAACATGATACTATATACAGTCAGAAAGTGCAATAACTAGGCACAAAACTGACAGAGTACTGAGACATGCGACGTCCTGACACCTAACTTCAACACATCTCCGTAGCGCTAACCGACAGCCTTCCAACTTGGAAGGTTCAAGGTTATGGAAAGACCAAAGAGGGGAAGGCAAGCGCAACGAAAACGAGCAAAAGCTACAGTCCCAAAGGAACAAAGAATGTCGATTGTTACTGGACGATGACGAGACCAGTACGATATTTGACAAAGCGGTCTAACTACAATTCGAAGCAGCAAAGCAGCACACCACCCAACTTGGGTGGGTCATAAAAAAAAACGTCATCGTCCAGTAACAATCGACATTCTTTGTTCCTTTGGGACTGTAGCTTTTGCTCGTTTTCGTTGCGCTTGCCTTCCCCTCTTTGGTCTTTCCATAACCTTGAACCTTCCAAGTTGGAAGGCTGTCGGTTAGCGCTACGGAGATGTGTTGAAGTTAGGTGTCAGGACGTCGAATGTCTCAGTACTCTGTCAGTTTTGTGCCTAGTTATTGCACTTTCTGACTGTATATAGTATCATGTTACAGTGAGGGAGAGTTACTCTTAACTCGTATCCATATGTCCTTTTCTCTTTTACATAAAAGAAAAGAAGATTCGGATTTGCCAGAACTTTGCAGCTTAGAGAGCATTCTGTAGGTTGGCGCTGCCGTCCACGATCAATGTTGCTGTCGATATGCTCCAGTATGGAAAATTGAAGATTGAGTTTAAACTTAAAGAATTAGCAGATGTGGACATAGAGTTCTCGCGAACTAATGACGGCTGTACAGGAGTGTGATGAGGCTTCTCAGGCCGAAGCGCGAGTGGGACACTCCGTTGCTGGGTGTGTTCCCTTGCAGAACATGCACCTGTGCTGGTAGCTGCAATTGGAAAAGGTGCAGTTCCCTTTGTTAAACATTTTGCAGATCGGCTTTCCGCTGGGCCCAGAGGTGGGGGCACGAAAAGGCGCGTTCAGTGAAGGCTTCGCTACACATGCCATGGTGGAGTGGCCTGTCCTCTTACATTTAGCACACACTGGCAGAGCTTGGCCGGTGAAGGACTGGGTGAAAAACTCCATGTGCAGGTTACCAATGCTGATACTGTGGTCCCTTGACATCGCCTGTCGCAACCGAGTGTCGTATTCTTGCACCGCAGCAAAACGATATTTTTTGCGCTGCTTGAACTACCCTTAGCTGGTGCTCCATGAGACCAGCACATGCGCCTGGTGCGCCCTCGCTAGCAATGATGCTAAAGATCGACCAGGCTTCGATCCAATCAGTAACATTTTTCAATTTTACGCCTGGGTGACGACACAGTAGAAATAAATTAGTGCGGACGCATCCGCAGAGCTTTCGTCAACCCGTAAGCGCTTAGCGGGTGGCTCCATTCCTACACAGCGGCTTGGCAATAGTGTTGCCAGCTCTACAAACTCAATGTTCCTGATCTTACTAATGGACTCAGTAGACACATGTGCAACGCAAGAGGGCATTCTTTTTACGCTAGCGGCTAATGGATCCATACCTTGTTCCGCCGTGGAATTATCGGTCGCCTGACTCGGGCCGGCTAGGTGGCTCAACGCGGCCGAGACAGCTGAAGAAGCCGCCTCGCTGATGGCTCTCAGCTGAGCCGGAGACAGCTCCATTGCCGACGACTGCCACGGAAGATAATAAATGCTGCTACACTGTACTTTACACTCTAAAAAAATCAAGCCCATCTGCTACTGCTAGCTGCCAGAACTGATGATGACACTGCGATCGCCACCACCAACTGCTGATACTGATGATGACACTGCGATCGCCACCACCAACTGCTGAGGTGCTTCGTGCCTGTAGGCTGTGTAGCACCACCGCAGCTTGGTCCGCCCTGCGTTGCCCCGGCGTCGTACTCTCGTACACAGCCCATGCTGCCGCACTCCAACATGTTACAATTCCAGGGGATGGCCCACGCCTGGTAAGAATTACAATCCGAGAAGAAAGAAAAAGGCCCAACCCTGCCCTGCCAGTTATTTGGACTTACGGGGGTTCATGGCAAATAATAAAAATAAAACTGCGCACGTTCGGGCTCTCCCCCTTCTCCGTGAAATTATAATACCGTAAAAAGAAAGCTAGAGGGAAAAAAAGAAGCAACAATGAGGAATAGGAGCTGGTTTAGGAACCACTTGCAGTCAGTTGTACAGGGCAGCGGGCCTCGGCGACGGCCAAGGTAGCAGATGCATCCGCCACATCACTGACGCGCATGGGGCGTCGCCGAGCACCACGCAAACAAACCATGCTGGAGCAAACCAGAGCAAAATGAAGTCGGCAGCAAATCCACGCCATTACTCTGTTGTACGGCTCCTTCGTCTTGTCGGACAGGAGCCCAGCAACCCGCTTATAGCAGGCTCATTGTCTGCAGTCGCTGCACATGAGCCTGGCCGATATGCAGCACACACTACTGTCCGACACCGTGATTGCAGCTGCACCGTGAACCGTGTCACTGCCAGGTCACCGCAGCTGATCTGCTCCATCTGCCCATAGGCCAGGCCTGACCGTGCCCACGTGGCTACTCCACCACCTTGCACCTTGCGATTTCAGCGCCCCTGCGGACTGGCAGCGAACAGCCAGGTAGTGTGGCATCCATTGCTGTGCTCTTCTCCGAGGTTAACTTTGTCTCGGTGACTGTTGCTATATCCGGGCAGGTGGTCTTGGCCGTGTGCTGGAACTCGCCAATTTACACATCAGGCCAAATGCATTAATTTTGTTATACCAGCAGTTTTTTAAACAAGGGTTCCTGAGTGGATGGCTTCTGTCGAGGGAAGACTGGTTAAACATGCGGGAGTTCATGAGTCCATCTTGGAATCAGGGTGCTCCGCAGAGATCGTGGACGCGTGGCGCCGTGCCTTTCCACTGGGTGTCCGGCCTGACAGAGGGTCTAGCTGGTCAGCAGTGCTGTCAGTTACTGGTAGGTTTCCTACATCGGTATGTGTGATGTGGGATGTACGTGTAAACCGTGTGCGGCACTGTATCAGTGGCATCGGCCCTGCAACGCCAGGTACGCGGGGTGACATTAATGTGGTCGGTGCGCATTGGCCAGGACATCTATTAATAAATAATCGACGCAGAGACAACACTTTTAAAATAGCAATATTACAGAGAACAAATTCTGCTGTCATCGACACACTACAATGAAGTCATGAAAGTTTTCCATAATCGATCTTCATGTCACATTCATCAGTGGAATGTCGTAACCCCCTTTGCACTCAGTCCTCTCTTCACTTCTATTGTCTCACCTTTCTTCATTCTATTTTAGCACTTTATTTTGTTCTCGTAACACACTATTGAATGTATATTTAATCATTGTTCAGCACGGATACTCTTCAGTCACGACATTCCTCTGATGAATGTGACATAATCGATTTTGGAAAACTTTCATGACTTCGTTGTAGTGTGGCGATGACAGCAGAATTTGTTCTCTCTATTGCTATTTTGCATCTATTAATAATTATTATGGCTTTTCCCGTTTTCATCTTTCCCTGAAACCAGGGTATATTATTTTAATTACTAGTAATACTATGCCTGATTCATGTCACTGACTGCAATCTACAATGTACGTTGTTTCTTCTCGTCGTTGCAGAGCTCATGGCTTCACGACGCGTTCCGACATCGGACCGGCTCGCCAGGCGTCGGACGTGACGGACGAGAGACACGCGCGGCCCGGCCGCCGTACGTTCGGACAGCAGGCGGCGGCAGAGGCAGCCAAACAGGGCCGTGGCGGCACCGGCGATGAGCCCGAAGAGGAGGACTTGAACGATACGAACTACGACGAGTTCAACGGTTACGGAGGCTCGCTGTTCTCCAGCGGACCGTACGACCAAGAAGATGAAGAAGCTGACAAGGTGTACGATGAGATTGATGTTCATATGGACCAGCGGCGAAAGACCAGAAGGTTCGTAGTTCTTAATTCCGCTGTGTACCGTTGCTATGTGATAACAGCGTTAGGCTCTATGCACTGCTATGGTCTACTGACTGCCGGGTGCCGAAGAGCTGGGTGGTTAGCCTCGTTGAATTGCCTGAAGAAAAAAACACAAAAATCGACAAATGAGTGTGGGGGGGGGGGGGGCTCAATCAGAGTAGGGGGCACTACACACACACACACCCCACCCTCCTTTGGCTAGAACCCTGGTGTAGTGGGAATTCCCCGTTCCGAATAGGGCAGCTTTCTGGCGAGCTGCTGCCAAGTATGAGGGATACTCAACAGATCCGTGCGCATTTCTGCTTTGCACGTGCCACAACATAGCGATCCTCTTCTTCGTGTTGAAATCTAGACCCAATCACTTGAAGCCGTGGACTCTAACCCAGGCACTTGTTCTTTGCTTGATTACTCTGCGTTTCACATGAAGCAGAGCCTCCCTACTACTGCCCTGACAACCACTGTTGTATTGGTAAATGGTGAGCAGTCATGAAATCGAATACACCCTGTCCCGGGCTTCTACTGCCCTGTCCCTTGGTGTTGTCTTGTTGCAGAGAGGACCGCATCCGAGAAGAGATGGAGAAGTTCCGTCAGGAGCGGCCCAAGATCTCGCAGCAGTTCAGCGACTTGAAGCGCGGCCTCGGCGAAGTGTCCAAGGAGCAGTGGGAGAGTCTGCCCGAGACCGGCAGCATTCGGCAGAAGCGCACCAAGACGACCAGCACGCGCCCGGACCGCTACACGCCCATCCCGGACAGCGTGATTGAGCGCAGTGCCAGCATCGGCGGTGTCACGGCATCGCTAGATGCTAAACAACAGGTACACACTCAACACCTGTCACTTTGAACACTGAGAAGAAGGACGCACTTCAGGCTCTTGAACAACATCTCGAATGTATACTAGTGAAAACTTTTGTTCAAGAGCCTGAAGGTGTGTCCTTATTCTCAGTGTTATTTCATTCAGTCTCCAAGGAAACTGTACATGTCACTTTTTGTCTTACTAATTGCTTTGCTATTGATGTGGAGGGGGAGCTCTGTCTTTGCCTAGACTTCTTCAGCGTATTGTCAACTGGTCTGTGTCTGTCTCCATACATGTATCTCTGTGCTAATACTCACCCGTTGTGTGCATGCGCATGTGTACACACGTGCCCGTTCTACCCGCTGTTAGAAATTCGGCGGCTTCACCACACCGTTCCCGGGCACCATGTCGGTGCTGAACAGTGGGTTCACGACGCCAGGCGGCTCTCGATCAACTATTGATCTCCAGCAGATGGGTGACGCCCGTAACAGTATGTTGGGGGTGAAACTCGATCAGGTTTCTGATTCGGTCAGCGGCCAGACGGTGGTTGATCCCAAGGGTTACCTGACAGATCTTAACAGCATGGTACCCAACTCTGGTGCCGACATTGAGTAAGTCGTTTTGCTTGCTGCTCTGTGTTGGCTGATGTGTGTGCACGTTTGTGTGTGTGTGTGTGTGTGTGTGTGTGTGTGTGTGTGTGTGTGTGTGTGTGTGTGTGATGCCATCTTTTCCATTCGCCAGCTCATCGAGAAATCGTACGAGCACCGTCAGAAGCTGTTCTGTGTCTTCGTAGACCTGAAGAAAGCATATGATTCCGTACCACGCCAAGCACTCTGGCTAGCATTGGGGAGGCTAGGCATTCCTGAAGGGCTCCTCAATCTAATCCAATCGTTCCACGAGAGCATGCAGGCAGCTGTGCGCGTCGGTGCCAGCACTACCGAGCCGTTTGCGGTCAACAATGGCCTCCGTCAAGGCTGTGTGATGGCCCCAGTACTTTTTAATCTGTACTTCGGTGTTGTGCTTGAGCGGTGGGCACAAGTGATGCAGGACAGCGACCATCCACCTGGCATCCCCATCCAATTTAGCATCAATGGCAACCTTTTCTCAAAGCCCGCTCGCCAGTCTACTGCCGCAATCATCAACGACATTGAGTACGCAGATGACGCGGTCTTGCTCGCTGAAGACCGCCCTGGTGCTGAGAAGTGCCTTGAAACATTCTGCACGGTTGCCTCTTCCTTTGGCCTCTGCGTCAACGCTGCTAAAACGAAATTTCTCGTGGCAGGTAGCCAAGTCAACATGCCTGATAGAGCCGATATGAACGTCAACGGTGATACTGTGGAGCACGTTCCATCCTTCATTTATCTAGGGTCCGTCGTGACACCGGATGCCCGCTCCTCTACTGACGTCAGTCGCCGCATAGCTGAGGCTTCCAAAGCCTTTGGAGCTCTTCTTCCAGTCTTGTCGGATCGCTCGCTGTCATTAGTCAGTAAGCGAAAGCTATACGTGGCCTGTGTCTTGTCCATTTTGCTGTACGGCAGTGAGTGCTGGACGCCCTTGAAAGCTGATAGTAGACGTTTGGATGCCTTTCATCATCGCTGCATCCGCACAATATTAGCCATCCCTCGCAGTCAGCAGCAATCCGATCGCATCACGTCTGCGCAGTTACGTCGTCACTGGGGTGACCCAGTGCCACTCTCTGTTAAGATGCGCCATCGTCGTTTAGAGTGGCTTGGTCATGTGGCTCGGATGTCGGAGGACCGTGTCCCATTGCAGCTGTTGTTTGGTCGTTTGTTGGCTGCGCGCCCCTTCTGCGGTCCCAGGCGTAGGTGGAGAGACGTTGTGGCTACTGACACGAAGTCCATTCCAAACTGGTTTGATTGCGCACAAGACCGGTCAGCTTGGCGAGAGCAGGTTCTGGTTTTTCAGCCTCCTCGGGCAGTAGAGAAATCCGTACTCTGCTCATCTTGCAACCGGGCTTTCTCTCGTCCTCAAGACAAGGCACGGCACAAGTGTTTGGCTGAGCGCCAACTTCCCGTCCACCAACAGCGTGGTTCAGCACAGTGCGTCAGTTGCTGCCGATGGTTCCGTAGTAAGGGTGGGCTTGCAGTTCATCGCTGCCAGCCTGCACTCCCTGAACATGCAGATACGGCATTGACGGCGTCTCTCGCTAGTTGCTGCTTCCAGCATTGTCAACGCTGCAATCGCTGCTTCAAGTCCCGGGCTGGTTTTAACCGCCATAACTGCAACCGTGGAAAACGTCTTGCTGCAGCCGATAGGGAATCACTGCCGCTGATCTGCATGCATTGCCCGAAACGTTTCCGACGACAGCAAGATTTGACGAGGCACCAGAAGTCCTGCCAATGACGGTGCACTCCAAACTCTGGCCCCCCCCCCCCCCCCCGGGGGTGACATTGCCCAATGGGCAGTCATGCTATAGTAGTAGTAGTGTGTGTGTGTGTGTGTGTGTGTGTGTGTGTGTGTGTGTGTGTGTGTGTGTGTGTGTGTGTGTGTGTGTGTGTGTGTGTGTGTGTGTGTGTGTGTGTGTGTGTGTGTGTGTGTGTGTGTGTGTGTGTGTGTGTGTGTGTGTGTGTGTGTGTGTGTGTGTGTGTGTGTGTGTGTGTGTGTGTGTGTGTGTGTGTGTGTGTGTGTGTGTGTGTGTGTGTGTGTGTGTGTGTGTGTGTGTGTGTGTGTGTGTGTGTGTGAAAGAGAGAGAGAGAGAGAGAGAGAGAGAGAGAGAGAGAGAGAGAGAGAGAGAGAGAGCGTGCGTGCATGTATGTGTGCGTGTGTGTTGAAAGAATATCTTCCTCGTATTTGGCATGTTTATAACAATTTCCAGCACGTTATTAGTAAGATATGCACATACATGTACATGTACATCGGTGACACAGATGCCAATGATATCTGGTATGACTGTGATGTTGTCCAGACGCACTGATTATAAATCTGCTTGATATGCTCTTCTCCTCTTCTTCTTTGCTGTCAGAGACGTAAAGAAAGCTCGCCTGCTCCTCAAGTCTGTCACCTCCTCCAACCCGAAGCATGGTCCAGGTTAGTTTTAGCTGCTGCTGCTGCTGTAATGCCGCCTGTGTACAGACACAGGCGGCATATTGTGTCAAATCAATGCCATTAACCCAACTGGCTTTCCAAAGTCCCGGCCCCAACAAAATGCAGTGTTAGATTGGCGGAAGTTCCCAATCCTGGTTCCATACTCTGATTGGGGCGAGTTGCCATCGTGCGAATAAAGAATAATAGCTCAACTCGTCAATTGTTTTTTTTTCTCTTTGTGTGTGTGCGTGCATGCGTGCGTTCATGTATGTGGGCGTGCATGTGTGTGACTGCACTGACAGGCTGGATTGCTGCTGCTCGTCTTGAGGAAGTCACCGGTGCCATGCAGAGCGCCAGGACTATGATCCTGCACGGCACGGAGTCCTGTACCAAGGTCGAGGATGTCTGGATGGAGGCAATTCGCTTGATGGTACGTAGGAGCTCTCACCAGAAAGAAACACCTTGTTATTCCGTTGGTGTTACTCTGCATCAAAGCCAAGGCATTTTGCTTGTTCCAAACAAACCCATAGCATGCTCAGCTTAGGGAAAGTTTGATAGTCGATGACTGCGTCATGGTTCTCAAGGTCTCTTCAGCTTTCAGTTGCATGTGTCCCGGATATGCAATTCAATAGATTTTTGGTTGGAGGAAAGCAAATCAGCACACGAAGCACAGAAGCCATATAATTTTTTCGACTCTCACTTCACCATTCAAGCACGTGCGCGCAACAAATCTCACCTTGCTGTGCTGGAGGCAGTGTACATTGCCAAACTGAAGCCTGAACTGTGCGTGCAAAAGAAGTATGTGCGAAAGTTGTCACTGTTTTGACATTGTAGTACCGTGGTCCCCACTGTGGTCTGATACTGGTAATATTCATTGTCTCACTGTGTACTTGGCGCCACTGGCGCTATCTTTTAAAGTGCTATTTGGTCTATGCTCTAACCGCCAAATATGCTGCTGGCGCCACTAGCGCTATTTTTCAAGTGCTATTTTTGTCAATGCTCTGCCCGCCAAAAGTGCCGGTTACAAGGACTTGCTTACTACCTTGTTAATCACCATTGTATTCGACCTGAAGAGTAATGGCATGAAAGGCCTAGTCGAAAAAATTATATGGCTTCTGTGCTTCGTGTGCTGATATGCAGTCCACTGTATGTATCCTGGATATGCAGTCCACTGTATGTGCCACTGGAAATCTTCCTCTCTACGTTTCATGTGGAGAATGTCCCATGTGTGATATTTTAGGAACCTGTCCTGTTTCCTTTCTGACCAGCATCTCTGCAATCTCCCTATAGTGCTCTGTTCTCTCGTGCCTTTCAGCAACCCGACCAGAAGAAGTCCGTGGCGGCCAATGGGCTGAGACACCTGCCGAACTCCGTCAAGCTCTGGGTGAAGGCCACCGAGCTGGAAGACGAGAAACCGGCCAAGCGGCGTGTGCTGAAGAAAGGTATGTGTGCTGAAGAAAGGTATGTGTGCATGACCCTGTCTTGTTTCATAGTAGGATTTATGTTCCCTTCAATCCATGAATGACTCAAGATTTTTTATCACTACAAAGTTCCCAAGTGTATTTTCCAGACACTTATTTTGAATATGCGAAAAGCTGTAACAACCAAGATTTTGTGATTCTTGAGAAGCATTCCAGTTGAGGACATTTTTGTCCTGCTCCCCACACCCTGGTGTCCCAGTATCCACGTGGCTCTTAGACATAGTACTTGTCTTCAATTTCCACAGCACGTGTGAATGCACCAGATGGGTAAATGGTGGACACCCATGCGTTTGTAACATGCACATGGTGTGTGTGCTCGTGTCGCATACCAGCTTACACCTGTATTGTGTGTGTGTGTATGTGTGCGCATGTGCGTGCATGCGTGTGTGTGTGTGTGTGCGCGCACGCGCGTGTTCGTGCATGTGTGTGTGTGTGTGTGTGTGTGTGTGTGTGTGTGTGTGTGTGTGTGTGTGTGTGCTGTGCCCCTGGACAGCTCTGGAGCAGATTCCCAACTCCGTTCGTCTGTGGAAGTCGCTGGTGGAGCTGCACGACCCCGAGGAGGCTCGCTTGCTTCTTGGCCGCGCTACTGAGTGTTGTCCTACTAGTACAGAGGTATGGGTCAGGTGTGTGTGTGTGTGTTCATGCTTGCCCCTGTGTAGATTGTGTGCATTCCTGTGCCCGTTCAGCGGGTTTTCAGAATATTTTCCTATCTCGCTGCCGGTAGAGTCCCAGTGGTGTGATTGCTTACCCGTGTTTGTGTTTGTGTGTTTGTGTTTGTGTGTTTGTGCATCTGCCTGTGTATGTACCGCACATGTGTTTGTGTCTGTGCTCATGTACAGCTGTGGCTGGCACTGGCGCGACTCGAGACCTACGACAATGCAAGGAAGGTAGGTGGATGCCTGAGATCTGTGCCACACGGTACATCCCTGCACTACATGCTCGATTTCCTCCTAATTCTCTCCCCGGAGGCCATCATCAGGGTTCACACACACACACACACACACACACACACACACACACACACACACACACGCACACACACACACGTAGAGTAACACCTGCGACCAATGCTTCTGGTCGGTTGTTAAAACAAGTTTCACTGCATTCCATTATTGTGTGTGTGCGTGTGCAGGTGCTGAACAAAGCACGTGAGAATATCCCGACCGACCGGCAGATCTGGGTTACTGCTGCTCAGCTTGAGGAAGCCAATGACAACATACCCATGGTACTGAAGATTGTAGAGCGTGCCGTGACGTCACTCACCAATAACATGGTGGAAATCAACCGAGACCATTGGATCGAGGATGCCGAGAAGTGCGAGAAGGCCAGCAGCATTGGTACCGCCCAGGCCATTATGTAAGTTTGCACGTGGGTGTGGGCGTGCGTGCGCGTGTGTGTGAATGTGTGTGCATGTGTGTGAATGTGTGTGCATGTGTGTACGGGTGCATTTAAAAGTGGTGGCGGGAGTGACTCGATTGATTCATCTTGGATGACTCTGCTATGTGGTGGTGCTCGCTTCACCTGCATGGTCCGGGATGTGCACTTACATGCCGTAACGTCATACTTTGTTCTACGTGGTGTCTGTGTGCGGGGCTGTGTGTGCACTTGTAACTTTACAGCCAAACCATTATTGGCCACAATGTTGAAGAGGAGGATCGCAAGCATACGTGGATGGAGGATGCCGAGAGTGTGAGTGTGTTTCTCTGTAGACTTTCCATGTTTCTGCCACGCAGAACCTTCACTTTATATTCACATTACAGGATTTCTAGGTAGCTCTGTGTTTAAACAATCCAAACAATAAGACGACGGAAAAAAGTGTTTTAACTCTGAGTTTCACGCACTATTAAAGCGATCATCAGAAAACGGTAACTCTCAGTAGCTCTGTGTATATCGATGATCATTGAGTTAAATTTGCCCGGGTTGTGTCATCAATCTGTGGGGATTAGTAGGCCTGGGTATGCGGGGCGAGGGGGTGCTTTCTTTGTACTGTCCGGATTCATGAGTTCATAAATAATGACTCAGTGGGGGACGTACACTGACCTGTGCTATATTGTGTGTCCTTGTGGCCTGTTGACTGTCGTTGCCAGTGTGTAGCACATGGCGCATACGACTGTGCCCGCGCCGTGTTTGCACACGCACTCGGCGTCTACCCCAGCAAGAAGAGCATCTGGTTGAGAGCGGCGCACTTTGAGAAGAGCCACGGAAGCAGGTACGCCTTGGATCGGTCATGTTGTGTTTGGCAGGTGCCGCCAGCAGCACTACCTGCAGCTTGTGCCGGTGCTGTACTGCTGCCATAGATGATGGATGCTGTGCTTTTTGAATTGTTTTTCATTTATGCACATTCAAGTTGCAGCTGCTTTAGCTTGGTTTTGTGCTGCTCATCGGGGTCTGTTGCCTATTCTTCTACCAAGCTATCATCCATGTACTCTGTGCTGTTGTTGCTACTCTGTGCTGCTCAGGGAGAGCCTGGAGACGCTGTTGCAGAAGGCTGTGACGTACTGTCCGAAAGTGGAGGTACTCTGGCTCATGGGCGCCAAGTCAAAATGGCTGGCGGTAAGTACCCTGTCATGTGATACTGGATACTGTAAACCGCCCAATATTCGCGTCACTAAACCTTTGCGATATCTCAGAACCGAAAAAAAAACTCTCGGAACGAGCGAGTTTATGATGGCAAATGTTCGTGGAGTACTGTGGCCACACGTACACACCCACTGTTGAAGTTTGATTTCACGATGGTTAATATTTGCGCTGTGCTCTTCTCGCAAAATTAGCAAACATAATATAGGCGTTTGATGACTACACTGCACTGTACGAGTACTCTGGTTGTTTTATGTGTACCCTTAACCTGTGCGTATTGCTGATGCTCTGTCGTACTCATCACTGCTGTCTTGTGTCACCGCAGGGCGACGTGCCCGCCGCTCGGTCAATCCTGGCGCTGGCCTTTCAAGCCAACCCGAACAGCGAGGACATCTGGCTGGCCGCCGTCAAGCTGGAGTCTGAGAACAACGAGGACGAGCGTGCCAGGTGCGTGTGCTGGCCACTGGTTTGCGATTGCCACGCACTGTGTGTGTGTGCTCAGCTCTGTGGGCGATGTCTGGGTGATGTGTGTGTTTTGGAGTTTCTGTTCTCTGTGTGGCCGTACATTATGTTCATACCCCCTGTGTTCGGCTCGGTAGGGAATGGCTGGGTGATGCTTGTGTGTGTTGGAGGTTCTGTTCTCTGTGTGACTACACATTGTATCTGTTGTTTATCCCCACCTTTACGCCATCCATCCTTTCAACGTGCGTTGCCATTTGGTTCAACGTGTGTGTGTGTGTGTGTGTGTGTGTGTGTGTGTGTGTGCATGCGTGTATGTGCACTTGCATCTGTGTTGTCTGTGCTTGTGTCACCGTCCGTTTTTGTGTTGCAGGCGCTTGCTGCAGAAGGCCCGTGAGCAGGCCGGCACAGCGCGTGTGTGGATGAAGTCCGTCAAGCTCGAGTGGGTGCTAGGAAACATCAGTGGTGTGAGTGATAACATACTTAACTGGCAGGAACTGTCACATACCGTACTATCTCCGTTATAGGCCTCGGGCTGTACTTTTCCAACCAGTCCAGGCCCTGGGCTTCTACTAGAGACTGGGCTTATAATTTTTCAACCATATGGCACATGTACATTGGTTTTTCTTTAATACTACACCCGTAGCACAAAGTTTCCCGCCGGGTACCGTGAATGAAATTGTTGTGCTTCCTGGTGCACTGAGTCTGTAGTTTTTTATCTCATGGGTAGCGGGCTTGCGCCACAGCATGTGTGTATGTGATGCTGTGTGACGTCAAACATGTTCTCCATGTAAGCGCTGCGCTTTTGTTGGAGACTGCACTTATATATCTTCGAAGGGCTCGTAGAACGCGCTTATAATAGCTACTTTCAGGGTGCATCGGCCATTGGGCAGTTCGATAGCCAATTGAGTCATCTTTCCAAGATTCCTTTTGAGTCTCTCTCCCCTCTACCGGGGAGACCCACGTGACCAGTTTTAGCAATGAACAAGTTCAAGTGTGCGTGTGCGTGTGTGTGTGTGTGTGTGTGCGTGCGTGCGTGCGTGTGTGTGTGTGTGTGTGGTGTATATTTGTTTGTTGTCTGGTCACACTCTGTCATCCTGCGGTTCTGTTGTGTGATAGGCTGTGCAAATGGTTGAGAAGGCTCTCACACTCTATCCGGATGCGCCAAAGGTCAGTTGCTCTTTGTTGATGATGTGGAATGTGGTTTACAGGCTTAAAAGTATGTGTATTGCAACCTATGCCTTGTGGAGAAATTAGCAATCGCGCAGTCACCCAAGCACTTATCTCTCAACAAGAGGAGCGAACGTGTCCCAAAGTGCCTCTACGAGAACAACTCCACGAGAATAATTACTACTAGTACCTTCGGAACTTCGAACCATCCACAGGCAATACCTGATCAAATGGCAGACAACCAGCTCCAGTACTATGCATATCACTGGAGACTATTATTCACGCAATTAGGACGGAAACGAGCATCAAAATTCCTTATCGATTACCTTTGTTTCTTAAAATGATCGAGTAATCGATTATAGGTGTGAAAAAATCGGTTTTGTACTACTTTTGGATTGAATGTTATGGAAATCAAAAAATGTGAATAAAATATTCCATCAGATAATAACACTGTAGAAAACAGCATTGTCACCAAGGCTTTCCCAGGAGACTTTCAGAGGATGAGAGCATTTGAACAGTGGAAAACTAAGAATAATGAAACTAACAACAACAGAAGGGAAAACGCCAGGTTTAGAAATGGCAGAACACTTGTGGATAAGTGCATTGAAATGAAGAAAGTGGTGGGATTTAGCCCATGTATCACACGATAGATACATTCAAGACTTCTATGGCGTGCTACAATGGTTACCAGGTATAACCACGAGGAGGTACCCACCAATTATACCCAGAGCCTGGTTTTTCGGCGCCAGTTACCCCCAACATTGTTTACACTTTCGCCTCCGTATAGGGAGTTGGTGGGACTTTGCATGGGTGCTGAAATCAGCCGGTAACGCAGCATTTACAAAGGAGTGGGAGCTCAACCCCGCACCCACTGCGCCATACACATACCTTTGAAAGTGTCTGCTCGTCAGATCCGCTCATCAAAACCCGGCTGTCCTGAGGGAAGCGAATTGGCTGCCATTCTTTGCTGGCCTGCGGAGAACTGACGGAGGATGGACCTTCCGGCACTTGTAGCACTTGAAATTGTCTCTCCTGTATTGATCACCGCGGTTTCTTACGGGAGCACAGCCACCTTGGTATATCTCAAAGCACTCCATGCACTCGACTAGGGCATCGAACGGCACAGGCGTTGCACGAAAGCAAAACCGTGCGTCCACCTCTAGAGGGGCGCCAGAATCAGTGAAATGTACACCCTTCCACCGACACCTTGGAAATGGAGTGAATCTACCATTTTCAATGCAAGACGATAGATGGCCCGCGCATCTTCTTCTGGCTGAAACACGCCGTGGATGGATCCTTTCCAACTGACAGCTCAACGGCAAAGGCTATGGCAAACAGACCGCAATCGGCTGAACCAGTTTGCCGCTGCACTGATGGCTGGAACATGCTAAAGCTCTCGTCATGTGGGTCACCATAGATGCAGGCAAGCTGATTTTCCAGATGGAGAGGAACAGCATTCGGACCCATACTGTCGCACAGCGTTACCTGCTTGTCGGGTAGTATTCGCGACGAAGTAACCCAGTGAAAGCATCCGGTGTGATGGACTTGGATGTGCGGAACATCACCACCATACTCTCTCGTAGTGTCCTGCTTGAAATTCATGAAATGTCCACAAAGCACATCCTCCAGACCTGGCCCATGCCAAAGCAGCCGACTTCTGATGACATGTGTAGCCTGATCGATGACTGCGTCAGACAAAGGTCTGCCTAATTTAGCAGCATCATAGTCGGGCTGGTACATCACACCTTTCCACTTTTGGTCCGGTCGCCTCTTTGCAGAAGGTTCGAGAACCCACCACTTCTTCCGTCGCCTGAAGAACAGAGAAAGACCAGAGCAATCGATTAACTGGCAATGCCAAGACACCTTCAGCACTTCCCTATATCATTACATTCAGGAGACTCCTGGACGAGTGGACATTGAGAGCCTTGTGGACGGAGTATATGGATATATATGGATGTGCGTATTGGTTTGCAGGGGACATGTATAACATAATATAGTATGTGGTGTTCCAGCGATTCGCTACATCCTGGATTACCTTGAGTGGTGCCGATGTTGCTTTCAGTTGACTTTGCTAGTTTGCCAGCGTCTCTGCAGCCAAGCAGGATTGTTTAGAAATGGCCCACGAGCCGTCGACATCTGAACAACAATGTGTCCAATCCTCTTTACACCAAGTGCATGTCGTATGACCGTTTGCAGGTAATGGGGTTTTGCACCTATTGGATCTCCACTCACATCGGTCATACTGCTGACGGCTTGCTGCTATCATATTAAATATGATAGGAGCAAGCCGTCAGCCTAGCGCCATCCCTCACAAAGCAATCGTCGTGAGGGATGGCCACCACTTGGTCTAACTTGATTCCGATTCTCTTGGCCACCTGCTCAGTGAATTGAGAGAGGTTGTCGGCTGTGTGACTTCAGTGGAATCTGCCTGTCTCCAATACACAACTCAACAGTTCCACTCCGCGTTGATGAAGTGCGCTGTGTGAGTGACAAAGGATTGGGTGGCTGAGTGAGGATGTCCAGCCACCTGTGGTCATGAACACACCAGCGGATCCATCAGTCACCAAAAGAGCCTGCAACTCCTGCTCACAAGCTTTATGTCGTTTCCACGAGATTGCAAATGCTGGTTCTTGACGGTGGCTTGTGCGAAGGCTGTGTGAAATGGAGAAGGTTGACAAATGTGTGTGTATGTGTATATGTCTGGGTCTGGGTCTCTGTACGTGCGTGCGTCGTGTGTGTCTGTGTCTGGGTTTTGTGTCTGTGTGTGTGTGTGTGTTTGTTTGTTTGTTATTGGCTTGTGCTGTTCTTCAGCTTTGGATGATGCAAGCACAATTAGCGCTGACGCTTGGTGGTGTCGAGAAGGCACGGGAGTATTACAGTCTTGCAGTAAGTTCTGTGTTGTGTCCGCCCTACCGTGATCTCGTTCATTGGTGCTCTTCCAAGTCTGTTTTACTGTTGCATGACGTACTGTGCGGGAGATGTTTAGCTGTGGTGCTGCTGTCTCTGTAGTGCTGCTGGTATGTGTCATTGAGTCTTGACATTTTTGGAATTCAGCTGATCCCTCTCTCTCTCTCTCTCTCTCTCTCTCTCTCTCTCTCTCTCTCTCTCTCTCTCTCTCTCTCTCTCTCTCTCTCTCTCTCTCTCTTTTCTCTCTCTCTTTTCTCTCTCTCTCTCTCTCTCTCTCTCTCTCTCTCTCTCTCTCTCTTTTCATTTATACATTCCCTTGTACCCTTGTTACAGGTGAAGAAATGCTACAATTCGGTACCTCTGTGGCTGCAGCTGTCCGCTCTCGAAGAACAGTGTGGTAAGCAGTGTAAAACATGTGCAGTAAAGCATAGCTCTTCATCAACTATGCTTGGCAAAGTGGTGAACTCCAGACAATCTAGACTCTTCTTCTGTTATCAGGACAGTGTAGTACGATCACAGGTGAAGCCCAGGGTACACATCAACCTGTTCCCAGCCAGCTATGTCTGCAAGTCCGAAATCAGCACGATGATAGTACGGCACTCTTTTTCAACATGGGGACAGTTAGCAAAACACTGTTTCTAATGACGAAATCAGCCTGGTTGCATGATTCTGGGCATGCTACGGACCAGGTGGAATACGCCTTCGCAAGCCGGGTCATTAATAATACACTCGCCTGAAATGTCAGTCCTTGGGAAGTTGCATGTTATTTCCTCGATGGTCATGCGCTGTGTCTGTTTGCTTGCCTTCAGGAAACTTGACCAAGGCTAGATCTGTACTGGAGAGAGGTCTGTTGCGTAATCCGCGTACTCCAGAGCTTTGGTAAGCTACCCATTCTGCAATACTAGTAGGTCGTGCTGTTTTGAACAGTGACTGTACCCCGAGGTCCTGTACAGCTGAGGTTCACTAACTGGGATAGTTCATTGCAGGGTCCTCAAAAGTAGTACAGTAACGCTCACTGAAATCCCACCCACAGTGCAAAGCCGGCACCCTGGACCAGTTCCGACTACATCACGTTACTTGTACATGTGTACGTCCAGCTGCATTCGTTCCACTTCCAGGGCGTCAAGAGCCGTGCAAGTTAAGGGCGCCAGATGTGTACTCCTGGTCTGATATCACGGAGCACAACTGCACCTGTACAGTTCTTATATGGCATAGTATGTTTCATCGAGGGTACTTTATACAGTATACTAATGTCTCCATGTCTTCACTTGTTACTAGTTAAGCCCATCATTCTACTTGTTGAGCCCCTGACAGATCGAGTGCTAAGTTTGTTCATGACGCCAGTGAATCACTCTCTTCTCTTCCTCCTCCTCCTCCTCCTCGGTCTCTCTCTCTCTCCCCCTCTCGGTTTCTCTCTCTCTCTCTCCCTCTCGGTCTCTCTCTCTCTCTCTCTCTCTCTCTCTCTCTCTTTCTTGTTCATTTGTTTGTCCCTTCGTGGTTGTAGGCTGCAGTCAGTCCGCATCGAAGAGCGTTCCGGCAATAGCAGCGTTGCCAAGACAAACATGGCCAAGGCCCTGCAGGACTGCCCCAGCGCTGGCACACTCTGGGCGCACGCAATCTTCATGGAGTCGCGCAAGCAGCGCAAGACGAAGAGCGTGGACGCCCTGAAGGCTTGCGAACACGATTCTCACGTACTCCTCACCGTTGCAAAGTAAGCTACGGGCTGTCGATGTGCTCTGAAGGAACTTACATTGGTCATACTGTGTTTGAACGCTCTTTAATACTTATAAACTTCAGCAGTAGTCTGTGCTGTGTTTCGACACCAAACACAAAGTCGCCGGGGGAGACGAGTCGGGTCCCCTCTGTGTTGCCTTGCATGCGTGACCTCGAAAGTAAACCGTTCTTGGTATGGCATGGTTGAGGTTTATCGTGGGCGCACGCTGGTTGGGCAGCGCACAGGGAGTCCGATGCTTTGCCAAACGAGATACGGATTTGTCTCCAATTGGCGGCGGCCATTCCAGGCGGTCCAGCAGCGCCCTGAGATTGGAGGGCTGCATTGCGTAGAACGTCCTGGGTTGATCGCACTGTGGAGTGGTCGGTGGAGTGATCAGTGGTAGACCAGGGATAACAGCAGATGGGTTCAGAGGCTCAGCCATCCGGGATGCTTGTCTTCCAGGATGTCCAAGACTGTGGAGTCACCGACCATGGTGTCCAAGTGGTGCAAGCCTGTCCTCCTGTGCCTGTCCTCCAAGTATGGTGATTGCAGCGCTGGTGTTGCCCGCCTGGAAGTGTGCACTCATAAGTGTTTTAAAATTAAATATTGTCTGTGGGGTACATTGGGGGGGGGGGGGAGGGGAGGGGAGGGGGAGGGGAGGGGAGGGGGACCTGGGTGTCGTCCACTCGCAGTTTGGCACGTGCATTTGTAAACTTGGGCAGTTCATGTCTCGTGAAATTGTCACTACTCATACACTTGGCCATAGAGGTTGATTGTTTTCACAGTTCTAGCCTCCATGTGCTGCGGTGTATACTTTTTGAAGTCATGTGCATGAATAGTATTCCCCTCCCCCTATACTTGCGTCCAGGAACTAAAAGCCACCTGCCGCACACATGCTTGATGCTAGCACTTGTACACTAGTTTCTGCACAACGGAAAGAGGAGAGTGTGTACTAGAGTCAACTTGGTGATCACTGTTCATGTGTCTCCCATATGGTCTAGTGGTTAGGATTCGGCGCTCTCACCGCCGCGGCCCGGGTTCGATTCCCGGTGTGGGAACTTATCTTTTTTTTTCTTACTGTCCCTTTGTTCTAATGAACACACGTACCTCCAGTTGACCCATGGTGATTTTGGTCTCTTCGGCTTCCTCTCTGTTGTTTTTTTTCTCTTTTATTCTTGGTGTGTAAATGGTGAATAGCTTTCGTGGAGACTAAAAACATACCATCATGTGTATTGGTGTTGTTCTATTCTAACATGTTCATAGAATGATGTGGGCAGAGCGTATTACAAGCAAAGCAAGAGACTGGTTTGGCAGGTATGTGCGGTGTTTGATATGGTATGTATTCGTTTCCCCGTGCCGGATCAACAGCACCGGATCATGTACAGTTGTTCATGGCAGCAGCAGGCGCTGTCTGATGCAAGAACAGAAATGGCATTTCTATTGAATGTTGTGCAGTCATGTATATGTACATGTCTTGGTGATCGCTGAGTTGTTTTGATTTTTCCGCGTGTCGTTTCTTGTGTTCAGGACGGTGAAGATCGACCCGGATCTAGGCGATGCCTGGGCGTATTACTACAAGTTCGAACTGAAACATGGCACAGAGGTATGCACATGTGTTTGAACTCTTCAGTTTGTGTTTGTGCATGTGTAGTGATCCTATATGCGGTACATGTATGCCACTGCCTTGTGCGTATTCTCTGCGATCACTCATCTGTCTCATTAGCAGCCACCTGTGTGTTGCTGACAGTCGTACTGTCAGACTGCGTTACAGAGTGGCATACAGATAAGTTACTGGAGGATCACATGTCATACGCGCATGTGTTGTGTGTGTTGACTTGTGTGCGTGTACGTGTGCTAGGTAGGGACCCTACCGTAGGGCACATGCAGCTCCTCGTATGGAAAACGATTTGCTCCATGAGTCAGACTTGCATAGGCTCTATTCCAATGTTTCCCTTGTCTAGCTGTATCATATCTGTGACAAGTGCTGTCATTGTGGTGTACGGTACACTGATGCTGTGTTCCACTGCTTACTGTATGCCTGCATGTATTCAGCAGTGATGTAAAGGAATTTTGAACTCGGATGGTCAGTTTTGTGCCATTTTGTCGCACTCGCTGACTGTATATGATCTGGCTACGTTGGTGGACGGTTAGTCATAACTCGTACCATTTTTGTCCTTCTCCTTTTTAATTGTATTGTCCCACTGCAGGAGCAACAACAAGCAGTGCTGAAGAAAGCAGTTATCGCCGAGCCGCATCATGGTGAGGAGTGGTGCAAAGTATCCAAGACAATCGCCAACTGGCGTAAGAAGACCGAGGAGATCCTGCGGCAGCTGGCCGCCTCGCTACCAGAGCCCTTGTAAAGCTGGGCGAGTACACGCTCGTGATTGGTGTGGGTCGTACTGAACAATGTCAAGTCACGTAGAGGGGGGTATCTCACCGTGGTGGGCTGGCTCAGCCTGGTCTACCCTACCCACACGTGCTGCATGCACTGGTTGTCGCTTACCGCCCGACAGAGATGATGACGAGGCTGCCGAAGCTGGCCCCGTGTTGCTCTCTAGCATCCCACACTGGTACCGCTGCGCATACACACAGAGAGAAGGCTGGCATTGTGTTTGATCTCCTGCTGCTTGAACGTGGTGTGCGAGTAACACAGCTGTCATGTGAAAGGAGAGCTGTAAACGCTGTATGCAGCATGCCGTGCTTGCAAGCAAGCCTGTGATCCCACGGCATCTCCTGCACCAGAATTTGCTGCAGGCTTTTTTTAAGCTTTTGACTTGTCAAGATCGTAGTTAGTCTTGACTTGTGTTATCGTGTATCCAGTGACAGTGGTTGTGCTTTGTCGTGATTCAAACTTCAATGATTACAGCACGTTGGACGTGCTTCTCGTGTGGGCTACATGCATTCCCGGCAATGTTCCGGAGCAGCTGCAGAGAAGTCCCTGGTTGCTAGCTGATGGCGGGTTACATGCCTGTTTGTACATAGTTGTTTATTTTATTTTGTAAATTTGATGTTCCGTTGCATGAGTGATTCTGAATTCTGTACAGTTGTTTTGACCCCAAACTGAGCAAAAACGGCCATCGGTGGGTGCATTTTGCCAGGTTTTTGAAGAGTGCCCGGTTTTCCTGGCGTGTGCTTTCTGCTGTGCCGTTGCCGTTTGCTCTCTCTTTTCCCACCTTCTTCGCCGTGTAAATAGCCGCTGATTTTTCCTGCTGTGCTTGTATCATGAATGGTATGCGGTATGCCTTGTATGTCGAGGGTTCTTTTCTTTTCTGGTGTTAGAATAATAATTTATTATTCTTTCCAAACATAGTCATCCTACTGCGCTTGTTACATCTTTGCCATGCATTTAATTCCGGATGGGGTGGCCATTCTCAGCTGGGGCCATCTGCTGCTGTTTGGTTATGTCCTGACTGGGGATATTCACACACACACAGCACCAGCTGCATGGGAAATCACTGACTGTGACCAGGCCAGCTGAGGCACGTGACAAATACTGGTAGTTGTAAGTACTCTGGCAAGGTACGTTCGGGCCTGATTGGAAATTTTTATTTCCATTGCTATCAGGTTCGGCCTCATTTCCTCTGTGCTGCGCTGATGAGTTCAAAAAGAACGAAACAGCATGCTGTCCGCAGATTGAGTAGTTGTAAGTATGTGTTATTAGCCGAGTACCAGGGCAATACCGGCCGGTATTGCCCTGGTACTCGGCTAATAACAATAATTATCGTGTAATATTGGACCGCCTGAGCGGGCTTGTATGGAGAAATATTGCCCGCTCTATCTGGTCGCTGATTGGCTGTAGACTTGGAAACGGTCACCTGACATGTAATAATACAGTATACATGTACATGTACACTCACGCCTCGTTCATCTATTAAATAAGGAACCAGGCACTGCCCAAAACTAGGGCTCAAACGGTCACGGTTTTACCCCGAACGGTTAACTGCTAAGCTAACGGTCGGTTTAACGGTGATAACCTATAAGCCACGGCAATCCTGCGGACTCTTTTATAACTGTATATTTGACTACACTCATTCAAAAAATGTACTCTATTTAGTACAACGCACACGTGTACATTCTCTTGCATGCTCATTCATACATACTCTCACACCAAGAGACCAGATAATTATGATCGAGTTGACAACCCAGAAATTGCGTACGCGTGCGACAGCCTGGGACAGCCTGGTATACTTTGCAACGACCTGATACTTGAAAAATTGACTGAAAAGTTACTGCGTAACCGTTATCTTTATCGGTTAACCGTTAATCCTTCGTAACCGGTCTGCAACCGGTTAATCGGACTAACTGTTTGAGCCCTACCCAAAACTTCGAATCACATGCATTTTGATGCGGAAAGGCCATAGATTATAGTATATGGCACCACTATTTCCACAAAACGTGACAAAAGAGTGGTAGTATTTCCACTGAAACTGGCAACCGGGGTAGACCGAAGACAAAAGTGCCCGTTACGCGTAACTTCGATGGCCGGATAGCTGAATACTGTAATAATTATTTGAAGTATGATGATGAGTGTAGTAGCGCCAGGATTGGCCTTCATGGCACTTTTCTATTCTGGAAATGATTGCAAGTGTTCGGACTTAATATCATCACAGACGCCTACCGTTATTATAGTTTTTTTGTGAAATTGATTCACTGATAGGGATGGCTGACAGGCCTACAAGGCTACATAGCCTCCGAGGAGGGTACAGGGAACCTTGCCATACTTAGCTATGTCTATGGGGAAGGGTGGGCGGGACAACCATGCTGTGAAATTCTTTGCCAATAGGGCTTTCGCAAGGTATGTTAATTTTATGTACATGTACTTGTACTAGTACCTGTCATACCTCAAAATCATCATGTATGTTACATCCATCATGTACCATGTACTCTGATTACTCTGATTCGCCCTGCACATACGGTCTAGTATCAAGAGCACAGGGTGGATATGGATATGGTGCTGGTGCCCGGGGGTATGCACTCTCCAGGCTATTACACACCACAGCATGGAGAGAGGGCGGTCGGGGGAGGGGGGGGGAGTAGGGGAGGAAGGGGGTGGGGAGGAATGCACCGTGCAGGCTATTACACAGTACAGCATGCAGTAAGGGGAAAATTTTGCTCTGAATCCGAGTTTATTTGCAACGTTCACATACGGTCGTGGGACAACGCTGCCTCCTCTTCTTCCCTTCTCCCTGCTGTGTGACAAAGCTCTGGCCGGGGCTGTGCAAAACTGTCATCCCGTGGAGTCGCTATCTGCTTGTGTATATGATGCTATTAATGATAGTAATTTAGTATTGTGCAACACAGTGGCAGTGGTAGTTGGCACAATGCTCTTGACAATGGAGCAAAGCAAAGAAACAGGTCCCTACTATCACCTATTGACTGTCAAAAGTTCAAATCGAATTTAGAGTTGTCCATATAACTTATCATTTTGCAATCCTGAAAGTATCATCTTGGCATAATTGCTTGCTATCCCTGAGCGCTGTTCTGTAGTTACTATCCCTGAGCGCTGTTCTGTAGTCACTCAAGGCTATGTTCTTCGTTGCACTGGCACTAGTGTGAAGAAAATCTAAATAGGGCTCCATCAAGACATAGCCTCAGCGCAAGAGAGCCAACTGCATTGATTAGGGCATTCGGGGCATGCTCAAGCTGCACTCTGCACACGTTCTGAGCCTGGACCGAGACACTCTATGGTGCATAGCGCTTCAGCCACTCAGACGGCATGCCAGGAAGCGACGGCACATTAAGATGATGCCGGAGAAGGTATTCCGTCGAGCGGAGAGACCCCTCAACCCACCCTTGTATCTTACTGTAGGCCTCGCCGCAAATGTAGACGTTCTGGTGTGGGTCAAGTTGGCCTATCTCTTGTAGAACCTTAGCGGGATTAACGCCGGGGAGCCATCCATGACAGGCGGCATCCCAGGACTTGGCTACAGCAGTGTATGGCTGTGGAATGGTATGTCCGGTCTGGTCACCGTGAAGCGTTCGCAGTTGTTCCATAGCCAGCTCCACCATCTTCTGGCTGACCGTGAAGTCCGTGCTACCCGGAACGGTGCTGCTGTTCTGCTTCACGTGTCGATTGGGCAGGCCACGGAATGACTGCCGGTCCACGTCATCAGCTTGAAGCGAGGCCCAGCGCACAGCATGCTTAGTAGCAAAGGCAGCCAATACCAGCGAGTTACGATTGTCATCTGCCCGGTCAGTTCTATTGCTGAATGCCTCCTCTGTAGCAAGCAGATAACTGCGCTCCAAATCCAACGTGCTGGCTTCCGCACCCTCGTAGAAGCCAAATGGGGCTTCTCGCCACCAGGGTCGATCGAAACCCAGGAACAGCTTGAACGCCGGCTGAGCTCTCACACTACGTTGCCATACGGTGCTAGCATGCAATGGACGCCACAGGATTTTCTCCAGTGCGCTCGGCGGCACAGCTAGTATCACCTTGTCGGCGCAGTAATGGTGAACTGGTTCGCGCGTAGCTGCTCCAACTAGCACCGAGTAGCGAAAGTACTGCCGCTTGCGGCATTTAGCGAGTGCGGAAACGGGTGCATTGGTTTGAACGTTCCCGTGGGCATTCTGGAATTCCTGTCGCAGGCGATCGGGCAGTGCTTCCATTCCCAGTGCAGGTACCCGGTGCTCAGACTGTTGCACACCGAGCAACATCTCTCGGTACATGTGTAGCACTGATGCAGCGTTGAACTTGCCATCGGGCCATGTGCCGTAGCCGCTGGAATCCTCTACAAACTGGCGCAGCTCACTGCTCGCGCCGACCATGTCGTGCAAGTCGTGAAGATTCATGTCGTGCAGTCTGCGCCCGTCCGTTGTCCGTCCTGAAAACATATCCAGGTGCGGGTCGGTGAAGTTCACCACCGATCTAGCCCACATCTCAGCAAGCATGGAGAGCGGCGAACTGAAGCTTTTCTTCTCATCGCCGTTCAAGTGGTAGAGCTTTCCGATGGTGTCAATGTCTGAGAGCTGGTCAGACGTAATCCGAGTGTTTCTTAGGAAAGAAAATGATCTGGGATCTGTGGAGTTTTGAGCGAACACCCGCAACTTGAGCTCAAACACTTTCTCCACTAGCCAGGCATTTAGCATCGTGTCTGATCTGGATACGTAGTGCATACCGCCCACATCCGCCCGCGTGTTCGGCATTCCGGGTACCGGAACGGAGTGGAGACGACCGCCAGTCCGCCCCGTCGCTTCCAGCACAACGACGCTCGCGTCCGGGTCATGCTGCTTCAACCGCCAGGCCGCATACAGGCCCGACACGCCGCCGCCCACGATAACCACGTCGTACGCGGACGTGCACTCCTGCGAGCATACGTAATCGTCGACGGCGTCCCATGGCGCAGTGTGACCAGCATAGGCTGCCCCACCACCTGCCTGCTCCCCAGCTCCCGGGTCGTGCAGATATGCAACGAGGTCATCATTACTCACCACCGGGTCGAACGCCGGCAGATCCACCGCAGCAGCTACCTGTAGTCTCCGCTGTGCCTCCTGCTCCACCTGATTGGGGAGATGGTTCCCACCAATACCACTGTGACTCCATCTGCCGCCCTGTACTACCTTAGCCACATCAATCTGTCCGAATGCACCAGAGGCAGAGACAGAGTCGCCACTGTGTAAATCATCACTGACAATGATGTATCCTCCGGCCGGAATGTAGAAACGTCGGCTGTAGTAGCGACACATGCGTGGTACTAGAACGTACAGCAGTCCAGCGAACAGGAAGGACCAAACGCAGAATGTCAGGAAACGATTCACCTCGACGCGCCGTGCGGCCGCAGCCCGAGACGCCAGTCCGAGCCGTCGCCGTTTCCGCTTCGTCGAACCACTGCAGTCCATAGACGGCATGGTGGCGATTGCACCGCTACTGCCTGGCATAGACTGTTGACTGACCCGCGCGCGCTGTCCCAAGTGGCCGTGGCGTGGGTATGCAGACTGACCTGGGACAGGCTACGGAGGGGTCACCTGGTCACACTCCGCTCAGTGCACCGCACCGACAGGCCGACAGTGCGGCAGTGGACGTGGAGAATTCAAAGTAGCAGGTACGAGGCGGGACTGTGAACCCTTTCTCGCTCGGTCGGTCCTACTTTTCAAACTCTCGCCGGGCAGCACGCAAAGGTTTGCAGCGTTGGCCCTGACCTGGTGAGAATAGCGCACACACTCAGCTCTAGTCACTGGTAGCAGCCGAGGTCGAGAAAGAATTCTGACGTGACTATGGCGCGCATTTGCTCTGCTCATGCACAGCACGTCGGGAAAAACACAGCAGCCACGGCCAACCTACGATAGAGAAAAAAAGAAGCTACTGCAGTGGTTTGACCTGCTGTACAATGCGGTGCGGAACTGGAAGGATGCTCTGCTTCGAACACGGAACGCGCCTTGAGGC